TTTTCGGGAATTGTCAAAATCATCGCCTACGTCCCGCTTACTATTTGGAACATCCCGAATAGTCTCAAGTGGGCCTGCTTTATTCTCTGTGGCTTTGGGGGCGGCATCAGTGGTCTCACTTTTGCGTATGCCTGCTCGGCGGGGCCAGAGGTCGTTTAGTCCAGCGAGTGAAGATGGTCGCTCTGTTTCCAGAAAGTCAGCAGCAAGTGGACGGACTCAGTCTCCGCCTCGACACCGCCAGAGATCTCTCTCTCGGGACAGTCGTTCACCCGCCGGAACTCATGAGCGGAAGTATCGTCAAAGGGATCTGGACCACGCGAGACCAACGGCCAGGGGTCACGCGCGCTCCTCACCTGATTCCAGGGGATCATCCGTCTCAGGCCGTGGCGGAGATGCTGTCGACAGCAGGCGGTCGCAGTCAAGGTCCCGGGATCGTCGTCACGGTGCGAGGTCACAGGGCGGCGCAAGTCGACGTGTTGGCAGAAATGAGGGCTATCGAGACGAGCCTCAGCCTGCATTGGGCCGGGGTGGGGAGCACGGAAAGCAGAGCCGTGAACCTGAGCGACAGCCAGAGCGAGAGCGCAGCCTGAGTCCATTTTCGAAGAGACTGGCGTTGACGCAGTCCCTGAATAAGTAGCTATTGGGTATCAAGTATATGTAGAACTGATGGAGTCTATGCCTGCTCCGCAACCGTAAATAGAAAGGCGTTCTACCACTCGCGCCTAGGCCTGCCAGTTAAACAGCCGAATCTTCAAACTCTTCCCCTCCCATCTCTCGTCTTTCCTCCTCATCTTCCCTCTCGCGTACGCGCACTCCTTCCACTAATGCTATGCCATCGATTCCGGCTGCTTCGCCCTCCCTACTCCCCGCTTCGACGCTCTTGGCTTGCGTGGCCGCTTTCTGAGCACCTGTGATGCGTTCCCTCACTAGTTTCGCAATGGCGTTGTCCGTCCGAACGTTGAGAATCTCCAGTTTCTTCTCCAGGTCTCTCTTCAGGTCCCAATTTGGCTTTTTTGGTTGAAGCTTGAACAGATCGATACCTTTATCATCCTGCGCTTCTTCGGCTGCTGTCTGTTTTACATCCGCCTCAATGTCTGCCGCGAGCTCTTCGAGTGTAGGATTTTCCAGGTCTTGGGTCGGGGGGGCTTCGAAGCCAAGCTTGGGACCGCGCGCTTCTGGATCGTAGTTGCGCCCGGAAAGGTGCAGCCTTGTGACGTCTGGCTCTGTTGGAGGCGAGGCTGCGCGTTCTGACTCAGGCGCGACAATCTCGTCTGCTGGCTGTTTTCTCTTGAGGTTCTTGAGCTTTGCGAGGCGCGCTTTGCGCTCATCTGTTACCGCGCTCAGGGTGGCCTGGGAGCTCGACATGATGATGCAATGGAGAAAAACTTGGCGCAATAATCGGTCTATTGGCACGATAGTCTTGGATTTTCCGAATTGGAGTGAAGGCGAATATCTAACTTTTGGTGGCGAGCGCGTTCGATCGAGAAGCTGGTGGTTGAAGGTTCACTTTTGGCTCGTAGTGGGGCTGAAAGTTGGCGAGCCATTGCAACCACGGCGGAACACTTCCACAGGGTGCGCTAAGCTAGCGGATGCACGGACGGGCTTCCCATCTTCCAGAGTCGCATTTAGCTCGCCAGGGGTGTGTCTGGCAGGAGCTCAGGTCCGTTGCCCAAAAAAAAAAATCGAGTTCTACAACCGCAGCCTCAAATTACCTCCTATGCACCAGGAAAGTTGACGAGTATCACGGTCGCGCCGTTGCCGCTCGAATGCCGTCAAAGCCATACCCACGCGCATCGAACAGAAGCTTTGGCTTTTTGCCAATGCCCCGATAATACGTCTGCGATGTCGCACTGCTTAGTACGCCGACAATGTCTACGACGGATCCAACAACACGGCCTCCTCACAGCGAATAGCTATATCCAAACCTCCTTTCAAGCTCGCCATGATACCACTTTGGCTACTCAGAAGGCCACTGCAGAACGGCCACTGCGAATTCGCAAAGTAAAATCAGACCGGCCTGGACCAGAAAACGTGTTGCAGCCCGTCATCCGAGCACCACGAAATACTGAACCACGGCCTGAGCCAACGGACTCCAAATTAAAAACCGCTCACGCATGGTTTCCTAAGAATGGGAAAGAGAGGAAGAGGAAGTACGACATCACATCAGGAAATGCTGACAAACGGATGTTTGACCTCGAAAAAGAGAGGCACAGGACATACCTGGAGCATGGGTATCTCCGCCATCACCTAACCAAGAAGGAGTTGAAAGACTTTAATAATTGGAAGAACGACGTTAAAAGGTTGTACGCATTCGCATCATTTGGCGATGCCTATAAGATCCCAGAGATTCTCAAATGGATCCTGGACCGTCGGGCCGTTGAAGAAGCGATCGAGCAATGGGAGAATTGGACTGATGAGCAGAGGAAGACGAAGTGGCGAAAGCTCATGTTCTCTGCTTTGTGGTCTTGTCCTGATCGGGCTGCCGCTGTCCTCGAAACCACCACACGCGGGTTCATGGCTCCGGGTTACGCCATCAGCGACGTGATTCACTTTCTCTCAAAATGGCAAAGTCAACGACCTGTTGATGAATTCAAGGCACACGCCGAAATTCTTTGTGACGTGGTTGTGACGGTGTTCAATCGCTTTCCCCCGGGCTATGTTGCTCCGAGGCAAAACACCATCTGGCAGCTGACGAATGGAGTAGACTTGTTGAGGACAGTTTCCCTCTATAAGTGTTTGAAGGAAAAGAATGTCCTTTTCCATAGCAATACTCTCCGAAATATTGCCAAGCGACTTGCGGCCAGCCCTCAGCACAAGCACGATGCTCTACAAATGGCCATCGAGGCTATTCCAGAACAAGGCACTGACCTCGACTCGGGAGCGTGGTCAGCTCTGTGTACCTCAATCTTAAGCCTCAGGCCTGGCCAAATCAACACCGACGACGGTTTTTCGGCTGCGGACGCGTTTGTCATCCTTTTGGAACATGGCTTTGCTCCTAATATGGTCCACTATACGGCAGTGATCAGGTCGCTGTGTCTGACAGATCAAAACGAGATTGCAGAGGAGGTCTTCCAGACGATGCAACGGCACAACATTGAACCAGACATAGTCTTGTGGTCTACTCTTTTGGACGGAGGGAAGAGGGCTCTTTCACCGTCAAACATCGAATCTGTCGTCAAGGGGGCTCTCGGGGGCAACGATATCGATGTGCCCTTCTTGAACGACCTCCTGGTTTCCCTGCTTCACTTCTGCAAGGCCGAACCGTCAAAAAACACGCAGTCGTCGCCGGGCTACGTAGCAGCCTTTGGGCCGATGCTACATTTTTACTCAAAGATATTCCACATGGCGCCATTGCAGGCACTCATTCCCGTGGACTTGTCAATGTACCTCGACGGCCAACAACGCTTGGACATACCGGCGAAGTGGCAGTTGGCTCAACAACTGTTTCCTGCACTCGACATGGCCATGTCAGCCGTTCAAGACAAATTGGATCCGACAGACGCAACCCTGAGCATCATGTTCCTCGCTTATGTGAGGAGCCTTACGCAGCCCATCAATCTTATCTCGCTATATGCGTACTTCAGACAGGAGATTTCAAAGGGCAGCCCAATCGCCACTAAGCTGGTCCGAGAAAAGGGGACTTTTGCTTACGATGTCCTAATTAAAGCGCTCTGTGCGTTCCCCGGCATGCTCCGTGCCGCTTTAGATATCGTCGGCGACATGCTCAAGTCCACGCTTGAAGAGCGGAGCAAAGCAGTCGACGCAATGAAACAATCCTTAGAGGGGAGCGAGGTTACTCCACCCCCCCTGCACCCTGCCCCGAGCGTCTTCACTTGGAGCATCCTCCTGCACGGCTTCAGCCGAGAGAAGGGTTCCGGAGAGCGAATCCTCGCCCAAATGCGCCAGTACGGCGTCGAGCCGAACCTGGTTACCTGGAATACCCTGATTGCGGGCTACGCTAGGAACCAGGACGTCAACAAGACGGTGCTGTCCCTTCAGCGTCTCGAGGCTTCGGGCCATGAGGCGGATGACTTCACGCTGAGAGCATTCTCCAGGTTGGTGAATAGGGAGCTCGCGTTGAAGAAGATGGAAAATGCCCTCACCAAAAGAGCGGCGCAGGCAGATAGGAAGGAGGCCGAAGACAAGAGAATGGCTTCAATCATATCTGGCTCTGTAGAGAGGCGGAGGCCAAGTCCGTTGTAGCGGCAATCAGTTTAGGAGCTGACGAGACGTTGAAACATTTTAAATGGCAATATACCCACTCTTCTTATTTATTTTAGACGATGAGCAATATTATCTCCTTGGGGTTGACTATGATGCTGTGTTTCCCAGGTGAATCTATCCACTGCTGTCCAAACTCGACATCTGAGAATGTGGCTCTGGGACCTGGGGTGAGAGACTCGTTTACTCCTCTCAGCTATTTTTCGCAATCTTGTTCCTATAAGACTATTCAAAACTTCGATAAGCCGACTGAAATGCCGGATCTCATACTCGGTTTATGTCGTAGTAGGCTGGGGATAATAGAAAGAACAATGGAACGTTTACTTTCATGTCGTATCCTGCTCTATCCAAACCACGGGAAGGGGATATGGCTTGTCTTATCTAGGGCAAAGGGGGGGTTTACAGGCAAACATTACTTCTCTCTGTAAGACCCCGTCATACATTTTGACTTCGAATAGGGTTGTACTCTGCCATGGCATGTCACCGGCGTCATCCCGGGCTTGATAGGAGTATTGGACGTGACTGGAAATGCCAGAGTCTCACATAGTTGTCACGACTAGTACATTGATGCCACACCTCACTATATCTGCATACCTCCAACGTAATTGGAACAACCCTAGGGTACATGAATAGCATCTAGATCTCTCTGAACCTATAGACTCAGAAAAGAACATTCAGATTTGCACCAATGTAGAGACAACTCGCCCTCGTGTACTTTGGAGGATGCAGATTGGTTCCGTCCGTGGCCATTTCTTACACAGAAGACACCAAGAAAATCCACGCCAGTAAGTGCTGCACAAGTTAAGAATAGTCGATGGTGGCAAAAAAGATTCTCAGCCCATGACTGGACGAACCTGATAACGGTAAAGGAATCAAATGTTAGACCGCTCCAACTTGTACATTGAAACCATGTGTCTCGTCGATGATCGCCACCGGATGAATACTCAAATGTGTGGAGTAGTCATGGCCGTCACGTTTTCTCTTTTTTGCTCTTGCAGCATGGGCTTCAAACAGGTCGGAAGCTCTAGCGTACCAGCATCACGAGCAAAATTTGAGATCACTGTCAATACTAGTCCGTGACAATAGCCCTCTGATACTCAGGGGCACGACTCTACTGATTGTGCTGACGAGATATGTGACACCTTTCTGATGATTCATATAATCTCGGACAGGACGTCGATAGGTTGTAAGATCGGCATCTCACCCACGCGGGTTGTCTGACCAAGTCTGAGTCTTAGCACCGCGAGGTCTGGAAGAAATACGGTCCCCTGTGAGCAATCGTACTACTATTGACACCTAAAGAATGGCACTTACCTAGCTTTACATCTCATCTCATCCTTCTGGTCCTTACCACCTCGGAGCACCGATCTTAAGGTAGTGCTCGGTCCGATCTGCCGCTGATCTTCCCAGCTTATTCACTAGAACTTGAGGTCACCCTTACCGGCAGTCGGATAAGAGGAATCTCGTACCTTGCTAATCCTCATTAAACGGGTCTGATTGTAACCTTTTGTTGCACGGAGACGTGCTGCCGATTCCCACATAGTTTCTCTAAACCCTAATGCTGCACCCGAAGCTCAATGACCATGAACTATAGCTCACGTGCGGCTGGGCTCAACATGCCTGTCCCACTTGTTACAGGGTTGTATGTGCGGCGCGCTTAGTCTCAGCTGACAGCTTTCTCCTCAGAACAAGCCGATAGCTTGTAGAGGAGTAACCATTCTACAAAATTGGGAAGACATCGTGGCATACCAGACTTTAGGCGCGCGGCAGCTGCCTCGCCGTGCAAAGATCAAGCAAATATTCTGACATTTGACGTATGCTTCATTGACCGAGCCTCGCTTTCGTAGCTACAGATGGTGTGTATATCATTACAAGTTTGTTGCCCAGTCCCGGACCGCATTGTCCAGACGCAGTGAGCAATTCGGTAGCCCCTGTCCCTCCTTGCAAGGCCATACCATGCACTAGGCATGGCCAATCGACCTTTTTCTGCTCTCACGGAACGCACCAGAAACGCCCCACCCCCTATTTTGTATTTTGTATCCCTTACGTGAGCTTCTGCTTGATGAAGAATGACCGCAGGTGCGACAGCTGCCAGGTGCAGGTAACGGCGAGCACAGTAAGCTGAATGAGCATCCATCTGATGACACGGGCGTTGGTGGATTCGGACTGATCTCTGAACTCGGCTTCGCGTTCCTAGGACGTTTTCATTAGCATCGCAACGTACATTGATGCGCCGTAGCCGTCGCGCCATCTCCCTCTTTCCAGAATAGGAAATAAAGCTTAGATTTCGGCTTTGAGAATTGGAGACTTACACGCTGGAAGACTTGCTCCCTGCGGATATCCTGCAGACGAGCGTTGAGGTCCTTGACGCGGGTCGCGATATCCTCGAGCTTGCTCTTGTCAGAGCTCTCAATCTCGGTGCTCTCACCGATGGCGAGGTCGAGCGTCAGGCGGATACCACCGTTGTGGGAATGGAGCGAGAGCCAGCCGGCGCGGCCAGAGGTGGAAGACGGGGTGAAGCAGAGCATGTGGTCGCCAGCGTCGGCGGCCGTGAAGGTGAAGCGGCCCGATGCCTGGCCGCGCTGGGAAACTACGCGGTGGTCGTTATCGAAGGTTTCCTGTAAGAGTGGGAAGTCAGCATGGATTTCTTATTACTGGTATGGGCACGACAGTAAGAGGGGCCCAGGTGCAGCACATAGATATGTGGTAGCTCCGAAGGGATATACATGCGAGACCAAGAAGTTTGACTTACATCGACGGAGATGTAGATGCTGAGACCATCATGCTTGGCCCACTGGTTGATCCGGTCATCCCATTCCTCGGCAGTGTAGTGGCCAACAACAAGCGTGTCCTTGGGGAGCTCCTCGAAGAAGCACTTGGGCGAGGTTCCGTCAATGTAGAAGTACAGCGCCTGGGCGACTGCGCTCAGCGAGAGCAATGGGAGAAACGGCCTCATGTTGTCGAAGATGGAACACGAATGGAATTGACGAGATTTGGGGTGTACCGCGGGTTTCTCGGGTAGAGTCTACTCGACGTCGTGGTGCTCGTCGTCTATCGGCTGTCGAGGGGGTTGAATTGGGGGTGCTTCGTTTCTTCGAGTTAACAGCGCCAGGTCAGCCAGTTCGGGCGGGTACCCACATTCAAGTCCCAGGGTGCGCGGGAGCAACTTCCAAAGCTGCCACGTTCGAAAAATTGGTGATGAACAGGGGTGGCACTGGCCACTACTTGGGGAAAGGTGTGGATCACGTGCGGTTCCAGACGGCATTCTACGCGCTTGCAAATGCGGCTTTCGCGTACTAAGAAATGTACCCTTTGGGCTCGAGATTTTGGAGACGCCGACGAACAAAATTAATCTTGACTTTTCGCTTTTCTTCCACCGAGACCCCTCAATAAATACAAGAAGCCCACTGTAACGACCGATTCGCCTGGCAAGAACTTCATGATACCCATTTCCTTGATGCATATGCCCAGTCCAAGCCTGAATTGATGCCATCGAGCGGACTAGTGGCAATCGTCAGTCAGAAAATAAAATCCACCCTTCCGACCGCTCGCCCAGCATCGCAACTATTTTCCTCCCACCCTTGCCACCCGCCGCGACAATGACGTCTTCCGACGTGCGAGACGTCCTTAACCTCCCCGATAGTCACGCGGCCCCCCGACCGGCGAAAAAACAAAAGACATCCGGCCCGCGCCCGAACCTCAAGGGTCTCGCCCGCGAGGTCCAGAATCTGGGCGGCGACAATCCGATCGCCATCGTCCCTGAGGTCTCGATCTTCAAAAAGCGGCGGTTTGCGAGCAGGAAGCCGGCGACGAAGTGGGAACTCAAGCCCTTCACCAACTCTGCACGGGGCGATAGTGGCGCATTGGTGCTTAAACACTGGAAGCGCAAGACACCAACGGCGACAGAGAATGGGCAGCAAGGCGGCGACGCCGAGATGAAGGATGCAGAGGGGGATCAGGCTCCGACGAGGCCTGAGAACTCAATGTTTGCGAAATTCAACGTGGAGGTGGATGTGCCGCAGTACAGCGAAGACCAGTACCGGACGAACCTGCAGAACGACGACTGGAGCAAGGAGGAGACAGATTATCTGCTAGGGTTGGTGAAGGACTTTGACCTGCGGTGGCCGATCATATGGGACCGATATGACTACTTGCCGGAGGCGATCAACGGAGAGGCGTCGGCAGACGGGGACGAGAGTAAGGCCATCATCCCTGTGCCGAAACCAAGGACGATGGAGGACCTCAAAGCGCGCTACTACGATGTTGCGGCAAAGATGATGGCGGTTCAGAAGCCCGTTCAGTACATGACACAACCCGAATACACCCTCCACGAGCTCATGGCCAACTTCAACGCCAACCAAGAGAAGCAGCGCAAGGACTTTGCCAACAACGCGCTGACCCGAAGCAAGGAGGAAGCCAAGGAGGAGGAATCCTTACTGCTAGAGATCAAGCGCATTCTCGCACGTAGTGATCGTTTCAACGAGGACCGCCGCGAGCTGTACAATCGCCTGGACTACCCACACACCGACCAAGATATCAGCGCGTTCAAGTCCAGCGCTGGTTTGCAAACTCTACTGCAGAATCTGATGAACGCCGACAAGTCTAAAAAGCGAAAATCGCTGATGGCAGCAGACGGCGTCAGCCCCTCCGCGCCTGCGGGTCAACAGCCTGCGGCTGCAGCGGCGGCCGTGGCCGCGTCATCGGACAACAACGCCAACCGCCGCGAGAGCATCGCTGCTGCGGCGGCCGCCACGCCGGCGGAGAAAATACACAAGGAACCTGCCAGCAGCGTCGCGCAGACACCGACGGCGCCGGCCGGCGGAAAGAAGGGCCAGCAGCAGCAGGAACGCCGCAAGCTCTCCGAGGCCGAGATGCACGTCTACGGTGTCACGCACCACGACCGCCTGTCCAGCGGACCGACGTTCCGCTACGAAAAGATTAACAAACTTTTTACGCACAAGTCGAACCAGCAGCAGCTGCGAATCATGAACACTCTCAACGAGCTAGACATTCCGCCGCGGCTGGTCATGCCCACGGCACCGGTTACAGCCCAATACGAGCTCCTGCTTGGTGCCGTCAACAGTCTGCTCGATGCTAGAAAGGTCACGGACAAGATTGACGCCGAGATCAAGCTCGAGCTGGCCAAGAAGGCGGAGCGGGAGAAGGCGAATCAGCCAGAACCGGTCCCGGCTACTGAGAAGGAGGGCCAAGGCCAAGGCCAGTCAACGGAAGAGAAGAAGGACAAAGCCGCAGAGGGCAAGGGCGAGGCAAACGCAGAACCCTCCGCAGCCGCGGAGCCCGCCAAGGCTGACGTACCCAAAACAAACGGGGAAGCGGCCGGCGCGGAGGCGACTCCCGCTGCGGAAGGGGACAAGGCTGCTGCTTCTGCTGCTGCTGTGCCGGCCGCGACGGAAGAGGGGAAGGGTGACGCCGAGAAGGAAAAGTCGATGGGGCGCCCGGGCAGTAGTGGGGCGTCACACAAACGGAGCGCGAGCGTCATGAGCGCCGGAGGCGAGGAAAAGAACGCCAAGAGACAGAAGAAGTGAGCGAGGTTCCAGCGAAGTACCGTCTGACAAGGAAGTACTTTCTCGTCGTTACGCGCCGTGACGAGATGGATGAAGTACAATGTATGTATAGTCACAAATGAGATTGAGCCTTTAGGAGTCATCTCAGCGTGGCACACCCCCTTTCCCCTCCGCTTAGACTGGGGGAAAAGCGAGCGCGAAGTATATCGGTGAACGGATGCTGGTCGAGGGCCGGCATGTTGGGACCAGACTTGGGAGTGCGTATAGGAAGTTCAAAGTTATTGGGTCTTCGGGCAGAGCGAGGGAAAGCCGCCACCTCTCTCGGATTAGCGAAACGCACAAATGCTCGAAACAAGGAAACAGGGACAGGACTGTTGCTTGCCAACTTCCTAGGCATCTGCTTCACGTGGGCAATGTGACCGGGGGCATATCTTGCTGCTCTGTGTGCCCTTGTCCCTCTGGGATGAAGTAGCAATGGGAAAGAGGGTCATGAAACCAAAAATGCCGCCAGGCTGCAGAAATAAATGATGGCATGCTGAAATGCTGCAGTTCAAACCCCGCCCTTACGTATATGTGTATAGATATCGTGTAAGTCTCGTTACAACGATGCCATGTCAGGGGCAAGGGAGGTAGATCTGACAACCCAAAAGAGGAATGGAATCCTGTTCTGCATTTCGCTTCTTTTACAACTAGATTGTGGCGAGGAGAGAGATGGTTGCGAGAGATAAGGGAACCTCCCTTTGGGTAGGGAACCCATGAAGTTCAACGCGGGACGTGACGTCTCATTAAGCAAGATGCAGCTCATCGACGGCTGCAGGTGAGGCTAATCATCTTAATATAGCAACGGCAGCTAAAAATATCGACGCGGAAGGCGGCTACTGTTGGGGAGGGGATGTGATCATGGCATGCCGCTTGCCTCGGGGCCGGGTCATGTAGTTTGCTGGAAGGGGGTAGATGGACGCATGAGGGTTGCTAGGGCCTTCAGATCTCCGGACCCGCCTTTGACGAGGCTGTCTAGTCCAATGATTGGAAGCCGAATCAAGATGATGTCGGTGAAGGTCTTTGTGCCACGATCGTGCTTGAACTGATTTCAGGGTCCTGCTCTGCTGTGGCCACGGAAGGGGGTGTGAGTGGAAGGGCGTCAACCGACGGCCGCGTAGTTGGCAATCTCGAGATCTGTCCTGCAGGGTCAGGCAGGGCAAGTTTCATACGGACGGAGAGGGAGGTGAGATGAGGTCAAGAGGCATCGGCGTGACGCCGAGGAACAATGGGTTCGACTCCGTGCCTTGCCTTGGGTATCCTGGGCGGTCGGTTCGAGATGCTGTCGTCAGCCTATAGAGCGCGGGATGTCTGGTCGCTTGCGTACCTTGCAGGGAGAGAAACATAGAGTCTCAGACAGCTAGCTGCTCGTCCGGCGCGTATGGTATACGGCGGGTACACGGCGGGTACACAGTTAGGGAAGGGTGGTCGCGGTGGGTTCTTTGGGGAAAAGGAGATCTGCAGGCCGCTTGGCCAAAGATCCCAGGACCAGGACCGTAACATGCTGTTGGGTCCGGTAGTTATTAATAGAGACCTAGGCGCCTCGAAAGTGTAGAAATTCATGGTTTTGGGTAGATTGCCTTGCCATGTGGAAGAGAATGTTTCTAGAAGAAGGATCCTCAGCGACGTGGAGTTTGACATCGTCGTCGTTGGCGAGGACAAGGAGGGAGCGCTTAGTGGGCGCTTAGTTGAAGGCGAGCAACACCATTGGCTGCAAGCCAAGCTGGTGTAAGGTTTCGTGTGATGGAGCTGCGATGTTGTGCATGTAGGGGATCTTGACACTTCTAAGATTAGAATGCCTTGCTTCTTTGGAAAACAAGGTCAACTCTCCGACGGCAGTAGGTTTGCAAACTGACGTTCGGAGAGTTAGAGCCAGACGCAATGGCGGCCATTTTGGTGAAGTTGCGAGGTGATGGAACCCGAGGTAACCATGTCCATGCTCACCATTTCCGGCTCCGCTGACGTGACCACGTGACTAGGTACACAGTGCCATTTTGAGAGGGAAACAAATGGCACTCGAATCCGATTCCGAGCAACAGCGTTTGTGTATCCACCTGGAAGGGAAGATCTTCCGTGGGGCAATCATTTACTCGAATGTTACAATGGGGACAAGGAGAATCAGTTTGCGATGATAGAAGCTGACTTGTGATGCCCCAGACTGAGACTGGAAGCCGCTGCAGAAAGGTGCCGATGACCCTTACGGATACACGTGTGAAATTTTTCCAAGTTGCCGTATGGGTCGCGGGCCGGGCAGACAATGCAATCTGTGGAGGCACCTTCCACAGGGCTAGGTGCCCGGGTGCGGGAGTCCCACCTTCTGTTTGAAAGGAAGAAGACGGTTCTACATAGTACCTTACCTACCTACCTACCTTACCTTACCTAAAAGGACGAGTGAATACCTTGGCACCTTGGGTAACTTCCGCAATGCCCAGGACCTGACGTCCCTACCGCCTGCCGCTTTCATCCGTGATCCAGCCGGGCTGGTAACCTGGCACCCTGGGTGCCTACCTTAGGTCCTTTCTTCGACCAGTTCCTTCCATGGAAGCCCCGACGGGAGTGACTTTTGGTTGCCTCCCCCTGTCACCGCGCTTGAATCTCTAAGCGGGCTCGGTAGCCCCCAAACTGCGGATGTTGCCCGCAAAGAACCAACAATGGTGCCAAATTGTTTCCCGTCGGTACATACGACCTTCCACCCTGTTCCGTCAGATTGTTTGCCAGACTCGGGAGGTACCACCATAATTCGACCAGCCTCGCGAGGTCTCTGGCGCACTGCACTGGGTTTGGCCTCTCTCTCATTTTCTCTCACCTTGGGCGACGTCCATTCCTTTTCAGCAAATGTCCGCGGCCACATCGGGCTGTCGTCACCACCGGAACGCATTTCCAAACTTCGTTTGGCGGCATTGGACCAACCAAAGGCCCAGGATCGCCATAGAGATGGGGTCGACCTGACATTTCTGCAAAATTCCGGGGTGTGCCATCCCGCATCCATCCGTCGTGTACTGGAACCGAGCGCCGTTCGTCGTCAGTCGTCAGTCGCCAGTCGCCAGTCGTCAGTGACCAGGAATAGCAACATCGTGCAGGAGGACATGGGATGGGACGGGACATCTCTTGCGGACGACGACTACCCAAACAAGAACCAACGCAATCCCATCCGGAGGCCAGGTTGTTTCCAGCTTTCGCCCTCTCCGAAGTGGTCTCGAATCTTGGCCCATACAGTCCCCCTCACACCGCAGTCAATCTTACTCTAGCCACCTTACTGTGTACTTGGTATGCATCACCGTCACATCCAACACACTCGACTGTCAATGCCTGATTGTACCCCGTTCGGCCTCTCACCACTTTGTCTCGGCTTCCGCCATGCCTCGAGGTACATTTCTGCCGTGTTCCTTTACCCCCTGCCTCTGCTTACCTTACCTTAATGTCACAGTTTATCTCACCTCCGCAGTCAGTCCCTGGCCAGTTGGTGACGGCACAATGCCACAGAAGACGAACCAGGGTTTTGATTCTCTACTGCAAAAGATTACCTACCTGACTCCTCTCATTCTCGAATTCCATCGCCCCGCTTTTGCTTGCTACCTGGAGGTTCCCTCTTGGCCTCGCCGCTCTCTGTTTCCGCAGGTCCCTGCAACCTCGGTCCTTGAATTTGCTCCATTTTATCTCTTGATCCTGCGCCTTCCATCCCCGCTCGCCAAAGTCGCCCATGCCGCGTTGGAGACGACGACATGCCGCATTTGCCATGACGCTCGACGCGTTGGCCATGTCATTTCTTTATGGGTCTGGCGAGACGTCGTCCTAACGCGAAGAAGAATTCGGCTGGCGGTCCAAAGGTTCTGCGCTGTTTGCTGCTGTCGCCTTCCTTCCGAGCTCCACATCGCGGTGGTCATTCCGCATTTGTCTGATCTTTCGATGCGACAGTGTCCACTGTCGCACAGATGAACAACGGTGAACCAGACACGGCCCGGAGTGGAAACCCCCATACGGCAAATACATTACACCACTGTGTTGATACTCTCAAACGCCTCTCATTTCGCCCCTCGCGCTTCTCGCCGGGAGTCGCTCCGGCTGGCCCCACGAGACGACATTCCCGCAATCTCTGACTAGGCGTTCTTCATTACCGAGCGGCCAGGCAAAGGACTCATGAGCTCCACCAAGGCCAAGTTCTTACGCCTATGGCTACAACTATCCGTAGGGAGCTTACGGACAGTGTACACTGTCATCTCGATAGACGCAACACGAGCTGTGACTTTTGGAGGACCTTGGGATATGTTCTTCCCGAGGAGAGCGTCTACTGCCAAGTACATGCGTCGGACGATATCTCTGGGCCTCTGGTCAAAGCTGCTACGACTAAAAAAGAACGTTAATGCGTCTGGATAGTCAAGTCTGGAAGCCCTCTGCAGGTTGTCCCCCTCTCTGACTTGGTTCCTTCCCGAGTCTGATGGGCGATTATGCCTAACCTTTGATATGCGCAATAGACGGTGAAGGAGGTGTGCGCTTGTGCGTCTGGGTGTGACAAGATGTCAGCACTTGTGCAGCGAAATCGCGATAGCCGCATGACTCTCCGGCCAATGCAGTGCGCATCACATTACTTGCGAGCTAAACAGGAGGTGAAGGATTCCATCACCTACCAGTTGAATTCTACCTAGCATCGCGAAGACCACATGGCCGTGGGCTCTCACCTCGAGTAACAGCACGGGACGAAACCGACGGACCAGCGTAGGCCCGGTTGCTAATATTGGACTGCCGAAGATTGGGCAAGTTGCGCCATCAAGAAAGTCTCGTCTGTCTCGTCACAGCGCATGTGTCGAATCGAATCGCCCTGTTACTCTACTCTCCTGCTCCCGAGCATCAGGGCTTCTCGTTGGCTGCATGTCGACTTGTCGCGAACCAATCAGACTGGTGATACCGCTTAGCTGCCATCACGATAGGTGTGTGTGGGTCGCGGCGGTAAAGATACCCGGGCGACGAGCGGAGGGCGACGCTGGTGCGTGTGGGAGAGTCGATTCGAACGTCTCCGCGCTTTTCTCCCTCTCCTTCTCGCACACCCGCCCAGCGACAAGCGCTATGCACGATGTGAAGAAAGGGGTGCAATATGGTCTGGAGACACTTTGACCACCGTCAGAGCCGACGAGACAATGCCTTCTCTTCTAACGCCTTGCCTCACATACGCGACAACGAGACGAGACGAGACGAGCGGATCGGTCCCGGGCAAAGCTGGGGTAAATAAGCCCAACAACGCATACTGAAAGTCAAGTTGCCCTCCCAGTCCCATCCAGGATTGCACGGCTAAAAATAATCCACCGTGGGCTGTATCCTAGTCCATCTACATCGGAAGATTAACGTTTTTGTTTCATCCCTGCCCCGTCAGAGGAACGAGAGCAGACACCACCACCACTGACCAGACTCGACTGACACGACTGTGAAGAAAAAAAGATGGGACAGCCACTACGGACGCTCTCTTAGTGCCATCACCGAACTCACTTCACCTCTATGCCAAGTACCCAGACCCTCCCCAGTCATCTTTCAAGTCTCGATACTGGTCACTCAGCCAATCTTATCCCTAACGCAACTCATCACCCCGATCAGCAAGCAAATAAATTAGCAGCCGCAATCTGTATGTCGTAGATGTTTCCGGAACAAGACTGGCGCATGCGCTGCCGCGACCGGACAAATGCGCCATGTTGCGACAAACGCATGGAGAGTAGTGACTAGTGATTGTAACCCTGCAAGGTCTCTACACCCGGGAGAAACCCGCGCACAGAGAATGTCAGTTGCGCGTCTTACTACGTAGAAATTGACCCAAGTCAAAAGCTTCCTACGATGCGCTGGGCGGCGGGCCAGGTCCGCGACTGGTTGTCACGCTGAAGAACGGAGCCAAGGGCCGAGACACGGCTCAACGCGGACGCGGAAATGGAACTATCCCCTCACTAATCTCACGCCAATTCGACACCAAAACCTGCTAGACGGTCGACTCGGTGCACTGCCGCGTTTGCTAGCCCAGTCGGCGGCTGCAAATTGAAATCGAACTGGTTGAGAATACGAGCCCCAGTCAACTCAGCCTGGTTGTTGACGACGATACCCGACGTTGGCGTCACACTTGAGGGACTAGCTACGACGCTGAGTGTGCTTTTTAGACGCGGCGAAGGCAAGTGGACTTGCAAAGAAAGGGAAGAACAGAGAAGATGTCACTGATCGCGTCAAATTGCATGACACGGGGACCCTATCCTGGCAGATTAATTGGCTGCTACACAATCATGATCAACCGCATCCGCCGGCAATGCTCGCTCTCACCTCACAACTGCTACCCTGCGCAGGGGTACGCGAGGCAATTTCCCTGATGACTCGGTCTGGTTGGCGGATGTTCTCGCGGTTTTCCCGTTCAGAGGGAACCACCATCCAATATGAGCCCTTATCGTCAGAAGGGACACTGTTGCACACGGGAATAATGAAGGTCCTCAACACTCCGAAACAGCCGCTGTACCACCACTCCATCCCGAGTCAAAACCAACTGCGGCCATAATGACGAGGATGAGACCCCGTTTGACATGGACTACCGCGTGGCCATGTGCTATTTACGAAGACGCGCGCGGATGAAGGGACCAAAGGTTCGACTGGGATTGCTTCTTCACTGAGGGTGGTCGTCCTACGTCTTATAGCGATGGCCGGGATGCTTGATCCGGACCTGGTGGACCAAGCGACGCCTAGACCTCGGGGTTTCTTTTCTTCACCTTCCTGAACGTATCAAAGCCGTTTCCTGCCAGAGTTGAGAAACGTGGGAGACCCTGGCGCCAGTTCTCTGCGGCACGGCACACCTAATGATTCGACCCCAGCCAAACAGCGGTCAAAAGGGTTACAGCGAGGGTCAAGCTTCGTGAGAGCGACGAGTGGAAACCAGTGTAACGCTACAGGCGGGCAGCGTCTCCGGATGCGCGAGGGGGCTTCTTGGTGAACCCGAACCGCGAGAGTGTCTGACTGCGTGGAACGTTTTGCTCGGGCGACGACAGTCCGTCAAGTTGCACAAAACTTGAGATGGTGGAGTCGAGCCTAGGTGATATGCTGACGAGGTGAACGGGACAGCGAGAAGGTCAAAGTTGACAGGGCTAGCGGATGCAGCCTGGCCGCTGGCGATAACATGGGCCGCAGGTCGTCGCCATGGTGGGAGTCCTTGCGTCTTTGGCGAAAGTAGCCGGCGGCTCTTGTCACGGGCGATCGCTTGTTTCCTGCCCCCAAACTCTGGAGACACTGGAAATGACGACGGCTCAGGGCCGCGGCAGAGCGGGGGCCAAAAACACACCTTGCCATGCGCCGGTAGCCTTCAAAAGGGGGAAGGATGGCAGATCCCTCCATCAACACCCTCCATCACGTGGCAGAGGTTAAGAGACGTATTAATGAGCACACATGCGTGCGTACGTGCACGCTACCTTACCTACCTCAGTGGAAGACGCACTTATGCATCATTTCGCCCAATATCGCATCGCGGGGAGGTGGGCGATAGAGCCGGTGAGGCCCGCGAGATGATGGTGTGTGCCAACCCTTGTAGACCGGAGTCCAATCACCGCCGCACGGACAATTAGTTGGTGGCCATGGTCTGGACGACTCTCACTCATGACTTTGGGCCTACGGACGATTGGCAAAAAGGTTGTTGAGCAGAAGGAGACATTTGCGAATCTACGACTAGGAAGGGCAACGACCTTGGATTCACGGGAGGAATTAGGGGATGGAGGCAAGGCGAGCAGAAACGGCGATGGGCACAAGCACGGCGGCATATCCCAGCCCAGGCCCGGCTAGGCCAGGTCGACCTACCGTCAAGCACAGTTCAGTTGAGTTGTACAGCTGGAGCGACCAGACGCGGGTTGCAGAGCCCATGGTTCACGCCCCCTCCCCAAGTCTCCAATGGCCTGTCGACACGCCCCCTCCTTTCTGCATACCATCCCCCCCCCCTTGTTCATGCCTCACCAGGGGACCCAGCTGGTGGCCATCGAAGCGACGACACACGCAAGTGGTTACTGGCAGCAGTATCGCGCAAGTACCTTGTGGCGGTCTAGTACCCGTGGGAAGCGCCATGCCGCGACCCAATGCTGTTCGTGTTTCCCGGGTTTAGCGACGAAGGACTGGGGTGTCTAGGAGGAATGTATGTATAGCCCAGGAAGAGAGGAGAAGAGGGAAAGAGGCGATACGGATGCCTCTTGCATGTCCTGACCAACACTTGCACACACATGGAGAAAGAGAGAGGAGGGGGCCTCTCTGTGTGGATGCAGCACTTGAGGTGGGATTTCGCGGGAGAAGGGAACCAGGATCAAGAAGAGAGAGTGAGGCCGCACTTGAGTACTTTTCAGACAGATTCTGTACTCTCTGTATCCGTATCCGTACAGGATACAAAAGTAACGAGGCACCCGCCGAGACCTCCGTCTCGTCTCTGTTACCCCGAGATGTATTTCTCGTTCCCTTGCAATCTTGGTCGCAGCCCAGCGTCGACTTTGAGTACGGACGACAGACACACAGAGACCCTTTTTGATCTGGCCATTCGAAGTGAGCTGGCAAGTGAGCGCGTAACATCGGGAGGGGAAAAAAGGGTAGAAAGAAAAAAAAAGGGCTGGCTGGTTCCCGCACTATCAAGGGTAGCCCTTCCGACTTGTCAACGACTTGGCTCTTCCCTTGCCTTGCTTTCCTTGCCTACCACGACGGCTACGGCGAATGAACTAAGGCTGCGGCTACAGATGCCAGACGCTTCTACCTTACTCCATACACTACGAACGAAGTACGAATACAACAGAGACAAAGCGCGGGCGCGCGCGCGCGAGAGAGAGAGAGAGAGAGAGAGAGTACCTCTAAGCGACTAGATACCAAGACACGACCCCGACCACTTTCACTCGAGGTTCGCTACCACTTCCACATGACAATAACATATTCCTCTGCCCCCCTCATCACACTTACACTTTCTTGTCATCTCCTTTTGCCAATCCCACCCGTCTGCATCCGACACCACCAAGACTATTTTCTCCTCGCAGTCACAGCCTAACCCATCAGGCAGGTTCGTTGCACTTGCACGTCCATTTTCTACACCCAACGGCAAAGGCGCGGTAGGGAGAGTTCAAGGTTCGATACTTGCCCGGCATTCTTGTATCGGTATCCGTATTCGCACCGGCTTTAGCGGAACAAGCTACAATCGGAGTCGTGTTACAGCTAAAGTCACCTCACTGGCCCGCGACGTGGGAAATTGTCTCCTCACTCTTCAACCCCCAAACCCCGAACAGGCGCAGCATAATCGCGCGTCAAAAAACGCTCAAGCGCCGCCAGACAAAGCAGCCATCATCCCTCGACTCGGACAAACCCTTGAGACGGGGTAAAAGGAAGAGGCAGGCCTTGAGCAATTGGACACAAGAGCAGCGGCAAGAAGCTGGACTGCTACTTTATTCTGACTCTTTTTTATCTGTCTCTCTACACGTGAGGAAGAAAGGAGAGGAGGCGCACGGCAACTAAAAGGACAAGGTCAGCGCAGTTTCCCCTTGGGTTTCCTTTGATACTCTGTATCCTTCCTCGCAGGCGACGCACCGGATCGCAGGCGCGAATATTCATCTGCCTGCTTCCGTCTCATACACACATCACCACCACCGCCACCACTACTGCCACTACCACTACCACCACCTCGCTCGGTACGGACAACTGTTGACTGCCACCAACACACGGCAAAAGCCATCCCTGGCCGGACGCAACCGCAATACGAACCCCATCGGTCAAGCCAAGACCACGCATGCGCTGAGCTTCTCCAAAGCCCCCCCCCACCCCCCCCCCCCCCCCCCCCCCCCCCCACCCCCCCCCCGCCCCCGCGACCCCCCACACAGCCCCCCCCCCGCCCACCCAAACCCCCGCACCCGCGCGCCCCCCCCAACGCCCCCAACCCCCCGGAGCCCTCCCCGCCCTTTTTTTTTTTTTTTTTTTTTGGAGGCCAATACCTGCGTCTCGCTCGTCTCTTCGTGTCGGATCCGAGGCTGTTGCAATCCTACAGTGCCGCTGGCAGCAAACATAGCCAGCAGTACTACACAACTCTCAAGTTTTCAAGGCAGGAAATCTCCAGCCAGACACCATCCCAATAGGGATATTTCATGAGAGCAGCAAAAAGTGAGTGAATCTCTGACGTGACCGCTCCCACTCTTTGCATCTGCGTTTCTTCTCTCCTTCATCTGCCGCCCAAAGATCAAACAAGGCAAGGGCAGAAACTCTCTTGACGGCGTCGAGCATCCGTACAGGCCGGGACGCTGGGTTGGGCTGTTCCCATCCAATTTCTCTCACACATATTCATACACCAAGGGCTGCACAGCCTCAGGTCTCAGCGGCATCTTTCTCACCAATTTCTGCCCTTGTTCCACCCCCGGAGCGGACAAGACACCGCTCTCGCTCTCTCGTCCTTGTCGCACGTACCCAAGACAAGGTACCTTGCCTTTTTACTGACGCACGCGCGCACAGCCCAGCAATCAATTATTTGTCCCACACCCCCCCGCCCACTAAAAAGAAGAAGAAAAAGTCCAAAGCTCAAGCTCCCGCGACCTCCGCGCGCCGCGTACCGAAGCACCAGCGGCGGCAGCTCCAGCTCCAACTCCAACTGCAGCATCCGTACCGCCAGCAGCAACTTACGGCAGCAAAGAGTGTCATCGTTGCGCTTGATACCACCTCACTCTTTTTTCTCCTTTGCAGATCTTTGAAAGGGGACCAGGGGAACGCGAGGAAAGGAAAAAAAAACGAGAGAAGAAAACTTTACCCACCCCCACGACAAAGCAACGACTTGGCTCTCAACCATACCAAAGGTCCTCAATTCTTACTCATCCACGCCGACCTCTCTGAGAAGCTCTCCTCTCAAGAGCGTCTCCAAACCCGGAAGACATCGAAGCGGCCTCCCTGTCTCAAAAAGCCGTTCACTCGCCTCGGACCACTCAGCCCAACGCCATCCCAGCTACTGCTGAGCTTTCCACGGCTCTGTAGCTACATTCCCCGTAGCTTGGCTCGGCCCGAATCGCTGATTCTGGCATTCATTGACGCGCGCGTCCTCCTGCGCACCCTTTTCGTCAACATCATCTCGCGGCACTTCCCCCCCCCCTCTGCCGAAGCTCCCCGCCGATTCTTCACCCACCACGCGACGGTTATCAGCCAAATTTTTTTTTTGCCGCCCATCGCTTGCTACAACTGCACAGCAATTCTGTCAAGGCAGCCCCCAGCACCGTTCGTTTTGCCAGACGCGCCTGCATAGCGGCATTACGACTCTCACCACTCCACGTCTGAGCCGGTGAGGTGCCGTTTTAAACCATGTCAACCTTCACTGCCCTCAACGGGGGCTCACCAAAAACGTCAGAACCACCCAACCCGCCCGCCGACACGAGTAGAGCCCCGTCAGACGAGCGCACCAATGGACAGTCCACTCTTCCTGAGCCCAAATCGACCACTGCCGTAGAGCCCTCAGCCAGTCAGAGGGAACCTTGGGCCGGCCCAAGTCAGGACAGATCCCCGTATCAAACTGCAAACTACCCCGACGTTGATGGTTCTCACAAGAGAAAGCGATCAAACTCTGTTGAGCCAAGGCGAGAAGCCCCCGGGCGTCAGGAAAAGTCCCCTGATACCGCCTCTCAACCTCACCCACCAGAACCTCGTGAACCCTATGGAACACCCTCGCGCGACCACCGCCCGTATGCCGAACGTGAAGATTCACGGGAACAGGGTGAGCCATGGTATTCACGCGAGGGGAGGGAACGAGAGAGGGAGAGGGAGGAGAGGAGCTACTATGATCAGCCCTCCGCAACGTCTACCCAAGGTCAATCCGAGGAACAAATCGGGGAGGCACTTAGACGCGCCAACCAGATGGATGCGAATGACTACGACAACACCAGTCCTGACGGTGATGACCGATCAATGGCATATGGCTCTTACACGCCTGGCGGATCCCGTGATATGCTGCAATCTGACAAGGCGAAGAGAAAGCGAAACTTCAGTAATAGAACCAAGACGGGGTGTCTAACGTGCCGAAGGAGGAAGAAGAAGTGCGACGAGCAGAAACCGGAATGTAGGAGATACCCTGGCCTGTCTTTTCTAGCGACGGTGCTGACACTTTCCTAGGTAGCAACTGCCTTCGTGGAGGCTTTGTCTGCGCAGGATACCCTCCGCAGCGTAATACGGCATGGCAGAAGCCGGATAGCAAGGCCGCCGCCATTCCCCTGGAGTCTAAAGACCCTAGCTACGTTCCACCTGGCGCGTATGGCATGCCACAGCAAACTCCTTACGGTAGCCAGCCAGCTGTTGGACCAAGACGAGAGGCATTGCCTCACTACCGCGGCCAGCCGTTACGGATAGATCCCCCTCAAGGCCGACCCTTGTTGACTGAAGACGACCGGCCCACGGCCTCGACGATTCCCAGCGCGTCTGTTGCGAGCCCCGAGACCAAGCTATCCGCCATTCCCTACACTCCGGCGAACGCTTTCCCAACGCCAATCAGTGCTCAAGGGCCCCCTCATGCGCCCTTCTCAGAGAGAAAGGACTACCAGCGTGTGCCCCCGTTGCACGACATCAGCAGAACTGGGCCGGAACCGGAAACACCTCATCCTGGCAATACGCTGCCGCAAATCAACATTCTGCACCCTACGAGGTCGAACAGCCCCATCCCGCAGCCGCCAGCAACCACCAACGTCCAAGTTGCTGCGCAGCTAGCCTTGTCGCATACCCAGTTCTCCTCTAGCCGGCCCAGGACGCAGAAGGAGGATATGCTCGCTGGCAAGCTCTACTATCCATTCGACAAGGAGCTTGTCCTGGAACGCGAACGGTGCAGCGCAGCCTGTTGGCGATTCAATAACTCGACGAACCCCAACAACGGCGTATCTCCAGTCGAGCGAGCCCGCTTATTCCGCGAGATTTTGCAACCTCGCGACCCCATCCAAATTTCTCCGACAATCGCATCACCGGTGACCAACGTCGGAAGGGTGGGCGAGCACGTTGTTGTTGAAGCGCCATTCACTTGCGACTATGGATATAACATCTCGCTTGGGCAGAACGTCGTTGTCGGCCGAAGTTGCACCATTATCGACACCTGCGAGGTCAAAATTGGCGACAACTGCCACATCGGACCAAACGTGAGCATTTACGCGGCGACACTACCCACCGATCCGAAGCGGCGCATGGGTAGCAAGGGCCCTCAACTTGGCAAGCCTGTCACCATTGAAGAGGACTGCTTCATTGGCGGAGGGGTGATTATTTTGCCAGGCGTTAGGATTGGGCACGGAAGCACCGTTGGGGCTGGTGCGGTTGTCACCAAGGTATGATTACATGCGCGCCTGAATCATGAAACTCTAGTCTAACATCTTCTGCAGGACGTCCCTCCCTTCACCATCGCTGTCGGCAACAACGCCAGAATTATCCGCGGCATTTCCTCCTAAGACAGCACTTGGTCTTTGTCTGCTTCCCTGTCTCTTCCTCGCTGCTATGATACCCAGCTGCGTCTTATTGTACAAAAGCGTGTGTGCGTGTGTGTGTGTGTGTGTGTGTGTGTGTGTGTGTGGTTTTTTTCTTCTGCTTTCATATTCCATATCATTTCATATTATTGCTTCTACGATGTCGAGCCAAGCGCAAGGAGCAAAAGAGGGAACTACTAAAAAAGAGCTTGGCGTTTTCTAATACATTGGTTCCTTGATGCGATGCTGGCAGGATGGGGAAGAAGACCCGATCAGCTCAGCTAGTTGGAGAAAAGCATGCGGGGTGGGAGTTTGTGTTGGGAGGGGTTAGCTCTGGTAGCTTTAGACGGAGGCCGGATGGACAGGCTTCATCGACAGCAAAGCTGTTAGTGCCGGTCCGGAGAGCAAGAGGAGGCAAAAGTGCGTGGTGTGTATGTATCCTGATGCTGCCCAGGCAACGAGAGGTCGGGCGTCTAGCTTGGAATAAGACCGGTAGCTTTATTGCATGAGGCAAATGAAGTTGTGGCCAAGCCATGATGTCAATGATTTAGTTTGTATTGTGCAATGTGAGTGCTACTCTACAGATCATGTTAGAGTAGAATTGCGGCTGCTGTCATTCTCGAGTCTGATACTCACAGACGAAGCGGGCACACGCCATCTAACTGACGGCCCTCTAATTCGACTAGCCTTGTGTAATAGAGGGGTGCAGTATCAACACGTTCCAACTTTTGTAAAGAATTGCAAGAGATCCAGGGGCAACTGCGTGGGATCGTGCAGGTCTTTAGGAGGAGTCTTGGCCGCGATACCAGATGGAATGACTGGATCACGGAGCCAACCAAACCAGAAAAAATATTTTCTTTCTCTCCTTCTTTCTCCATATCCTCGATGCTTATCCAAAGAGAGGATGAGGTCATGGCAGCGGTAGATGGAAAACTTGGTCGGGACGTCGGTGATGGACGAGGAGCCGGCCCAGCGCTAGCGGTTGTTTTGGCTTAATTACATGGGAAGGTTTAAAAACTTGTCGCAGGGCCCACCGCCGAGGAGGAGTAGACTTCATCTCGGGCCGTGCGTGCTTTCGGCAGGAGAGAAAAGGTCTAAGAGACACCGCCTGCCGGCGTGCGGGGATGGCAGGTTTAGGTGCCACGGGGGCTAACGCGAAGTGAAGGTGGGCCTCGTGCAGGAATGTAGCGCCAATAGCTACCCTTTTTGGTAGATGATTTGGGAAATGTATGTGGGAAGAGAATGCGAGCATGGAGGCCATTGCGGGCATTAGCAAATATCTTCACGGGACGGATGTGAGGTTTGGTTATATGGCAACCCGCATATATACGACAGGCCTTTCTTGAGGGAGAAGATGTCTTTCAAGAGTGTTAGACCTAGTCGTTCACAAGTGAATAAGAAGCTTGATATTGATATGTGTGACTTCATTGAACGGTCGAGAGCGTTTGACGAATGGCGGGAGACGACTGCCTTTTGGCGCAAGGTTCTGTTCTTGGATCTTTCTTATTATCGCGGAGCAGAAATATGATATTTTCACTTTTGTTTAACAGCTTACCAGCAAGCCTGCGTCTGCGTCTCTGTGGGTTCTTTGGGATGGATACACATACCCTCGGCCAGAGGATCAGCGGAAAGAGAGCGAGCATTTGTTTGCACCATCGTTGGAAGGTCTCTTAAGAGGGTTCGTGTAATGTTTCGGCGTTTAGAGAGTCTGGATGGTTCTACCTAACTGAGAAGGCAAAAGAGACGTATACAGAAGGGGGGAGGGATAGGGGCCGTACTGTGGTTCGTTCGAGTTGGATTGATAAGGTTTATGTTGTCTCGAACGCCCCCAAGGGATGCGAGATTTGCTTTGGCTCTGCATTGCTCTCAGAGTTACATAGTAGATCGTTTATTGGTAAAGTTTTCAAAGTCCGCTCAGACGTTTTCTATCAGGTAAATATGGGCGAGCAAGCAAGAGAACATACTTTTCTTTTCTTCCATTCTTCCGCCTTTCTCGCAAAGATGGGTGAGAAGCATGTTGCTTTCTCCCCGATCCTCGCAAAAAATGATAAATGATACTTTGACGTTTAGAAATTGCATACAGGCCGAATCTAGAAAAGCGTCGTTTCTGACATTTGTGATGGGAGAGTCTCAATTGATGTCGGAGTGTTTATTTTTCCTTTTCTACTTGCCTACTAATTAATGAGACGACGTTCAATGGAAGACGGAGTTAAGTGGAGCCCGGAGATGTGATCTTTCTGGAAAGGGAAGGTGTAAAGTCCGAGGACTATCCCCGGCTAACAAGCTCCTCCTTGAGCGAGGAAACGAATCCTCCTGTGAATGTGATGACGACCCGCATGTAGCTTCCTTTGCTCGCTTTTTTGCTGACTGAAGAAGGTCACCTTTCGTAGACTCTGATCTCATGCTCCCGTGGGTGCGACTCAATACTTTTCCCCCCAAGAATCACCTCAGTAAACTCCGGAGACATCTCATCTCAGATTGGTAATTATCTCGGACCTCGCCTTGCCTCATTCGACCCAAGCTCTTTCTACGGATACTACGTCAGAAACTCGGCCGAGACCACCCCACCCATACCGACTATTTCCCATTCCCGCACCGACAACCTTATCAGGGTTTCCAAAGAAGGGGTGAGAGAAAGAAAAGGAAGAAAGAAAGAAAGGGAGAAGAGGGGGGCCGCCACAGCCGCCCGGACCATGTCGTCCTCGTCGGACATTGCCCAATTCACGTCCGTCTTCCGCGCCCAGTCTCTATCCGACGGCCAGCGCAGGGTGACCAGGCGCAACCGCCAACCCGTCTCGTGCCTCCCCTGCCGCGCGCGGAAGCTCCGATGCGATCGCGCCCTCCCGTGCGGTGCGTGCGCTAGGCGCGGGAGCGAGGAGGGGTGTAAGTTTGGGGCTGCTGCTGCCTCTGCCTCGACTACGCTAGGCGATGCTGGTGTACTTGCTGCTTCTGGAAATATTGCTGTTTCTGGGGGAAACATTGGAAATGCTCTGAGCTCGCACACCCGAGGTAACGGAATTCGAGCTGCTGCCACTTCAGACGGAGCTCCTCGTCGTCGTGGCGGGAGTGGGACCGGACAGCAGCCGCGTCCGGAAGTCCACTTCCGCCTCCGGAAGCTGGAGGACATGGTCCAGGATCTCGTCAGGAGGGGCATGACTGCATCCAAAGACCGGGATCGGAACGCTGCCGCGCCGGTGCCGGTATCGGGACCCACTGTCTCCACCGGGGTCGGTAATACCGTGCCGACGCCGCCGACAGACTCGGAACCCCGGAGTGAAAGCAGCAACGGTAGTGGCGACTCACCCGCCCCGATCCCAATCGACGGAGACGACGCCTACTACGGCGCAACGCACTGGACGGCCCTCCTCCACCACATCCGCGAGATCAAAACGGCCCTCGAGCCGGACCTGACCATCGCCCCCGAACCACCCGAAGGCGGGGCCTGCTCCATCGGCCCAGACTTCCTCTTCGGCGCCGTCGCCCCCGTCTCCCTGCCAGAAGTGCTGTACAGCCTCCCACCGCGGCAGGACCTTGACAAACTGCTAAGCGTGTACTTCAACGCCCGGTTCATCGCTGTGCCCTTTATCCACGTCGGCCGCTTCCAGCGCGAGTACGACGCCTTCTGGGCCGACCCTGAGACTACGAGCTGGCTCTGGATCAGCATCCTCTTCTCCATCGTATCCAACGCCACCGTCATCGTCCGCGGCAAGGGCAACGCGGAAGCGCTGGGCCTCGGCCGCGGGAAGCTCAAGGAGGCGTCGGCGTATTCGGGCCGCGCGGTGCAATGCCTCATTAAGGGGAACTACCTCGCGGCAAAGCCGTACGCCGTCGAGGCCACGCTCCTCGTTGCCTACTCCCGCGTCCTCGGCAGCAGGGACATGGACCCGATCCTCTGGAACATGTTTGGCGTCGCGACGAGGCTGGCGCAGCGGCGGGGGTACCACCTCGAGCCGACGCACCTCTCGAACCGGTCGATATCCCCTTTTGATGCCGAGATGCGCCGCCGCGCGTGGTTCTACTGCGAGGCTTTTGACCTCCTTCTCTCTTTCCAGCTCGGCGTGCCGGCCATTGTCCACGACGGCGACAACGACGCCCGCGGGCCCGAGAATCACCCGGACGAGGACTTTGACGAGGACACGGAGACCATGCCACCGCCGCGGCCGCCCATCGAGGCGACCCCTTCGCTCTACTATTGCTGGAAGGCCAAGCTCTGCCGCATCCTGAGGAGGGTCATCCGCCACGCGCTGTCTCCCGCGCAGCCGGCCTACGCCGAGACCGCCGCGCTCAACGACACCTTGCACGCCTGGCACGCTTCGCTCCCGCCGGTGCTACGCATAAGGCCGATTCGGTCGACAGGCTTCGCGGAGCAGAACTACACCATTATGCAGCGACTGATGCTCGAGCTCATGTACAGTAAAGCGCTATGCGTTCTGCACCGGGCCTACCTGAGCAGGGATAAGGGGTACGACGACCCGCGGTTCGCGTCGTCGCGGGAGATTTGCCGGGCTGCGGCGCTGCGGGTCTTGGATTTGCATGCCGAGTTTGATCGGGAGGCGAGTCCCGGCGGGAGGTTGTTTGAGGATCGGTATATGCTGAGTAGCCTGACGCTACACGATTTCATGATTGCTGCCATGGTTGTTTGTTTGGATTTGAACGAGAGCACGGATACGAGGTATGCGTTTTCGTTTTCTTTTGGTCTTGCTTCTCCTTCTGCCTCTTTCTTGCTTGAGAAGGGGATGATGGTAGAGTGACGGGTTGGGTTGGGGACGTATGAACTCAGTTGCTGACGACTGAAAAGTGACGAGGACTACGAGCGAAAGATGGACGCCCTCAGGACGGCAAGCGAGATTTGGGCAAGCCGTTCGGACTACTCCAAGGACGCGAGGCACGCGACCGCGGTCCTGAGGGCCATGGTCCAGCGGCTGTCGCGTCAGAGGAAGTGCGTGGCTCAACAGCGGACCGATTTTGCGATGATGACGACGCCAGCGATAGCTTCCACCACAGGCGGTAGCGTCAACAGCACGTACGGAGACCCGACCCTATTCAGCGAGTCGTCGAGTCTGCACGTTGGGTTTGGAGATGTCGCTGGCAGTCTTGGTCAGGGGCAGGGTCCAAGTGATGGGGCGTATCAGGTTGACGAATTTGATTTCATGGCGTTGGACAATGCGTTGAACGATCCTGCCAGCGTGGACTGGGTAAGTGTCAACAAAGTACTCCCGAAAATTGAGTGTGGACTGACAGTCAACACAGAGCCTGCTGGACCAGTACTTGATGCTGGATCGGACTGGGCAGTTGGCGATGGACGTTTCTCTTGAATAGAGCTGCGTTGCCTAGTGTCTTATGGCTGCGAGGACAGCAGCAGAAAAGTCAGCCAGGTTAGAGTAATAATTCTGGGTTCAAGTTATATATTGCGCGGATTCTGAAACAGCAGGCTCACATGGTCTCGAGGATAAAACGGCATTCGTTTGACAGTTGGGTTTATTCTTTATGTCCAGTACGTAAAGCATGACGGCATCTCTTAGTTTCCATCGTGGAAGAAACCAGCCACATTGATCAACACATGAGCCAACTTCGAGTCCATCTTTTTTATCCTTCACTAGCTAGCATAAAAAGAAATCCAAAACTACTACCTACCATCCCTTCAACACACCGAACGCATATTCTTCACAGGATATCCAACAAGGGCCATTCCAAAACGAGGGAGCGCGTTACAAACATCCAAGTCTCTTATTTCGCGACTGTTATGCTGCCTGCCGGTGCAGCCAGCAAGCTCCCGTTCTGATCATGGCAACCCAGAGTGTCGATTGTCGTCTTCACAACCGTGATGCAAGCCGACATCCAGGCTTACGGGGTCGATGATTCTGTATAAACCATGAGAAGCCTACCTTGTAGATAGAAAACCATGCCCGCGTAGCAAGTCCCTGGTACTCTCTTGACTGTTACCGGATTCTTCCTCATCTGAATCCCTAGTTACACTGAGGATAATTTCCACTCTAGAGAGGTTTCTGGTTTCCGGGCATCCCCAGCCAATATAATGAATGTCTAGCTATAGCCGCCTCGATGTATCCACGAGCAGAGTCAAATCATTTCATGATCGTTGTTTCTATCAATATGAGAAGGGTTGAATAGCGCGTTATATTCAGCGTCGTTATGCCTCTTTCAGGCGCGGTGGGTGATTCTCGTCTTGTCTGTAAGGCCTGGCGTCTCCTGGTGATGTCAGGTCCTTTGATGCCTACGCCGGCCCAAGTCTCCCAACATTTCATATGATCTAGGGTTAAGTGAGATGATGATAATCAAATCCCTCAAGCTCACTGTAATACTCGTTAACTGTCTGTTTTAATGACGACCAAAGTAACAACGACATTAGCGCAACTAAAACGGTTAAAACAAGGTGGTGTCGTCAAATAAATGTTTCATGGATTATTTTTTATTATACCACAAACGCATCAGGCAGGGCATCTTTCACCACTAATCATGTTTTGTTTCTGCGGTGTGTAGCCCAGTGATTTATACCCATGTGTTATTATGTACTTCGATCTGGGGAGGCCTCGATTATGCAACGTCGTGGAAGATGACAAGGTCAGGCTCGGCCACTACAACAGAACAGAAAGGGACCATGCCGTCCGGTCACATCAGGGAACAGCGTGGGTCATAGAATGGTGTGGTGTAAAGTCTCATGCCCATTGTATCCCTCTCTCTTCTGTCTGTCTATCAGCCTCCACACAACTCTCCCCGAAACATCTCTCAACAGCCGTCTCATAGCCACCGACCTCTCCTTAACAGTGCAGTCGCCTCAAGCTGTGCCGGACACGGCGAGCCCTATTATCAACTCTAACGAAATTGTGCCGCAGAACCTGACCCAATGCTAAAAACCCCTGCAACCGCCATGCGCCGTGCTGCGCTGTACATTATCAAGTTGTATGTTTTTTGTTTCTCTCCTTAGAAACAGAAAGTTCTTAGTTAAAGAAGGTCCCCGTTCCCGAGGTGAGATTTCCATGCCAGTGATTTTATGATGCCCCAACGGCCTCCAAAAGAAAGGAAGTCGTCGCAGCACAGATGAAGAGAAAACCAGAAAGAAAGGCTAGTGTGTTCGTCATTATCCCGGAATAGCCAGTGTGCGCTGGGTGCTACTCCGTGGTCGTCATGCGGAAAAAAGTGTAGCTCAGAGGATGAATAAGTTTTCGTCGGAAGGGGTGAAGAGTGACGGACATAGGGGATTAATCGGTGGGTGGTGAAGGTATCGTCAACCAGGTGTGGCCTCCTGAGTTTGCTCAAACATCGATCCGGCATCTGGCTGGTGTGTCCAGTGGGCATTTATATAGTGGTGGGGTGTAGTCTTAGCCGTCCTTTTGGCAACACGAACATAAACAGAAGCCAAGATTCTAGCCTGTGGAAGTGTGAGTAACTCGTTTGAGAGAGTCAATATTTAGGGGTGTACGTACCACAGCAAAGCGACTTCATGAACTTTTGGAAGCCTGTGGGTTGCGGCTCAGCAGGTCTGCCGTTAGGCTGGACCGGCTGCTGGTTCATCGGTGTCTGTTGAGGAATGTTCTGGGGCAGGTTGCGGTTGCTGTTCTGAAACTGGGCCTGAGTTGAGCCGGTGGGGGTGGCCATGTCCCGAAGACCCCCGACTCCGGAGCCCCGTTGCGCGTTCAAGGCGCCGGGGGCGTTTGGTTGACCTCTCGACTTCGCCATCTGCTTGATCGGAGAAGGAGGCGGGGGTTGCGCGGCGTTTAAACGGCCGACTGTCAGGTTGTTGGGGTTGTTGGGGTTCGCAGCACCGCCCCGATGGCCGCTGTGCAGTTCCATCTGGGACGGGCCGGGCCGAGCATTTGGGTTGTGCAGGTATCCGGGGTTGTGGCCCTTCATGGCATCCCATCCCTTGCCAGAGTCCTTGGAAATCTTCATCCAGTCGTACTCACCATCCTCGACCTCGCCGGTGTTCTTCAGGGCCTGAGTGAAGAGCTCGCGGAGGTAGTCGTAGTCAGGGGTGTCCTCGAAACCGAGATTCCGTACGTAGGTCAAGTACTTGTTGAACTCATCAGGGAACCCTTCGCAGAGGTCCTTGATGGGGGTAGTCTGCTTCTTCTCACCAATCTTCTCGTACTTCTGCTTGTTTGTCGCAGCCTTCAGACCTTGCCAGGGAAGACCGCCGCGAAGGAAGTACATGAAGACGTGTCCAAGGGCCTCAAGATCATCGCGACGGGATTGTTCGCGACCGAGATGGGTGTTGATACTCATGTATCGAGCGGTACCGGACAGCGACTTTCGCTCTCTGTAAGGGATGTGCTGCTTTGTCTTGGGATCGCGGTACTGCTTGGCCATGCCGAAATCGACGACGTGAATGACGTTGGCAGCCTTGGTGCCTGGTCTGCCGATCAGGAAATTGTCGGGCTTGATGTCACGGTAGATGAGGTTCTTCTCGTGAATCGTTTGCACTCTCGAAAGCTGTGTGATGGATTAGTCGCTTGATATCACGATGAGGTCAGAGTAACTTACCATCTGCTTGGCAACCATGACGACGGTCTTAATGGTGAACCTTCGGCCGCAGTGGTCAAACAGATCCTCGAGCGAGGGACCGAGGAGATCAATGACGAGGATGTTGTGCAGACCCTCCTGTCCGAAGTAGTATACGTTGGGAATGCCAGCTTCAAAACAGGGTCAGTAATGCGTGCGGGACGAGGGATTGTAAAATGGACATACGGCATCCAACGAGAATCTTATACGTCCGGTACTCATCTCGCAATTGAGGGGCATCGCTTTTACGCGGCTCCTACGACAAGAAACATCATTAGCAAGGTATTACAGCGTTGCAGGGTCACCGCGACGCCCTCGAACGACGCGGTACCCGGATTGAGCGAAGTCGGCGACGCACGAATTTGATGGCGACCTGCTGGTTATTCAGGAGGTTGGTGCCCTCGAAAATGACGCCGAAAGATCCCTCTCCAATCTTCTTTCCTACGCGGTAGTGCACGCCAACGACGTTGCTCGATGAGGAAGCCATAGCGTCGAAGGCCTACGTCCTATTACGGACCGTAGAGTCGGGGCAAAAGCTGGGTTGATGGTCGGTTCAATCGCGTCGTTGTCGGTTGAGGCGGTCTGATGGAGTCGATCGGGGTTGGTGTAGAGGGTGGAAAAAACTGGACGGTATCTAAAAAAGATGATGACGGTCGCAGGTCAGCTAGCTGCTCGTTATCCCGATGCCCATTTGAGCTGACTGGTTTCGGGAGGCGAAATCAGGCCGTGAGGACGGGAAGGGGGTGATTGCGTGGTTGCTTGGAGAGGATTTCAGGAAAAGGAAAGGATGAATGGGGGAGAGAATGGACGGATTTTTGGGGCAGGTGGACGGATGGCAGCCGCAGACGAGTGATTTCAGTGGGTAATGCGCCCCCGGACCACTTGCACTGCACGGGGAGTGCGAAGCTGGCGGAAAAGGATGGGCTGGACCGGGCTGGGCTGCTGGGCTTGGGGCTTCCCAGGGCTCTTACTGGCAGGTAGCAGCTGCGTTGGGTGGTGCCGGAGGTGCAGTGCAGATGGAGCGAGAGGGAATTGGGAAAGAAATAAAAATAAGTAAAGAAAATATTGAGGTGGTGAGCGGCGGCGGTGGTGCTGCTGTGCTGTACAGGCATGTTGCTGCTATGCTGTGCTGTGCAGCACCCAGCAGAAGTGTTGGCTCGGTGCTGGGCCGGCGCTCACACACACACCGCATACGAATCGCCTAGCCCTGGCCTGAGGCCGAAGCTGAGGATGAGAGGAGGGTACGGATACAGGTTGTGAAGGTCCAGGGTGCATTGTGCAATGTGCAGGGGACAATTCGATCGGGCTCTGCCTGTGCTGAGCCATCCATTGGATCCGTTCGTTGGATGCCGCCTTGTGCTGTGCAGCGGGTGGCTCTCATCTAAGCCCTCAATGTTTCTTACTTACCTGGGGCCTAAACGTTTCTCCGTTTCTGTATTCGCTGAAGCCAACGTATTCCTGTCCTGCCCTTTCCGCAGGCTCTCGTTGGTGCTGCTGACTTGTTTTCCCGTTGTGGGCAGACTGCCTAATCAAACGCTTTGATTTGTTCGTTGTTGTCGGTGTTGTTGTTATTATTGTTGGAATGTAATGTGTCGGGGGCGACAGCGGGGAGGCGGTGCGAAGGCTGAGTCGTATCTCGCCGTTGTCGGATTGTGCCGGTGAATCGTCTCCGATCGAGGCTTGTCGAGGCTTGCCGAGGCGAAGAGGAGCGCGACTGGGAGGAGGAGGCGCGGGAAAGGGAAGAGGAGAGGAAGAAGAGGAAAAAAGAGAAGAAGAGGAAGGAGAAAGATCCAGAAAGGCGAGATGCTACAGACGGTGTCGTCAACAGCCCAGGTAAAATTACAAGCGGCGACGCAACCTGTCAATGACCAAACCTGCCTTGCAAGTTGCAACGCTCACCGTGACCCACACTTCACTTTCAATGAGAGAAGGGGGTTCAGATCAGTTCTGGGTTCAAGGTCCAGGTCCCAAGTCCGGTCTCCAAAATTGGCAAAGTGAGCAACGACCGTGGAGGGGGGGCAAGCCGCAAGCGAAAAGAGAGCCACGAACTACGAACGTGTGGGCGGCTCTCTGTCGAAGGGGAGGGAATGGATCTAATGTCTAATTTCAACGGACGAGGGGGCCGGCGCCGAATGGCAAGGTGGGTGGAAGAGCACTCCTGGAATAATGGGAGGATTCGGAGAAGACTGGGAAAACACAAGCACAAACCGGCAAGAGTCCTCACCAAGCCTTCGTGACGAGATATGAAACGCAGGACAAGCCATTCGACTTGGGATTGGTTTACGTTGGAAATGGCATCAGGAGCGTACGGCCGCCCCGAGCTGCCTCCCGGTCTGCCTCCGGCCTGTCTTGTGTCTGTTCCGTACAGAATGGTGAGTGGTTACAGGTAAGGTAACTACGGATACGTACTCTATACAGATATCCCGACAGGAAAAGCATTGAGCAACTGGCTCTGACCCGACGGCCTTATGCTAAGGTACCTGACCGGCTTGAGCATCGTGGACGGACACCGACGCCAACAAAAAGCACAGACCAGCCGATGGCAATGGCGTGTCACCTCACAGGCTCACAAAGGGGAAGACAGCAACTAGTGCCTGATTACTGAGGTTCTAGACGCAGAGAGGTGAACAGGCAATGTGGAGGTACGTTCCCAAAGTATCCCCGACACCTTACCTAGGATCCATAAAAAGAATACATCAAAAGGTACTGGCCGTGGAGGGAAGGTAGGTACCTTCCATTACGGATACCTTACGGTTTACCGACACCTCTGGTGGAGCAACCTGACAATTGATGGTGGATTCCTTCCTGCCAAGGCCAAGGGCGAGATGGACCAGGTACCTGTTGTCAACCCAATCTCCAACCAATTTCCCATGTACCGGAGTCGACTTCTGCTTTGGGGTCTGCTACACCGCGACCCGGTCTGCCCCTCTCAGTCGGCTCCAATTTGCAGTACCTACCTGCACGGAGTACGTATGATCTTCCCTTTCCCCCAACCCCCCTCAGTCGACGTTATTCTTCTCCGCCCCAACGTCGCTGTCCGTACCCTCTTTTTACGATCTATCCGTATATGACCTTGATACATTGGAGAACCCACGCCGTATTCGTCTCTTCTCGTCTCGTCTCGTCCCAATCTCGAGTAAAAATGACCTCCTTTTCTTGCAGGACTTGCAGGATAGGAGATCCGAACTGCTACGGAAGTCCGGCGCCCGCCCTCTCCATCCTCATCTGAAATTTAGCCACCCGGCCCGTCGTCTGTTTGCCAGACATGCGTAGGCAGGTACTCTATCTATCGGCCCCGCCAGTCACTCTCAGTCCTCGTGCTGTGCCGTGCCATATTCTACGGGCGAACCACGGGAGAGAGACACTGACGCCGCACCGCGAGCAAGGGTCATGGCAGGCACCAACTGATAGCCCGCCCAACAAACGATGCGCCAGGGGAAACGGGGACACGCTCGCGCCTATCCCGTCAAGGATATTGCATGCTCCTCTGGTCAGGAGCATTGCGGCATTCCCAAGCCAAGCCAAGCCTAAATAGCAGCGGAAAGCTGCGCTAGAAACGACCCTAGAAAACACACGGCGTGTGCCCTGTGCGGGGATCGAGGTCCGCTGACGGCCTAGTCTGCAACCGCCGCATATCTCGCTTTGTCCCCGTGGACGAGGAATTTCATATCCTAGCCGCAACAGGCCTTCCCTTCAGTTTTGAATTTGATAGGCCGACGACCCCTTTCTAGGGAGCCTGGAAACCTCCAAACAAGGGGTGACGACCAATCTGAGATATTCTTGACTGAGAGATGATGGATATGGCTCGTCGCCGTCTTCCAGTGTTGTCGGCCTTCTCTGCACAAGCGTAGCAGGCGAAGACACCCTGAGTCGTGTTGCATCACACATCCCAGATTCCAACCCGTCAACACCTGTTGCTTGTCGGCAATTGAGCGTCCTTTGAGATAAGTTTCGAGACTTGTCGATATTTGGGACTACTCCCACGGAGCATCTCGTCGATACAAGGCTGTCTGCTTCCCACGGCAGCCACTTTGCCCTGGGCGGTCGACATCGTACGCCAGACAAGTTTGTGTCCCACACGGCATGAATGTGTATGTCCATGCAAACCATCACAACTACCGTTTCAATCCTGCGAAAATTCTCATTCTCGGCACAGGCACAACGGCATAAACTGTGGCCCAAGCACCATGCCGCTAGCCCATTCAGAACATCCAATGGCACGCCGTTGGTCGCCTATTCAACGCAGAAGAAGAAAAAGGCTCAAGGAGTTTGAAAATATGGAGGAACACCAACACGAACCCACACGTATGCACACGTTACAGGTGCTGAAGGCGCCGCTATCCCATGGCTTCTCCTCCTGCAGCAGAACCTTACCCGTACCGGCTTGGACCTGCAACGCCGCTATAGCCCGGCTTGCTTTGTCTCCCACCGCCGAGATGCCGCCCGAAATGCGGTGAAAGACCGCCCCGCCCCGTTCCATGTGGGAGCTCTTTGTAGCGTCATCGTGAATTAACAAATATCTCCTCACGCGGCAACCGGCTGACTACCGCTTATGCTTGCCATTCGATACGAATAGCCGCTGTCCGGGCCATGGGACTTCTCTCCCGCCCTCACAGCGCTACCTGTCGTACCCATCGTCCGATATCTACTCCCATCACCATTTGACGGGCGTGCCTCACCGACCAGCCAACCATTCGCGCTCCCTCCACCTTACGGTTTCACTTGTCTCCCGTCCATCCCCGTCAGCTGGCCCTACTATCCACCAGACATATTCCCCAACGTTCAAATGAAACGCTGACCCATCTAGTCCTCCTCCGAGTCTCAACCGCGAACAGGCCTCCCCGCGTTCATCTTGCGCCCATCATCCAATAGACAACTCCCGTCAGGCCGTCTAAACCACACTACAGCTATTCATCTAGCTCGTGACAATCACAGGGCAAACACACTCTCTTACATTGACACACCCTTTCGAATGCGCCACATTTTGAACCCGACGGCGTTCCCGCTTCTGTGATGACTGTGTCTTCGTTCCCCCTCCGGGAGTCGAAGCTAAACAGTCTCACTGAACCAAGCGTCAAGGCTAGTCACCCAGCACCTCGTGGCGAATCAGATCCTCCAGACGCCTTAGAGTTCTCAAGTCATGTCTCAAGACAAAGATCCGCCTTTGTAAGGAATGCCAGGATGTGGCTATTTTTCCTCGGCACACTGTGGCTTGTGCAATCCATGTGAATGACGTTGGCGGCTCTCCGTTGCTGGGCGCTGGTTTGTCCTTTGGATGACGGACGGCATGAAATGTGGCTTGGCCTGAGTTGTCGGACGGCAACTTACCTCTCCAGCGGGCATCGTTTCTCCAATATTTTACTCATTGCCATCTTGGAGGGGGTTTGCCCTCCAACTCGCGTTTCCGAACGGATCTTGGCAGAAGTATAGTAGCGAGTGCGAGCCGCAGAAGCAAATCCATGTGCCTCGACTTTCTGCCTCAAACGCCTACTGGGCGGCTCGTTGCTGTGGAGGTGGAAAGATTTAAACCCGCGACCAGGACGCATGGAACTTTGCTGCTCAAGCTGTGCATTCGTAGGTAGGTAGATGGTTGGTTGACATGCTGATTGAGAGCCATGGATAGGTGCTCTATACTTGGGGACAAAGAATCCATGTACGTCCGGTTCGCTGGAGGCTTTTCCTCCAGCAAGGCCGGATCGGCGACGCCCGTGGCTCCCAAGACTCGGAAAGCTTTGAAACTTCGGCAACCCATCCCGCGTGGCCAGTGTTCCACGGGAAGAAAAGAAACGCGGCGCGCAATTCGGGAGAGTGTCGCCTTGAGTGGAGGGAGGTGAGGAGTTCCGAGTGGGCGCGCCGCGCGTGTCGCCGCCGCTGCGCTTTGCTTTGTCCGTGTGAATCAGGCGGTGGCAAACATGTAGTTTATATGTCACGCAATATGTCGTGAGCGTTATATATGCGTATGAGAAGACGCGTTAGGAAAATGTGAAACGCCCAGCTTGAAGAGGAGAAGGGGAAAAAAAGGAAGACTCGTCGTCACTCAGAAGACGCAATGGAGAGGCTTGTAAAGAGCTACCAATAGATTGATTATTTCTCGTTGAAGGTTAAAATCAGGGAGCTCTCAGGCGTGCCATACCTTATTCGAGGAAGCTCCCTCTCATGACCTCATGTCTGGCAACTTTAGTCAACACACTGTATCGCAATTTTTCCGACGTAACGAACTACACCTCTGGAAACTTGATACATATACCCAAGTACCGTGGTAGAAATGCATTCACCATTGTACAAATTCAGAATGAAATAGAGTGGCAGCCCTTCCAAATCGTGTATTTGTTTCAAGTCTGAATCGTCGTGTTGCTTGTTTGCATGTCCGTCTGCATCTCGACTCTTTTTATTTCCCGTCTCTTCCATGCCCTCCCAATTCGTTATTGATGAAGGAGACAGAGTAGGAGCCCAGCGCCGTAGCACATCTGTCGAGGCTCATGAAAAAAGAGAATTCAAAAGAAAAAAACACCCCAGCCTCAGCCTTAATGAGAGCTGTTATAGTTACATCCGACCCAAACTTCCATAGAGTCCCCAAACTAAAGAAATTAGCCCTTTCGTGAGGAATGCAGCGTGGCACCCGTGGTTTCCCCGGAAACCCTTGCTCAGAATAGGGCATCCCAGTCAGCGCCGAACTTGGAATTGGTCGACGAAATACTCGGTTCGGATGAATAGAGCGCAAAGTCTTCATATCGAAAGTCCTCCACATTCTAGTGCAGACCATTCACTTTACCATTCGTTTGCAGATCCGGGAGGTCTTCCGTGGCAGCCCTGGTAGCCTCGTCCACCGAGTCCGCAACTATCGTCTCGGCCGACTCCGCCGTTGTGCGAGTCCATTCCTCCAGACGCGCCTTGTCAATGTACTTGCGCAGAATCGAGTCCTCCCACTTCATCGCGTCCAGGAGCTTGTCCCTGTAAGACTTCTCCCAACTAGCCCAGCGGCTGTCAAGGTCCTCAACGAACGCGCCCAACGCTTCGGAAGGTCTGGTTGGCTGGAAGGGTTCGTCGAGTCTCTCTGTTTCGTAGTCAGCAAATGACCTCGTCCATGGAAGTTTGTGGCACCCACGTTTTTGGTAGCAGGAAATGAAAGCACTGAAGAGCGTGGTCCTAGTCAACTTCTCTCCAACGAACGAATCGTCCTTCAACTGGGTGTCGTTGAGCTTCGCCCAGTCATCACGGATGAAGCAGCGTCTCCAGATCAAACGCCTGGCCGTCTTCAACTCTTCGCCCTTCAAACCCAATGAGGCGGCCTCGAGGGCTAGATAGAAAGGATCGTCTATGTCGGCGGCCGTCTCAGATGGTAGATGAATGAGAGTAAGCAGGTCGATGAGAGACATGGCATCAAGAGCCTCGTGCTTAAGGAGCCGTTTCATGCTGCTCTCAAAGACCTGGATCAGTGCTTTTTGCTTCTTTGGCAGGTAAAGACAGTGGTTTTCCATGGCGAGTTGCAGCTCGGCGCTGTCATCTACAGCCATATGAATAGAGGGGAAAATCTGGGCGTAGAGCTGATCTTGGATCTTGATGAGACGAAGTTGATCGTCGATAATCTCAATCTTCTCGTCGGATGTTCCTTCGGTCTCGACGTTTACATGCTTGAAGCCGAAAAGATCGGATGAGGCAGGCTTCTCAGACTCAGCTAGTAAAGCTAGCTTTCCGAGACTCAATTCAATCTTCTTGTTCCAGACCTGCTGCTCTCGGGTGATACCAAGGTCGAGAAGAGTCTCCGCCGCATGATCAATGTCGCGCTCACGTAGGATGTCGTTGATCCACGAAATTTTGGCGAGCTCAGGTTTTGCGCGAAGGAAGTTTGTCCTGTATCCGTGGTTGTCGTGGCTGAAGTCCAGCACGGCCTGAACACCGGCGTTGTCTAGCAAAATGTCGTACGTGGGGAAGGCGAATGCTTCACCATACTTGTCAAAATAAACACCGATTTGCTTATCTTTCAGCTCCGCTTGCTTAGTGAGTTCGCGAGCATCGGTTTGCGACCTTGACACTGTCGCCTCACTTCTGAGACTGTTGATCTGCTCGATCATGGCCAAAGCTAGTGCTCTCCAGCATCGGTGTTTCTCGGCAATGTTGATACTCTCGTCCCACTTACCGAGGCGGAGAAGTGAAAGAACCTTATCATTCCGATCCGAGTCGTAAAGCTTTGTGAGATGCTCTGACCACTTCTGCGCTTTTGCGTCCTGCTGCACAGCGTTCCATCGAGATGCCTCGAGCAGTGACACGAGATATAGATCGCTCAAATTTGCAATTTCAGAGTTGATCTTCTCCAGGAGCACAGGATCCGGCTGCTTCGTCTTGTCCTTGATCTTCTCCTTGGGCGGATAGTATTGATCAAGCCACGTGTGGCTCAGCTCAAGCAGCCGCTTCAAGTTGTTGCAGATGTAATGGCATCCGGTCCAGGGTTCAGCGAGGCCATCGTAGTTGTCGCGCAAGATGCCGAATTGCAGCTCTTCGTTTTCGAGTCCGTAGAATGCAAGCTTCTTTTGCCGGTATTCCAGGGCCGTCATAAGGGCGACCAAATTGACTTGCTGAGCCTCGTACATGAGTCGAGTGATGTGGATATCATTCATGATGTGGTCTTTGTACATGTACTTGATCACTTCGTAGGCCCAGGCAATGAAGATCTCGAGCTTACCAACGTCGTGAACGAACCAGTGCCTGACGCGATCGACTTCCCCTGCGCTGCGGTTCGGGTTCGTCTTTTCGTCTTGATGGATGAACTCAACGATCTCGGCAATCAGATCCTTTTTATCGTTGGCGGGCCGCTCATTTGTGAAAGCCTCATGGCGCTTCCATAGAATGGTTGCCACCATCATCTTCTCAGCATGCGAGAGCAGGAGCCAACGGGTACGACGGTCAAGCTTGACCTTTGTTGTCTTGAGGTGAGACATCAACCGATCGAGAGCGAGACAGCGGGTGCTGAGATTGTCTTCTAAAGATGCCGGCAGTGTCGAGATATGCGATGTCGACGAGCTCATGATCTCGTGGCTGAGTTGTAGTGCAGCTTCAGACACCTCCTCATCCGAGAATTGAACGCCTTTCCTTCCATCGAAAATCAAGGGGGTATCTTGCTTGTTCCCAAAAAAGACAGCCTGCTCTAGCTTGCTCTTTGGTGTGACCTGTGGCGGTTGGTCACTGCCAAATCTGTCTATGTCTGTCGTTGTCAGTCGCACGATACCAGTACCACGGACCATCAGAACAACTGCTGGGTTCTTCGTCTTTTGGCGAGATCTCGACTCCTCATGTCCAGTGTTCGCCGTCTGGGGCTCTTCGAAGCCTGATCCCAGAATCTCTGACTGATTATTGTCGGAAAGAGTGATGACATCTTCGTAGGTAGGAGGAATAATGTGGTTATCCTCCTGGAGTTGGGCATCTGGCGATTCTGGAGGGTTGCCAATGGATGCCACAACCACCGCCTTGTCGAAGACGACGAATGCCACAAGGGCCGGTCGGGGGAGATGTAACCGAGGCCGAGTAGACTGTACTGGGTTCGCAGGACTGAATCGTGTTTTGTAAGAGGAAATCGGACGAACCATGCCGACTTGCGCGGAGGCTGGGGAGAGAATGACCTCGACCAAAGAGTAATGCGACTCCTTTTTCTTGGTGAAGCTGACGAGAAGTAAGAGATGCTGCAGATTTTTGTCTTCCGAGGCCATGGCGTTGCTGAGTCTGCTCATGTCCCGATACTTTGCTTCCAAGCCCTTGGGTACGAAGGCAAAGTCGACAACCTCGAATGTCTCCGGCTGGAAGTCGGTAGCCGACGGGTCGACGTCGCGAATCGCCTGGACGATCTCCTCCAGCATGTCTGCTTCTACAATAGTGTCATGGTGTCCACCGCGGTGTACATTCCAGGCGTGAAGCCTACCCTTCAGCGTAGCTGCGACGACGTTACGCTCGCCGACTCGAGAAGTGCGCTCTGCCCGAACGGCAGCAATGTCTCCGCGCCCTGCAGTCTGTGTCAAGGCATGACGAATGCTGCCGAAAATTCCGCCAGTAGTAGATCCCATGTTTGTCCGGAGGAATTGGACCGAAATCGTGGGTCTGCCGTGGCTGTCTCGGACGCTCATGTAGGCTAGTCGGCCGCTGCTAAAGGCCAGAACAAATCCGGCGGACTCGGCGTTCGTAATTTGTATGACCTTTTCACCGGAAAACATGCCCGATATCGATCCTTCCACGCCATTTCGCTGTTTCTTCATGAAGTCCAAGGTCGCAGCGCTCGTGATGGATTCCCAGTACGCGATTTTCCCACTTACGGGCATAACGACAACCAGCCCGGGCTCCGTTGATGAGGCCGATGGGGAAACGAGGCAACCCAATGGCAGGGGTTCCGATGAATGTTTTGAAGGATATGGGAGGGTGAATGTGAAAGTCTCGGGAGATTGGGAGGGATCCGTGTACGGCCAAACAATCGCATGAGTATGGCTGAGACTGAGGGCGTAGCGGTTCGAGAAAATATCGGCCTGTTGCTGGGCTTCACCAGACCATTAGACGCGAGGAAGGCGCACCGGGGTCAAGATTACGTACCTGAAGCATCTGCGCGGAGACGATCTGGCAATGCAGGCAATTTGCTCACAGTGTAGGCGTTGTTCGTCGTCTGTTGGGGATTTATTAGCTAACCAGGGGATCGATGCGACCGTATGTTTGCGTACCAAAACAACACTTCCATCTCCCTTGGTTGGCCTGTCGCCTGCTTTGGGCTTCTTTGCGCGCACGCTGAGCTCTTTTCTCGGCGTGGGTGTGATGGGGTTCTGGTTTTCGAAGCCGTCCTGGCGTGTGTCGAGCGTCGCAACTTTGTCTGACTTGACCTCGTACATTTCGGGGCCCGTGGGCGTGGACACATCAGGATTGACGAAGGTCTGCTCCGTCAGAGGCAGACGTTGGCGCTTGGCTTTGGGTTGCTGGGCAAGGCTTTCGTGACTGGCCGGTCGCTGCCTTCTTCTGCTTCGCGTCGCGGTGGCTGGTCCGCCCTCGTTCATGGAGGGAGAAAACATGATGATGTCGAGCGACCGGGCGCGAGTTGTTTGATGGGGGAGTGGTCGGTCGCCGTGATGGTGATGATTTTCGTGGATGGGCCGGTATCAGTCAGAAAAACATTTCGAGGATGGATTCTGTGGCCTAAGGTCTTGTTAGGGAAAGCGGAGGTCGGGAACGGTGGACGCAGGTGGCAGAGCGGATTTAGCAAATATGTGAGAGTGACGAAGCATCCATCAATTGGGTCTCGCAAAAAAAAAAACACAAGGTTGCTGCATCTGCCAAGCACAGACCAGCAGCGCCAGCAGCTCCGGTCTGTCCACTAGCAGTGCGGTGTCAGGCTCCACGACCCCGGTGAGCAGCAGGTCAGGGCAGGTGTGCATGTGTGCAGGCGTGCCAGCTGAGGCGGCGGAAGGGGCAAGGACAGCACGGGTGTACCTAAGGTCAGTTCCCCACGTACCTAAGTTTAGGTAAGGTGCCTGCCTCAAGGCACCAATGGAAATCGAAAGTGTCAGGCCCAGTACGTTCCTAGCTGCTTTCTCCTTGGGCGGGTTCGTTGCTTCCAGCGGAATGGGAGAGGCTCCCCATTGGTCGACTCCACGATCGATTTGGAGTCCGCTGAATCGACGCATTGGTACAAACAGGACCCTGGAAGTGGAGCCTGGAAAACCAACTCAAGTCAACAACGTCACTCGGCTCTCGGGAAGTGTCGGTGGACTCATGGGTACAACGATTCTGGTGTAGACCTAGGTAGAGAGAAATACCCGCTAACCGGTGACTTGAGATTTGCTGAGTCGTTCACAACCGTGACCTTCACTTGTTTGCGAATCCTTGGTACATGCTCTCAGGGACAGCGGACTTTCAACTTCATCGGGTTGCAAGACGAGCCAACTCGACCCCACCATTCGCTTCTATTCATCCTTGTTCTGCGGCTCGTTGCATTCTTGACCCGGAGCGATCTCCCGAGACACAAGTAAATACGATGATTGGCCGCAAGACCTCATGAGCTTGGACAGCCAATAACCTCTCTTATCCACGGAGTTATTGATTGTTCTTTTGCCTTTTCTTTCAACCCTCGATCCAGTCTCATCAGAAACAGTCAGCGACGAGAGACTCGTCGCCAAGTAGACCAGACAAGAACTGTGGCTTTGGGCGGTTCAGCCGATCTTGCCTTGAGAGTGTCCTTGGAGTCCTGCGCCAGAACTAGGCTCACAGTGGAAGTATACGATTACCACCGGTCTGGTTCATGCCCTAAACTGCGGGTTATGAGCAAGTCTGCCTTGGGAGTGAGACTGGAAGCTAGATATAAACTGATCTGAGCGCACCGCCGATCGCCGAGACTTACATCCCGAAGACGACTGCGTCAAAGGGAAGGGAAGTCAGTCGCGTGGAACTCAGGTTTGACAGCAATCCCATATTACATGACTTTGGACGAGCAACCGCTACCATGATCTCTCACACGCTAAGGTTGCCGACAGCAAGGAAGATGGCCTCCACTGTTCGGTGGTACTCGACCGCGATGGCCATCACAGATCCCCTCGTCAAATACCGGACGCTGGTCTCAACCAAAGTCCTCTCACCCGACCAAGATCAACACAGACTGGCCATCCACCTCCAAAAACTCTATGGCCGCCTCAAGGACTACGCCCCCGAAGTCGACTATCGCGAGCGTCTGAAGCAAGTAGCAGATATTCCAGAAGCCCGCGATCCAGAGGAGGCCGCCGCGACTCTGGCCATGCCGAGCCACCCCATCTGGGACAATCCCCTCTTCAAACATCTCGCCCGCAAGGCCATGCCGGAACCGAAAGACTCCAACCCCATGGCCCTCGTCCACGTCATGACCAGCCTGGAGGGTGCAATGACTATCAACTCGCCCAGGGGCCTCTTCCTTTCCGGGGAGGTCGGCGTGGGAAAGTCCATGTTGATAGACCTCCTGGCACAGGGTCTGCCGACGGAGAGGAAAAGGCGATGGCACTTCAACACCTTCATGCTTTACACCTTTTCGCAGCTGGAAAAGTTCCGCCAGTCCCATACCGAGCTGGACGGAAACGAAAAGGAGTATGCCATGCTGTGGCTGGCCAAGAAGCTTGTGGAAGAGTCCCCTATCCTGTTCCTCGACGAGTTCCAGCTGCCTGACCGTGCCGCCAGCAAGATCCTCAGCCACTTGTTCATCGCCTTCTTCCACCTCGGCGGCGTTCTCGTCGCTTCGTCTAATCGCGTGCCTGAAGAGCTACAAAAAGCCATTGGTATCGAGTACACTGTTGCTCCTTCTGATGGGTTCCTCAAGAGCCTTTTCCTGAGCGGGGCTCGCTCACGAGGTACTAGACATGGTCAGAACGACTTTGCTGCCTTTCTTGAAGTTCTAAAAGCTCGCTGTGACTTCTGGCACATGGAAGGCGCCATTGACTGGAGGCGTCGGGAAAGTGGAGATAAGGCTGTCGTTGAAGCCATGCTCATTGAGAAGGCGGGAATCGCGGCAGAACCGGCGGATACTCACGAGGGTAAGCCAACCATTCACTGGTCCAATTGCACGATACTAATGGATTCAGAAACATCCAAAGAGACAACGAAACCGGCAAAGTACTTCCTGACCCCCGAAACCTCAGGATGGACATTAGAACTGGCAGACCTCCTGTCCCGACCATGGAGCCCGGCAACCCTTACCGTCTACGGCCGCACGATTCCCGTCCCGCGCCAACGAGACGGCGTAGCCTATTGGGACTTTGAAGCCCTCGTCGCAACCTTTGGCCCGGCAGACTACGTGACCATGGCGTCAACCTACCACACCTTCATCATCGACAACGTCCCAATCATGACCACGCTCCACAAGAACGAAGCCCGACGCTTCATCACCCTCCTCGACGCCTTGTACGAAGCTCGCTGTAAGCTCTTCGTCCGCGCTCAGACCGGCCCCGACGACCTCTTCTTCCCCGACATCCGGGCCGCGCAAGCAGAGATGGCCGCCGCCGCAGAAGCCGCCGCCGCAGCAGCAGCGGCCTCCGGAACCACCGCCCAACCGGGAGAGGAAGTCGTCTCCTCGGACGCAATCTACTCCGAGACCATCGCCGAAGTCTACCAAGACTCCGCAGCCCCCTTCCGCCCTAACATATCCTACTACGACACCGACGCCCCGACCTCAAAATACGACCCGGACCAGGACTCGGATTTTGGCCGCCTCGGCAACGTGAGCAGCGCCACGGGCGCCTCGAGCCCGAATTTCAGCAATACAGCCGGCTTCATAGGCGAGGACGAGAGCTTCGCGTACCGCCGGGCCGCGAGTCGACTGTGGGAGCTGTGCAGCGCCTCGTGGCATGCGAGGGGGGCCGAGGGCGACCCGGCGGAGTGGTGGACGCCTGTTCCGCGTACGGCGCGGCACTGGGAGAATTCCGCGCCGTCCAAGCCCAAGAGAGACGAGCCGTCGCCGCCGCGGAAGCAGAGTGACGCCGTCATGGGGCCGTCGAGGCCGGTCGAAGAGCCGTTTGGGACCGATAAGCTTGTCATTGAGAGGTGGCGGGCCTTGGAGGAGGCTGAGCGCCGGCGGGGAGAGTCATCGTCCTAAGACTGGCAAGGTCTGCAGGTTTTGAATTTTTGCATGTTTTATATACTTTTAACGCAGGGGATTGGGAGTATCAGGAGCAAGTTCCATTGGACTATCTTGCTCTCTCTCTCTCTCTTCCCCCATGTCTCCCTTGTCTCTGAATTTTGAGATTCATTGCATTTCGGATAACCATCTCATGGAGCATAGCATAGCATTTTGGCGGTGCTGGATTCAGCATACGTCGCTTAGACGACGTCGAGACCTTTGATATATAGATATCTTACAAGACCAGTATCATCTGGTCCTCAATTTAGAAGAAAAACCAACTTGATATCACAGCTCGGAACCCATGCATCTAACCTCTATGATCAACGCCCCAAACTCCAAGGAATCAAATCGAAATAGGGACGACGAAGCCCCCTTTCATCTCAGTCATCCACCAAAAACTTCAAAGACTCAAAGATTCGTAACACCAGGAGTCCAAGCCTCCCCAATCCTCCTCACCTCCCCCTCAAACTTCCTACTCTTAATCACCCGCCCACCGCGCCCACTCACGGGCGAATGCTCATCAGGCTCGTAAAATGGGTTCTGCAACAGCCTCACATACGCGCTCTGCACAGCCCGAAACACGACCCGTAACTCCTGCTCCCTGAGCCCGACCGCGCCGCGCCCCTTGGCAGGAGCATCCGCCGCGCCGCCGCTCCCACCACCGCCGCCCGCGACCCTCCGCCCGCGCATGTCGATGACGACAATAATCTTGACGCCCGTATTCGTCTCCCAGCCGTACGCGGCCAGCCTCTCGTCGACGGCGTGCAGGAGTCCTACCTCGCCTGACAGGCCCGTCCCCGTAGACCCTGTCGCTGCACCGGCGCCGGCGCCGCCCCCTGAAGAAGGCCCGTTGCCGCCGCCGTGGCGCAGTTCAAAAATGTCTAGGGTCGAGGAGAGGAGAAGGGAGAATTGGAGGGGCGTGCGGATCGGCGCAAAGGTGTTTGTTGAGGGGTTGTGGGAGGGGAAAATTTGGATGTGAAGGGGGTTGTTCTGGAGATTGCTGTATTAGCTTTGATTGTCTGTTGAAAAGGCACTGGGGGGGAAGCTGTGTGACCAAAAGGAGGGATAGGAGGTCTCAAGGGCGGAGGGGGAGCTTTGAATGGCGAACCACCCAGGCCAAAGCTAGGTGGTCTGCGCCATGGACGGGGAGGTGAGGACGTACATTGCGGCCGATGATGCCTATACAGGCTATGGAGGGGATTGCAGTCGCCATCTGCGTGCCTGCCCGTGCTCTTCGTCGTCCGGGTTGCAAGGTGTCTTTCGGTAGAACTCTGCGTTGCGGCGTGGAATGCGATCGTGTATGGTCGGCCAAAGTTGAATGTTGTTGGCAAGGTAAGGCAGAGTGGTTAGAGACTGGAGAGCTGGGGTAAGGTGCCGGACCTGGAAACAGCTGGTGTGGGTGGGAGCTTAATTATTTTCGGGATCCCACTGATGCCCCCCGCATTGGCACCAGGGGAAGCAGCAGCTCATCACAGCTCCCTGCTTCTGATAGCTATGCCAATCTCTCAAGGTGAGGGTCGACAGACAAGAACAATGGCTGCTAGCAAGAAGGAAAGGATCTTATGCTCCAGCCTTGTGCAATATGTTTTACCTGAACCGTCCCTTCATTGAGAAGTGTTGTTACACCCAAACTAAAATAAACCATTACTCCAGTCTTCATAACGAAAGCGTTGAAGCCCGACCTCCTTCTCATAAGCTAACGCGCCCATGGAAAGATTTGAAAAGCGCTCTACTGAGATCGCCAAAGTTTTCAATCAGAACCCACAAATGACTTAAATCGCGGCATGGCCCTCAATCAATCTCCTCATCCGACACCTTCTCCGTGTCCTCCAACCCTCTTAGCATCTCCTCAATCTCGCTTGGGTCTGTGATCGCCCATACGCCGCCGCCCTTGACCGAGTCCTTGCCCCTCATACCGACCTCTTTGCCGACGAGATTACGGCCGACCTTGCCCGGCCCGATGCCGATCCAGCGCCTCACCTTCTCCTCCTGGTCGAGGTATTTGATGCTGTCCCACCACCGCACCGTCTCCAGACACTGCCGCGCGAGCAGGTCCTTGACGTCCTCCCTGCTCTCGAAAGGCCGCGCGCTCACGTTGCTTATGCAAGGCAACCTGCCAGGGAACGTGATGATATCCTCCCCCTCGCGCCCCTTGACGCGGCTCTTTTTCGACAATATCTTCTGCATCACCCCGACGGCGGGCTTCATGAGCGGACTGTGAAATGGGCTGTCGCTATTCAACCTCACCGCGCGCGGGTCGTGTCCCAAAAACTGCCTGACGTGCGTCGACAGCGTCTTGATCCGCTCGATATTGCCGCTCAGCACAATCTGGTTCTTGCTATTGACGTTGGCGATGAGCACCTGCTCGATCGGCGGCACGTCCTCGGAGCTCTCTCCCTTTGACCCGGCGCTGGAGTGGCCCACGAAATCGTGTATCGCCGCGATCAGCGGACCTAAATACTCGGGTTCCGTGACGATGGCCACCATGCCGTACTCGCCGCCGTACTCCTCCACGGCCCGCCGCGTCGCCTCCGCCATGGCCTCGGCCCGCTTCCGGACGAGGTACAGGCTGTCCTCGAACTCGACGTACCCGCCCGCCACCAGCGCGGCGAACTCCCCTAGAGAGTGGCCCAGCGTCACGTCAACGCGCCGCGACACGTCGAAGTCGAATTCGCGCTCGAGGATGCGGAGGATCAGAATCGAGGTCGCCATGATGGCCGGCTGCGCGTTTGGCGTCCTCGTCAGTAGCTTACTGGGCCCGTCGGCGATGACGTCGGAGAGCTTGAAGCCCATGTAGTGGTCGATTTCCTCAATAATAGGTTTCGCAGTTCGCGGAAAGGCCTCGAGCCATGGTGTTATCATGCCGACCTTTTGCACTCCTTGGCCTGCGATGTCCCACATAAACGTCAGCTCCTCAAGTTGTTCCTCTCCTCAATTCACACTCCCCGCCCCCCATGTATGACTCTTCATCGTAACACACGCACCTGGGAAAAAGAGCGCTGTCCGTGGCCTTGTCCCCTGTGATGAGGACGCATGCCGTCTGTTCGACCCGAAAGCTACATTGCCCGTTGTGGCGCGCCCGCGGCCGAGGCAGCCGAGCCCATCGGCCCATACAGCGGCGCCTCGGCGGAGAGAATGGTGAGCTCCGGGAGCTGTAGTCATGGCCCGTTGGAACAAGCGCCAGCCAATTGTGAGCTGGAGCAGCTTAAAAGGTCGCAATCATGGAGTCAGGTCGTTATCATTCGGTGTGTTCAGAGGCAGAGAGCAGCGTAAGAAAGACAGAGACCAACGCCACAAGCCTTCTAGAAACAAGTATGGAAGAGAATTAAATGTTCCTAAAAAGGGTTAACGAGGGGTCCGCGGGTTTTGCGACCAAGTTCGACGAAATGTGTCACACGCAAGCACAGCCCACGCGCAACGCCAATGTGTGGTCTTGGGGTCGGGGGAAACAGAGAGAGAGACAGGAATGTGGTGCGCACTGCTGTTGGACGGAGCCAAATCGAACCATGACGCCAGTGACCAGCGGTTGGTCCCAGTGGCCGCCACTAACCGAATGTCCCGAGGCCGAGATTGAGGTAAGAGTAAAAAAACACTGGAGTACCCCGCGATTAGCACCTGCTTCCAGCACTTTTACAGGCGCGTTTCCAGTCCCGCTGCGCCGGGAGCGGGGTGCTTGCTGGATCTCCCTCAGGGGCCAGGGGTCAATTGCCGCCGAGTCACCGATGCTGCACGACGATCTCACGCTGAAGATTGAGTCAACGCCTCGGCTCATCCGTCAGCAAGGAAAAGGGTACGATTCTTCGTCAGAAACGTCTTCTTGGGTGGCTTACCCGTCACGCCTATGGCTTGCTTGCCTGGGCGCCTCCCAATATTCTCAGACTTCCACGAATTAGCATCGTTAGCCTGCCACTAGGCGCGGTGAAACCGAGGCCTCCAAAGCATGTGAATTTGTTTTCCGGGAGCACTATCCAAGGACAGCTAAAATAATTCTCATTAGTTTATATTGCTATCTTGTCGTGTCGTCTCAACATCGCGTCTCTACACCGCCCTTGCTGACTGTCAGATACTTGACGCCCTTGTACGGCTTCACGTTCTCCCCCAGGCCTTTACTCTTCCGCGGGTCGATCATGATGCTCTCCACTTTGACACCGCTCGGAAGCCACCCCTTCACCGAGAAGCTCACCGACGCCGAGCTCGGCATCAGCATCTTATTTTGCGCCACCTTCTTCGTGTCTTTTTCGTCTTCTCCCCCGTCGACCGTCTTCTTTGCCTGGGCGGGACTGCTCTGATACGGTTCATCGTAGCCGTACGCCTTTCCGAACCCGAAACCGTTGGGGTCGAGCTCGTCCTCGTCCTCGTCGGGCAGCTGGCCCACAACAGTACACCTAAGACCAAAGTATGACGTGCCAGAGGATATTTCCTTGGTGGGGACGTGCCACTCGAGGACCCTTTCCCCGGGGTTGAAGGTCGCGTCTCCCTTGCTCGGCCGCAACTCGGACAGGTTCCTAACCTCTGCCGGTAGCGGCACCGTGACGATCAAATCCTCCATCAGAGGCGATGCAGGAGTTCCGGGATGGGGACCACCGAAGCCTCGACCTGCCCCGCCGCCACCGCCTCTGCCGTACTGACTTGCTGCCGGGGGGCCGCCGGCTCCTAGCACCTTGTTGACGTGTAACCGCACCTCAAAGTCTGAGCCCGTAAGACCTAGTCCGGTCTTCATCTCAATGTTGACAGGGAGCTTGAGGTTGTTGGAGCTCAAACTCCCGTTTTTGCCGTTTGTGAATGGTAGCAAGTCAACCTCGTAGCTGGCCAAGATGAATCGGCCGTCTGGTGGTACAAAGCTGAGCTCGCCGGGGTGTTCCTTCCACCGCGACAGACGGACGCATGGGTGAAATACTGGGAGGTCCATGAAGCCGGCCAGGTTGTGTTTTCCAGATGGGCTCGTTAATGTCATGACAATGTCGGGCATGCCAGACACCTTGCACGTGAAGGCTATCGTTCCGTTGGCGAATGCTGCCAATGGCCGCCCTGAGGGTGCCAAAGTGACAGTCAGGGTCTCGACGATGTCCGCGTACATCTCGTTGGACGTATGCCGCACATTAGCCCTGCGCCAGGGCAATGCTGGTGTGTTTTGGGCGATCAAGGACGGCGTGCTCGGGTTGGCGAAGCCGGTGCCAAGGTTGCCAGGCTTCCTGCGTAAATCCGTTAGACCAGTCTCGTCACCAAATATCCATTTCATAGTGTCTCCCTTACCCTGGCAGGGTGATGCTGCCGAGCAGCTTGCCCACCCATCCCTCGACCTCCACCAAGTCCCTCAGCGCGTTCGGTTCCGTCGTGTTGATCGTGCCGGCGTCGCACATCTCATTGAGGAGCTGCGCGACGACATCGTAGTTGTTCTCAATCTTGTGCGCCAGCAAGGGAGCGCCAAGGAACTCTTCAAACACATCGATGATGCGGTGAATGAACTCGAGGACGAGGAGGGGCTCGATCTCGGAGGACGAGGTGGCCAGGAACAGGAGGTTGGCGTGCTTGAGGCTGAAGACGAGCGTCGGCGGGTTCGTGTTGGGGAGGTAGATGAGGTTCGGGCGCGGCGCGGGATGCTCTAGGTAGAGGGGCAGGAGGTGCTGCGCCGACAGCGGGCGGGAGGTGTACGTGTGCGACAGGATGGCATGGCTGCGGGGGTTTATATTAGCTGCGATAGGTCTAGATGCCGGTATTCGGTGTCGACTGACTTGTGCTCATCGTAGATATGCAGCGCCTCAATAACGCCGTTCATCATTCAAGTCGGCATCGGAGGCTGCGCCGTCGTTGTCGGAGGTGGTGGGGTGGAAGGTTGCTGTCTGTCATTCTGTCTCTGGAGCTCCCGCGTCCAGGTACCACACATCCGGCCCCGCGCAGGCGGCGCAGGCGGCACCGCACATGCTCGATGATGGAATTAAATGTTAGTGCAAAGGGACGGCTCAGCCCAGCCAATTAGGAGCACGCTATACCCTGTCCCTGCACCAAGCTTCTGGGCCTCTACCATTCGCTCCAAGAAGCTCGTTTGTCGCCAAAGCATTCGATAGCAACCTGAAGTCCGTCATAACCAGGTTGAACAGACACATCGCCGCCATGGTTGGAGGAGGAGACAAGATGCCCACCGTGGGCGCTCTCGATAAGCCAGAAAGCCTCGACCAGCTCCTGCGTGAGGATCGCGGCGATGATTGCACATCGTGCAGAGTCATCGGTAAGCACCTTTCTCCCAGACTTCCGACGGCTTAGCGACAGCAATATCGATGCTGATGCGATGATTTCGGACGAACAGGAGGCGGCGCATTCCTCGGCCTTGCAGCTTACAACTACCTTTCCGGCATGGGTCACGTCGAACGACAACGCGCAGCGATACTCAAGTCGGGATCAATGTTCGGCATGGGAAGTCGCAAGCTGGGTGTCGCTAGCATCTCGATGGGCCTGGCCTACCTTGGTCTGTGGAGGTTGTTCAAATAGACGGTGGATGAAAGAGGGACTGAGAAATGGGATGAAGAGAAAATCGCAACTCAAACAACTAGGCCGCGCGCATCTGCTGCAGAAGGCCTCATGGGCATCAGCAGCCCACGTTGCTGACGGAAGAAGATTGGCACCTCTCTGCCGAAGGCTTCTCACAACCGAATGCTAAGCGGCGGCGACAAATAATCGCAGCGGCAGGTCTTCAAGGCAGGCTCTGGTCGAGGTAGCCATGTTGGCATTCTGACTGGCATCTTGTCGATCGTCTCAGAACGGACTACCGATCTTCCGCCAAATGGCAGCTAGTGGCCATTCCAGCAGCTGAGGGCTGCAACTCATGTTGCAACACTGTACAATACTGTCATAATCAAAAAGCGGCAATTCAACGAATCAATTACTAAGCACTGTAGCAAAATAGAGAAACCAAAATTATAGTACATCAAGCGACGCACTTGGTTGTCGCGATGCTGACCAAAAAATGAAAGTGAGAGGTATAGGCAAGCGTCGCTGTCCACGGATCGAATGCTCGCTCCAAGCTGCCCCTCCAAAGCTTCACCAAAAATTCTTTGCAAGCAACAACCTCGACCGCAACTACACCCACCAAACAGCCACCACCACGAATCCGCCCGTGCAATTGACGCAGCGAAACGACCCTCGCCAAACTTTCGAATACGCTGAATTATTCGACACCAAAAAAAGTAATCTACATTCCCATCGCCGTAACGGCTTTTTGCCGTTTCCCAAATCACAAAAAAAAAAAAAAATGCCCATCACAATCCTCGCCCCGCGTGGCACGCCGTCACATCACAAGCCCACACGCTACGCCGCCACCGCAGGTTCGGACTCAGATTCAGATGGCGGCGCCGACATTGAGGGCGATATTTCCATGCGCCCCGCGAAGCGCCCTCGCGGCGATAACTACGAGATTGTCACGCCGGGTGAGATCATCACTGACGACCCCCAGTGGATGAGGTTCGTTCTCCTTCTCTCGGCCTACCTGGTCAACCTTTTCCAAATGTTTCCAAAGGGCAAATCAGAGGATAAAAAAAAAGAGGAAGAAGAAGCCTGAGACTAACCAAAAAACCCAAAACAGAGGCCACGGAACCTACATAACCCAAAACACCACCGAAATCGTCTCCTCCGTCGCGGGCACCGTAACCCGCACAAACAAGCTCCTCTCCGTCCGGCCCCTCCGCGCCCGCTACACCCCAGAAATCGGCGATCTCGTCATCGGCCGCATCGTCGAGGTCCAGGCGAAACGCTGGCGCGTCGACGTCGGCTCCTCTCAGCTCGCCATCCTCCAGATCTCAGCCATCAACCTCCCCGGCGGCATCCTCCGCAAGCGCACCGACACGGACGAACTCCAGATCCGCTCCTTCTTCGCCGAGGGCGACCTCGTCGTCGCGGAGGTTCAGCAGCTCCACCAGGACGGCGCCGCGTCCTTGCACACCCGCTCCCTGAAATACGGCAAGCTGCGCAACGGCGTCTTTGTCGCTGTGACGGGCACCGGCGGCGGCGGCGGCGTTGTGAGGGCAAAGAGGCAGCAGTGGGTCATGGACGCCGCGAGGGGCGCGGCAAAGGTGCACGTCACGCTGGGCGTCAACGGCTTCATCTGGATCAGCAAGCATGTCGAGAACGACGCCGGCTCGGAGGGCGTGGGGCTAAACCGCATGGAAGAGAGCGTTAGCGCCAACGTCTACTCGAGCCAAAACGACAAGATTGACGACGAGACGATGCGCGAGGTCGCGCGGATACGGAGCGTCATTCTGGCGCTGGTGGAGAACGGGCTGCGGGTGGACGAGGACATGGTGGTCAGGGGGTACAAGGTGGCCGTCGACATGGGCTTGGAGAGCATCGAGGATGACATTTATCTCGGGGGTGACCGAGGGAAGAGGCTTGCGGAGGCTCTGCTCAGAGAGTAAGACAGTCATGGATTTGGGCACGAATCAAGAAAAAAAAAAGGCAAACTCAGGTAAAATAAATATCTTGTTAAAAAATTCCTCTAATAGATACCAAGAAAGGGGGGCTTCGTATAAACCGTTAAAGAGACCCTGGATCGCCAGACATCAGAAACGCTATGCAGTGTAGATCTATAGGCCGTATTTTTCAGCCATGGTATCAAAAAAATAAACATATCCAAAAGCATGGCAGAAAAAGTCTCCTAAAAGATTTCGACCAAATCTGCGCCGGCAAAATATCCCTTATTCTCAATTACACCTCGGTCTTTGACAAAGGCAGTGTATTTGACCACCCACTCAGGAGTGAGGTCGCCTTCCAGACCCTCCTGATCCTCGGCAGGGTCGGCGAGGACGCCAGCACCCTGCAGCCCGTGACCGAGAAGTTCGCGCAGGGTGCCTCTGGGCAGGATGTCGGTGCAATCGGTGTGGACGAGCAGCTCGACGCCCTCCGTCTTGGCCAGCTTGACCAGCGTGGCGGGAACGCTGCAGCAGTCCTTGATATTGATCTGGTCGACTGACGGCCGGACGCTGACCTTTTTGATGAACTTGGCCAGCTTCTCCGTTCCGAACTCGGAAATGCCGAGAGCCTTGACCTCCCCGCGGTTGTACAGGTCTTCGAGCACCGTCCATGTCGCAGCCTCCTCGTCGATGTTGCCCTGAGAGGCATTGCGCTTATCAGCCTCCCACTCACAGTCGCCCTCAAATGACATGCCCGGGAAGGATGCGATAAGGAGGTCTACCGTGGTAACTCCTAGCTCCTTTCGCACGAGACTCAAGGCATCCTGCACATACTGGGCACGGTCTTGTGGCGGGGTATTGGGGAGGAAGAAGAGCTTCACGGTAATATCATAGGTTTCGGGTTCCTCCTGCAAACCGGAGTAGGACCAGTCTATCCGCGGGATGTAGAGCACATCGTCCTCGCTGGCAGTCCACACATCGATGCGAGGCCGGCGGCCGTTGGAGTTGTGAGAGAAGCCATTGGAGTGGCCATTCAGGGATCCGTTTCCGTTTGCAACTTCGTCATCGTCATCGATGGGCGAGGACTCTACGTAAGGCGAGTAGTCCTGTTGGGCAGCGAGAAAGTTGCTTCGCAGCGAATTGGTGAGTTCAAGATTCGATCTGTAGGCACCCGGTTTACGGATTATGGAAGGGCCGCCCGAGACAATGTTTCTGCATGCAGCGGAGGATCGCCAATCAGCATCAGGGCGCAAGCAACGAATCTCTGGCGGGGTTCATGGTAAGTGTGACAAACCCGGTGGAAAGGATGAGTTTCGTCATGGCGGTGGTGACGATGGCTACAGATTGGTGAATTTTGCAGTATCTTAGTCGAAGATCAGATGCAGCGAGTGGCCTTGAAGTCGAATAAAGATTGCGACGCAGAGGGTCCTGATTGCGCAATGTTGAGAGATGAGGGCGTTATGATCTTCTTCAGCAACTTTTTTTTTGGTGCCTGTCGATTTTTAGACTTTGGAGGGGTGATTAACAATCGGATTCTCCAAGGTAGGTACGCGAGGTCGAGGCGCCGATAAGGAAAGGTACGGGCCGCTCGGGGTCAAAAGTGAGACGGGGGTAATTATTAATCGCTGGTGCACAACAGGCGGATGTCGGCTTGTCTGTAGCAAAAGCCTAAGATCGGAGATAAAGGGCGTCTTGCGCTTTGTATGGTACGAGGAAGTCGTGATTGATATGCAGTGCGTGCAGGCGGGGAGGCTTCTAGAATGCTAACTTATGGGAGGACGCGCGAGACACTTCCGGGATTGGGCTCGGGATGTGGATCGACGATGGTGTTTGTTTTGCAAAGTTGTTTTCCGATCGTAGCCAAGGTGAGGTAGGCCATAAGGTAAAGAACAGTTGGAGAGAAAAGTTGCGAACAGCGTGCGGAGGACTGGACTGGCCCTTATTACAACAGCGGAACAGGACTGAAGGAGAAAATTCCACTCAAGCGTGCCAGAACGGATCAGAACGGATGACTGAATCAAGTCGTACATACCCGCAGACCTCCAAGGTAAAATATCATCCTTCTTCCGCGGACCACATCCCGCCATCCACCCTCGGCAGGAGCGCGACTCCGAGGGGCAGGTCAATGGCGCATGGTGGGGGTTTGGCCACTGGGGTGATTTACCTGCACTTTCCGCTGCAACGACAGCCCATGAGACGCCGCTGTTGGCATGAGTCGCTCATCCAATGTCTCTGTTCCACACCACACCACACCAAGGCACACCACCAGCGGCATTCAAAGGTCTAGATCTTGAGTCGCACAAAGCGGCAGCCATGAAAGGACGAGCTTTGTTCCATGCTGGACGGCAGTCGAGGTGGCGTGCACACAGGGACATTGTCTGCTAAAGACAGCCAATCCAGACGTGATGCCTGCGGGGCCTGCCAGGGCAGTTCACGGGAGCTTTTACAGTGTCCCTTCCACTGTCGAATCCTACTCACAGCGCCTCGGTGTCTACCTTACGTAAGCGGGTTGCTCCATGGTCCCTTTGCATAGGGGCATCAAGCTTCCCAAGCCCGCAGTCGACACACTGATTGCCTGAGGATGTTGCAGCCTCGAGGTTGGGGTGTGCACCTGCCACCATAATCGACACCTTGCGCCTGTCAGCCTGACGTGACCAAGGGGCATCACCTCACGCAACAGATCGCATTTCGTCGCCAACCGCAATCCAGAGCTCGGTCTGATTTGCTCGGCCACCGCAACGGACACTTCCTAAGACGTCAACTTAAGGTCCACAACACTCTTCACCCCCGATTCCCCATCTCCCTCTCCGTCCACCTTGTGGTGGTGATGTGAAGGCATCATCATGGCTATCCAGTGCGTTGGCCCCCCCCTCACCCGTATCTTTTAGTGCAGACAAGGATGACGACTAAACGATTCCAGATACCTTATCCTGCTCTCACGCCAGGGCAAAGTGGTACGCATTTATCGCCGGCCCAACGAAGTCCCTCGAACAAACCTTTGCTGACAACGGTCCCTCTCCAGCGCCTTGCAAAATGGTTCACCACCTTGTCGCCCAAGGAGAAGGCCAAGATCGTCAAGGACGTTGCTCAGCTGGTTCTCGCCCGTAGAACTCGCATGTGCAACTTCCTGGAGTATAAGGGTCAGCCACCTTCGAACCCCGATGACGTCGTCTATCAACAGCCACTGACTTCTCCCCGCCAGATTCCAAGATCGTTTACCGCAGATATGCATCGCTGTTCTTTATTGCGGGAGCCGCGTCGGAAGATAACGAGCTAATCACCCTCGAAATTATCCATCGCTACGTCGAGCAGATGGACAAGTACTACGGCAATGTCTGCGAGCTAGATATCATCTTCTCCTTCACAAAAGCCTACTACATCTTGGACGAGCTATTATTGGCGGGAGAACTTCAAGAAAGCAGTAAAAAGAACGTGCTGCGATGCATATCCCAGCAGGATTCGCTCGAGGACATGGAGGTACGTTGAGTTGATGGTTTATTCTTTTCTAGGTTTCCCTGCCTTCAAGACGACGAACTGCAGCTGCGCCATTGGCGAAGTCTTGAGCTGACGAATTTCCTCCTCCCCATCAGGTCGAGGACGAGGTTACAAAGATCATGTAACCCTCCTCCATTATGTACCTATCTACTGGATTGCGACACGAAGCCCGGGATAAAGCGAGCCTCGAAATCAATCTACGACATCTACACAAGTGTTGCACGGGCCGCAAAGGAGTGCATAACATTGATGAGTCTGTTGGCTAATGGGCGCTCTTTCGCTTATGCAGGAAACGGAAGAGATCACGTCGTCCCTCAAGCGAGTTGGCATCCTTTGACGACCCACTATGGCTTTCAGATATACGGCAGGCCGGGAATCAAAAGGCCGATACGCGACTATGAGGGAACGATGCGCCGATGCTGTTAAGGACGGGAATGACCTGGGTGGCCCTTTGTGTGCATAGATCTTTGAGGGCGGAAAACCGCTCTCTACTACATCAAGAGAAGAACATGAGATAGCGGTGCTTGTCGCTTAGTTGCGTCCACAACGTTTGTCGATCTTGAGTTCCCCTCCAGAAACGACGCAGGAGCTGGGCACGGGGCCAAGAGCGACGACGACCGCACTCCACAGAAAGCCGTAATAATTGACTGATGATCGAGCATTCCGACACGCAAACAAACGCCATGCCTCTTTGCCTGGAGACAAAACGAAGTCATGTCGCGAGACAGGCTTGGGAGTAGCCGCTCGTGGTCGGTTGACGCCATTTCATTCGCCTGGACATTACCGACTGCGCCCCGCCTCTCTATACGCGGCGGATTGGACAGAGTCAGGGTGGACTCGGAAAGGGGCCCTTCCCCCAACGAGCAAGGAACAGACAGGGACTGGACCCCGACTTCCCAGCCAGTTTCCCCCCCACACCCGCGAATCCGGTGTCAAGAACGAAGCAGGCGGTCACAATGCGATGCGGCAACCAGCCAGCAGACATGCAGCAGAGAAAAATATGCTTTGTCACAGACTCTCCATGGGCCCCACCCACTATCTGTTCCTATCTTGGAACTGCACTAAAATTGCCTTACGGCACCTAGGTATTCATTCAACCTGGACCGGGGCGGGGGCCTTGTCAGCGGGTACGGGGAACGACGGAGACGTGAGCCAGGACCCAGGAAGCAGCAGCAGCAGCCAGCACACCACGGACCACACGGGCAGACCACCACGCACCCAGGAAGGCGTCGCCTCTCACACCGGCGAGACCACGCACCTGCCGAGAGCTGCTGCGACAGCACCGGCTGCCAGCTCCCTTCCCGCTCACTCCCGCTTCGTCGCCTTAAACTCCTGCGTCACCCCATCCCTTCCTTCCCTTTACCCCTCCGTTTCGACTATCCTCCTACCATTGCCCAACTTCCAACTCACACCTCATCAAAACATTCGTCTTTTAGTAATGTCTGTCGACCAGATCACCTGCTAGACGCAACGCGTCTAGTCTCTGTTCATCCATCCGAACCGAATTGATCTACAGGGTTGAGTCGCTCCTTGCCTTACCCAGAACAGGCAGGCTCTGGCTTCCATCGATACACAGACAGCAGTCTTCCCATCAAACTATCTACCTTTCACCGCGACGCATTGCATGCGTTTTATCGCGTCTTTGGTTTCATTTCGCCATACCCTCGACTCCGAGTCACCGCCTTTCCCGTACCCGCGGCCACCCCTATCCCGATCCGGCGCGACATCCAACTCCTGTGACATCATTCGACACGTTAATCCTCCGGAATCCAACGGCTCCATCACAACAACCTGATCGCGGCGCGATACCGGCGATAAGCTCACTGCACCACCAGATCGATAGCTGAAGCGCTTGTGATTTTGTACACCTATTGCGCGGCGATATCGAACATCTCTTATCCAAACTCTACACCCCCTCGGTCATCCAGGCCGAACCTCAATCATTCAAGATGAAGGTGCGCATACTTTGCTGCAGCAGCAGGCAACGCTACTTTGCAGAAGTCCACGACACCTGCTAACTCAGCTCGCAGTATCTCCCACTGCAAGATTTCGACGCCGTCACTGGCGCTCTAAACTTCAACACACCGGATTGCAATGTCACTGGCGGATGCGATCTCTACACCACCAAGTCTACTGGTTCTGACAAGAAGCTTTACAAGAACATCGACAAAGACTTAAGTTCACAACATGCCGCGCTCCTCAAGTTGGGCGCAAGCCTGTCACCGCCAGATCGCGAAGCCATGTTGGCAACATCTCCCAACATGCAAATGTTTTCGCATTCGAGCGCATTTGGCCCCTTATCAGAGCTCGCAAGTCGCCGGACATTTGCTTATCTCATTGCGACACTGAACGCGAGTCATCAACACTACGACTTTTCGCACGTTCTGAGACCAGGCGATTTCAAAAAAGAAAGAAACCTGCGAAGAGTGATGGGAAACCTTGACTCGATTTTGCAAAATGTCAGACCGCATGTTGAGGCGCGGCCAGTCGAGCAGGCCACGTCTTCGGAGACCAAGCCGGGGTGGGGTCCACAGTGTTGGTCTAAAATTGATAAGGAGATGCGCCTCAACGAATGCACCGTCTTCAGCTACAACCCAGACGTCGACCCTTTCGAAGAGGATGAGTCTGCAATCTGGGCTGCTCACTATTTCTTCTTCAACCGCGCGTTGAAGCGAGTCGCCTACCTCTACGTGCGCGTTGTTCCGGTTGTATCGTCACAATCACCACGATTGCAACCGGCGCTTCCGGGTTCCGTTAAGCGGACGCGGAGTACCCAGTTTGATGCACTGGCCGCCAACAAGCGCGCCAAATACTGGCTGGGTAACCGCGATGCCGAGGTTGTGGCACCGTATGAAGATGACGAAGAACAAAGTGACGGCTTCCTCTGGAATCGGGGTGCCGATGGCGATTTGGTCCCGTTCTCCGACGACGACTACACTGAGGAGCGCTTCTTCTACGACGAAGAGGACGACGACGAGAGCCTGTCTGACCGGAAGAGCCCGGTACGGCGGATGAGTGAGGATGTCGTGGCCCACATGGAGATCTAAAGAGGGCCACTCCACACTGGCGCATGACCTCTACTCGCTTCCCCGTTTCATCACTGCGAAAGCGGATGGGTCTCTCGTTTCTCTGATGTTATCAGCTGATGCTATCAGAGCCGTTATGACGAAATGGGGTCACTGATTCAACACCGTTTATCGGCTCCGCACAACCACTGAGTCACGACAGCTCCTCGTTTGCGGAGCTGTCATGATTGTTTCAAACATGGGCACTCTTCAACGGCCCAGATTCAATGACCTTACTTTTACTTTACTTTTATTGATGAACACTTGGCAATTTACTTCCGCCGTGTCTGTATCCTTTTCCTTGTCCTCGGACTTGTACGCTGGCGACTACTTTTGCATGTTGTTTTTGAGCTTGTTTCCTTTAGGTTCGATTGGCGGCGGCGATACCCTCATGCTTTCTTGCCAGGTGGCGCTGGCCAGGAAATAGTACCAAACGGAGGGGCCTAGGGTAACTTGGTGCATGCGGTTATCAGTCCTGGATGGCAAACAGGATTGAAATGGGGCGGCCGCGGTTGACAAATGGATCAAATTAGGAGTTTATTGGGATCGTGAGGTTCCAGCGACGGTCGTATGGCAGCGACACGTTTAGCACTAGGAACGTTGTTGGAGTTGGGTACGAGGGGCACATGCCAAAGGGAATGCTTTGCGATTTTTCTGGTTTACCATAGTTTACCTCGCGGTCAGTACGCGGTAGTACGCAGGAGTACGCAGTGATGAAATGAGGAAAGCTCGTACCCTTCAGTCTGTCTGGATGAGCACTATATCATGTCTGAATCCCGCCTCCCTAATCCACCTTGCCCGCCGTTTGCTCGACGTGATGGGCCTGCTCCTCGATCCAAGAAGCACGAGTCTCAGTCTCTGCTATACATTCTTCCAGAAAGAGAGATACAAATAGAGATGACAAGAAGGGATGAAAGGGGGGGGGACCCTACTCTCGAAAAGAAGAAGAAAAAAAAGACAGGAGGGGGCGATCGTGGGCGTTTATCTCACGTATTAAGCATGGCAGCCCCCAAAACACCCGTTTTCGACTCCCTCAGCACAGCCGCGAGCTCCACCAAAATCTCCTCCAGCCTCTGGCCCAGCAGCTCGGAAACAGCTTGCACGAGAGGCCCTCGAGGCCGTCAATTATCAGCATCAGGTTCATCATGTCCGGGTCCTTGTAGAGCTGGTCCTTTTTACCCAAGAGCCCAGGGGCGCCTTGATGCGTCGCGCGTATATGGCACCGGGGTAGAAGCTAGCATCGCGTACCACGCCCTCCAGCTTAGGGGCCACGTTCGTGTCGCGGCCCACGCATGCCCTTGCACGCCTTTGCGAAGCCGTCTACCCACTGCGCCGTGGCAAAGTCGTTGTTGAAGGTGTCGTTGTCCGAGTAGAGTTCTGTGTTTACGTCTTGGGACTCGACCCAGCCTCCGAGGCTCAGGCGGCTTTTTTTTTTTTTCTTGTCAGTCCTTTCACCTTTCTTCTAGGACCACCTACTCCTGGCTTGTATGGTGTAGCAAGCAGGCGAAAGACGCAAGATGAGGAGATGAATTCACTCGAAAATATTCTTGATCAGACCGGGCCAGTTCTTGATAGAAGCGACCATGTACCGGCACATGATTAGGTTGTATTTCCTCTCGTGGACTCGTGGGCTCTCGACAATGTCGATTTCGAATTTGACGTTGGGAAGGACCCTTTTTTACGTTGGCATGAGAAAAACTCATTTTTGCACACCTTCATCTCTTAGAAAGAGTCTTAACTGAAGAAGAGTCTTAAGGTGATATGGAACCCAGGGGGGTGGAATCATACCATTCCGGCTGGATGGGACTCGGATCGATTCCAATGACCTGTTTCATCAATCAGTCGTCTGCGAGAACCCTCCAAGGATTCCCAGAAACTCCTTTCTTACCTCTGCGTTCTCAAAGACGCCGTCCATCTCCACAGCCCCATACACATCCAAAAGTCAGCAAAAGTCCAAGAAACAAACAACATCAGAACTTGCCAATAACCCAAAAGAAGCAAGAGGGGTGGGAAGTCGTTTACGTACAAAGTCTTGCTCCCGTTCCGATATCAATAATCCTCGGGACCTTTTTCTTCTTTAGCGGTGCATTATACAGCCTGCTACCCGCGGCCTTGACCATCATCGCGTGGGCCACGTCAAGTCTATCCATCTCGGTCTGCGCCATCGTAAACCCGATGAGTATTCCTAGCCCAACACAATGCATCTCTGGCGGAATGGCTATTATCATACCTCATCATTGGAGAATTTCTACGTTCTAAACGGTTTTGTTAAAGGGAAAAAAGGGTGCATTGAGTGAGAGTGGAAGGGGGAGGCGGAGAGCTACTGACTGCCTGGTCGGAAGGCGTGATAACAACGTCCATATTCGATTGGGTAGTCTACGACACTCGACGAAAACGAGGCAGTATCAACCGAGCTGTGCCAAGGAAGGTTTTATGTAGCAAACGTAATCATAATCATGGTAAAAGGGAGCTCCGTCGAACGAGATGCAGGGGCCAAGGTACGCACATGCGGTCGTCCGCAGTTGAGGAACCCTCTGTAAACTAAGCCTTGAAAGATAAATTAACGATGTTAACAATTCCTCTCTTAACTTGAAGGCAACGTTCGTTTCCCTTGACATTGCCTTCGTCTTCGTGGGGTTCGAGAGGCGCTGCTGTGTTCGGGTTCGGCGGGTCGTTCGCCGGCGGAACTGGCAATGGCGCCGGCACCGCACCCGCCTCCGTCTCCGCCTCCGGGACGGGGACAGAAGCGGATGCCGTGGACTGGATTGGGGCCATAGAAGAAGGCTCAGCCATTCCCGCGTTTATTCGTTCGTTGCTTGCTTGCTTGCTTGCATAAGGCTCACCACAGAAGACTGGGCAAAACCCGCCTACGCTAGTCCTGGGCGCGAGTTTTCTGGTATGCCGACAACTCAAGGGGCAGCGGGAGAGGGATTTCCCCATTTTGTGGTGGGAACGGATCCCCATTAGTTCGGCACTTATGAGGAAGGGAGCAGGCACTCGGGAGGTTTGCTGGACCGCTCCCGCCATTCCGCGACATCATTCGGTGCAATGTGTTGCAGAACTCGCCTTACTCTGCTATTCTAGCAATCATCGAGTAAGCATAGATGCAGATAGAGACAGACGTCCGCTACTGTCGGATACGCCGGTGCAACCCTCCCGCAGCGGTCTAAAGGGCTCAATGAAGCTGGCCATGGGATTTGCCTGCTTGGTGTTCCCCCCCGGCCTACCAGTCGACGAGTGCATGCAAGAAGCTCAAGACTTTCAAATCCCGCCCTTCTTTCTACCTACCTTACTGGTACTTCCCTGGCTTGGCAGCCGACGTCCAGAGGTAAATTGTTCACCCTTGGCTTGTCGACTCTCAATTTCGAATTGAACGCGTTTGAGAGACAGTAGGGGTTCTGCCCACGGCTATCTCTCTCCTAAGTCTCTTCAAATCTGCTGTGACTAGATTGATATGGTCAACCCCATGAGATCAGTTAGAAGATATTCAGGAGGAGCATGTTATTGTTGACCGCTTTGGCGTATCTAACTATGAACGCTTCCGGACCCATACTCCACTGCCTATGTGAACTGTCAAGAGTCCATCCAGAGTCCTATTATCCAAAGAAAAACAATGCCAAAGACCACCTATGGGTTCTTCGTCGAGACCGCTCAAGAATTGAACAAAATCATTTTCCCGTCTTTGGGAAGAGTGGTATCAAAACATCGGGCGCGAGGCACAGGGGTAGAAACAAAAAGGTAGAACCAGACAGAGCAATCCGGGCTTGGCTGTGTACCGACTTATCCCTCCTCGGTGCAAACATAATCAGGTGACAGATTTCTTGCGTGACAATATGACAGACAGGGGCTACGTGGTTGCTGTTGTGTTTCTCTCCATAGTTGATGGAGAGATCGTGATCTTCATTCAGGTCGTGGCTCCGCGCCGGTGCGGCTTGGACGACTAAGCCAAGCTCGACTTCTTCCGGCGACCAAACATCTTGGAAAAGCCGCTACTGCTGCTTTGTTGCTGCGGCTCCGCAGCCGGAGTGGAACGGGCCGCAGGCGTCATCTGCGGCGGCTCGGAGCTGCGAAGGAATGAGGCCAGGTCATTAGTTCGACTCGTAGACGAGACAGCCTCCCTTGGCTCAAACTTCTTCATCGGCACGCGCCCTGAAGAATGCATGGCTGCACGGTTGGCAGTAGCGTCAAAAGCCCCGTACTTGTCTTGGCCAGGAGCGTTTACTTGGATTGGAACGTGGCCCTGGGCTCCTCCAGCGCGGCTGTTCAAAGACCGACTGTCAACTTTGGCTGGCTTTGCGCTATTCGACCCTGCACTGCTGTCCTTTCTGGAAAAGCGTCCGATTAGACTGGGAGCGCTCGCCTTCCTTTTGGGAACGTTGTGCGGGGCCGCGGCGGGCTCGGGGGGAGGCGAATAGTTTTTCAAGAAGTCTGCCAGGCTCTCCTCCTTCTTCGGGGGAGGCCGAACGGCTTGCGCCAAGTCCTCCTCATCTTCATCGCTAAGGTCGATGGCATAGGGGTCGCGCACACGACGTCTAGTGCGCTTGGGCATCATATCGTCGTCGTCAAAGCCGTTGCCACTGGGGCGATTGTTGAGAAGAGCGCTCTGTGAGTTGATCGACGACTGGACGGAGGGCTGGGTTATGTCCGTCATATTGGTCGATGCTTGACTATATCGAATGTCTGGCAAGCTGGCATCAACAGCCTTACCCCCCACAGCACCCGACATCTGGTCGGAATCCATTGTTGTTCGGAATGGGGCCACAGTCCGAGGAATACGGGGGTTATTCGAGCTAGGTGGTCCTCGTCGGATAAAGTCGATGAGGTCTGAGTTATCCTCGCGATTGTCGACGGCAGCATCCCGCGCTTGAAGGCGTGGCCGGTTGTTCGGAGACGATATACGTCTTGAATCCAGGCTGTGTTTCACAGGCGGCACTGGACCGCTTACGTTACGTAGCGGTGCAGGACCATTGTCAGCCGTCGGGCCGGTAGCCCTGATGAAGTCGGCAAAGTCATTCATCGCGGTATCACGGGGCACCCGAGCGTCTCTCGCCTGCGGGCCGCCAGTACGGGACCGAGTCAAGGTCGTGCTAGGAGGTGCCTTCGGAACGAAACCTTTGTTCCTGGCTTCTGGTGGGTGCGAGCTCAGGCCCGTTGTGCGACTGACAGACATAGTCCTTCGGATGTCGATTCCAGAGACGGACCTGTTGCGTTCGCCGTTCAAGGCTGTACGGGCGTCTTCGCTTCTCCTCGACTTGGGTCCAACAACCGGACTCGCGCTCTGTGCCCGGTTTCCCTACGTTACCATTAGTGGGCGCCATAGAGGCAATCGAGAAACATAACTCACATCAATGTCACGCATGCTCTCTGGCGTAAGCGTGTACTGAATGGTCTGGTCACTTTGAATCAGTTCCTCGAAGTTACGAGCGAGGTTATCAGCACGGCCGGAAGCCTTGCTATCTTCGGAAGTCCTAACGGCTCTGATCTTGCCTGTGCTCGAGGAGCCAGAGGAGCCAGAGGTTCGCATATGCCGAGGGCGATCAGGGGAGTCGCGGCCAGCAGCAGCAGATCGCTCAACGGTCACGACTCCGATGCTCGCCGCTGGGGAGTGCGTCCCGTGGGTTGACCGGCCAGCGTTGCGGTCGGGCAAGGTTGGTGCCGCGTGAGAACGATGGCGCGGCGAAGGCACGCGTTCCTCGGCGATAGGGCCATTGTTGTGGGTATCCCTCAGGATGGTGATTTTGGTGGCTGATTGAGTGTGATCGTGACGAGGTGACTCTGTGCGCTGGGCGGGATTGAAGATGGCCTGAGAAGACCTGATTCCAGGAGTACCGGCGGTGGGCGTTGGCGTTGACGCAGCCGAGGTAATTCTTGACGGTGCGGGTTGAGCTTGGGCATCCTCGTCAACTTCCGAGATGGACTCGTTTGTGTTCTGTCTGCGCGACAATTTCTCAGCGGGCGACCGTGTCCGTGTACGCGGTGTTGATGTTGATGACCGAATAATGGTACCAATCTCTACTGGCTTCGGCTGCTCTTCGATGATGGGAGGCGTTACGCGAGAGACACTGCTAGCACGGGAGAGGCTAGCCTGCTGAGAGCGGTCAGAAGCGTCAACCGACGACGCTCTCGAGCCGGTCACTGGACTTTTAGGCCCGTGGACATCAACAACGCGAGCCGAGTGGACGCTGGGTGTTCTTTGCAACAGCTTGGGAGCGACCACGACAGGTTTTCCGGACTCGGAGATGCTCGGAGAGCTACGCCCAGCGATGGAGACTCTAGAAGAAGTGCAGATCTCTGGTTCTTCGGTAAAGTCATCGATGTCGCCACTTTCCTCTGCTTGCCGAGTCCCTTTCTCTGAAGTCTTATCAGCTACAACGAGAGCAACCGTTGCCGCTGCGGTCGCTGCGACGGGGGTGACAAGTTGTGAGACGCGATTCGGATTGCGAGGCTTGGGCTCGGGGGCTTCGCTAGAGTCCGCTTTAGACTCTTCCAGTGGCTTTGCCTCCGCTTGATCTAAGACCGGCTTTGCGACTTCGGCCTGGGTCTGCAGTGTTTCGATCGGCTGGGCTTCCTCAGCCTCTGTGATCACAGCCTCTGTGGATATTTCCTTGTCTTTTGGCTCAGCGTGTTCACCGACTAAACCAGTCTCGATTTGTTCAACCCGGCCGCGTTTGATACTTGGCGAGGTGTAAGGCGAGGGAGACGGGGTGGGTAAGGAGTTGGAGCGCTTGCGACTCGAGGGAGCAATTGGTGTGTGAGGTTGAGACATTGTGGGGGTGGGCAAATCATTGCTGGGTTGGGAAGTAAAAATCATGAGACTCTTTGGCCGTTGCGCCGGCGGCTCTTCTGCACCTTCATAATCCGACTCCTCGTCGTCGCTGTAGGAAGCCAACCCCGGTACTTCGATTTCGTCAATATCGCGATCCCCAATTGGTAGAGGGATAGCCGATGCTTTCAAATATTCTTCAATCTCGTTGATTTCAGGTTCCTCGTTTGGGGTTTCTTGAATACCGAGGCCCTTTGCAGGGAGCGCGGTCTCGCGAGCCTCCGCAGTATTGGCCTGTCTGTGAAGGCCGAAAGAGTTGCGCGAAAAGGGGCGCGGTTCCAGAGTAGGAGAGCGCAGCCTCTTCTTCCACGCCCGCCAAAGTCTGCCAAGAGTTCTGTCAAGAGCAACCCGTTCCATGTCCAGCTCCTCAACCACAATTCTGTCAGCAACCTCGGCAATGCTCCTCGCGCCCTCCTTGGGCTCCTTTTCGAACTTCGCTCGTAGGCGGTGGTACGCGGCTTGGCCTGCAATGACCAAGGCTTGTTCGCCCATGTATTCGAGGATTGACGTCAAAAAAATAGCGACTGCCGGAGAAATGACTTCGGGGCCACGCTCGTCCACGGCAGGGTTGAGACTTTCCTGGTCCATGTAGTAGTCTTCGTCTTCCTCTTCCATATCACCAAGCGACGAGTACACCATGCACCTCAATCGCGTCCGCTTCCACACAAGTTCCAGGTCCCAATCTCTTGGTGAGGCTGCACCTTGCGACTGGACGAGGTCGTCCTCGTCACCTCCGCCAAGGTACTCCCGCAGCTCCTCGTCGGCTTGATTGATGGCATCTTTGGCGAGTTTCGGTTTCAAAACTTCGGACACTGCGGGTCTCAAGGCGGCAAGAGTCGTTGCGCGAGAGGCGGACAAAAAATTGAAGAGGAGCTGGTCGAGGAAGCTATTCACCAATTGCAAAGCGGCTGTCGACACTAAAGCCGTCTCGCCTGCGGGTTCGATTCCATGCTGATCGTACCAGGTGTCGGCGTGACTGTCGTGATCGTTGGTGACGATCTGAGAAGCGGCCGAGGCGGCAATGAAAGCGGGCTCGGGTGTTACGGAGAGGGGAGGAGACATCAGGCCAATGCTCATAATGGTGGAAGGGCGATCGCTCGACATGCTCTGGGTGCGCGACCTCGTCTGGGTTTGGGGCGAAGAGAGGCCAGATGATGGTAGCGACACAGCGGCCGGATCAGCATTTGTGTTGGCCATGTTTGCTAAAGGTGCGGATCTGTAAGTCTGGGATGCTAGTGCTCCGGGTCTCCTGGGCCCGGGTGAGACCACAGGAGATTAGACTGATGCGACACAAATATTGCGGGTGAGAGTTGTCTCGCGAGCGAATGACAATGGTCCCTCTCAAGTAATCTCGGTACTGGCAGGCGTTTGCGAATATTACAAAAATGTTAATGCCCAAGGGAAGGAAGGCTGGGAGGGTATGACGGATGGCTGCGCAAAATGAGTTGTTAGCGAAGTTGATTTTTGTTAATCGAGCAGGCGACGGCCATTGCAGAGCTGAAACACCTGGTCCAGGTCCGCATGGCAGTGAAGGAACTGGGTGTGATCCACTTGGGGGTAGAGACAGAGAGATTCATGCGTGGTAACCACGTCTTGCAGAACGTGTGGCGCTCGTGGCGAGACTGTGTTGGGAGGAGTGGGAATTCGGGCGAAATGGCTAGGTATGGGCGTGGCAGAGACGATCAATCCATATAAGAGCTGAGGAGGCTGCCGTCCAACGACGAGGACGCAGTCTTGGGCCCGACCGGCGCGACGAACGGGTCACCGAAATTCGACGCAGGCAAGCGAACATGGGGGTATGTTGAGTTTGGAGAGGCAGTACAGTATCCGTTGATGGCATGGAACTCTCCTTGCTGCGCTGGCCAGGAGATGGCGGCGGTGGATTGAGCGCGCGCGCAGGTGGGTGTGGATGGACCGGGAAGGTACAGACGAAAGAGACTCGCAACAAACGTACGTACCTGACGCTGGGTGCGACGGTGATGCAAGAAAGTTCTGTCCGGACAGGCGACGAAAATAGCAGGCGTATAGGAAGTAGTGTAGAGTCGATTGGTATATATAGCGATGGTGATATAAACTGAGATTCGAAAACCAGAGGAGAAGTGAGGTTTGGATATCATGCGACCAGCGGAGGAACGGCCAGCTCGAAACGTAGTTGATGTACGGAGAGAAGAAAGTTGCGGTGGAGGAGGAGGAAAAGAGGAGGAGCTGAGCGTTTGGCGATGGAGAAGAAGGGGACCAAGGCGTGAAATGAGGTCTGGGAGGTGGAGGAGACAAGAAGTCGGTACTCTGTACAGCAAGCGCGGCAGGTTGAGAGACAGAGAGCGAGAGCGAGAAGTCGATGCGCCTGAGCCACCAGACCGACCAAGAAGAGCCAAAGAAAACGGACGACGAGTTGCGACCAGGACGGAAGAGGAAGTCTTGGGATGCTTAGTGCAAAGGGTGTTTTTTTGTGTTGCGCGCCGCCTTTGAGATGGTGGTGTTAGTGCAGGCGGGCAGAGTGCATTGGAAGTGACATAGCCAGTGGAGGCAGGTGTGGCAGGGTACCTTGGGTAGGTGGTTCACTACTAGATTCGGTGCTGGGCAGGGTTTGGATGTTCCTTTTGGGCCAGGGTCGATGCAACTTGAGTGTCCGAATATTGTGGATTTGTCGGGTGTGGTTGTGGTTGTGGTAGTGTGGTTACTACTACCTATGTACGGAATAGGTATTGTGTGTGGACGTCGCGGTGCGTGAACCACGAAAGGGCAGAGGAGCTCTGGGTTGCAAATGCTGAGGTGCAGCGTGTAGGCGTGCCCTGCTTGTGTTCCCCTGAGCTGGAGGTGTGGGAAAAGTGCGGGAGGTGAGGCTTGAGGCTTAAGGTAGGTTGAGGACGGACAGTGGAGCGGTTCCGTCCCTGAGGTGTGGGCGATGGATGATCCAATGCATCCATCTAAGCACCACACAGAGAGATATCCACCATTCAGGTACCAAGCATCTGAGGCAAGCCGAATGTGCCAAGCTTGGGTGGTACATGCATGCAAAGTCCAGGGGTGCAAAGCGAGCCAGCGAGCCGTCCTTCCCTCCCAGGGCCCCAATTGCTTTCGGACGACGGACAATGTTTGGGATGGTGGGGCAGAGAGCTACCACGCTACCTATGAGGGAACCTTGGAAGGATGGAAGAGAACTTGCTACTTTAAGGTATGGTAAGCGTGCTCGGGAAGTGACAGCCCGACCCAGTACCTTCTATTACCACCAAGCTCGGGGCAGGAACGAAGTTACCTGCGCACCTGCACAAGGCACCTGCACTTACACCTACTTGCCTGCCTCGCTTTACCTCGACAATTTCAGGTGTAAACATCCTTCATACCTTTCAGTGTTTCTCTGCAGTCTGGACACAAGACATAACCTCAGGAACGGCAATAAAGGTGTAAAGCACCCGGCCCGCTCTCGTTTTCGGCTCTCTACCGTATTCTTTCTACTAAGTACCTACCTACCTACTGCAAAGCTCAGGGACGTTAACGGAAGGGCACCAAGAGTGGACTAGCGCCTCGCGTCTCCAAGACGTATCTTCGCGGTCGTCGTCTCCAGCACGATGGGATGGTTTCGGTGACAATCTGCTTATTGCCCACTATCGAGCCCCTTGCAGTGTGGAGGAAGAAATGGAATCTATGGATAAATCATGACAGGAGGAAACCTGTAAGATTTTCCAGCCAAGACTCCCGACGAAAAGAGGCCCCTGGGGCCTGGACAAGACCTGAGGGAGCTGACACTCGTTCTCATCATGGCGAAATCAAAGGCCAAATACGTGTACGGATAGAGGAGGCTCTGGACTCCGTACGGATACAGAGTACACTGATTGCATCTCTCGCCACCTCGATCGCTTTGTATTTGTTGGTTCTGGCCTTGTTACAATTTGCTTGTTGTGCCTGTAGAGCTGAGTAATGAGTCTGCGAGTCTCAAAATACTTAATGGATTCGCCAACCCCGGGTCCCTGTCCGAGCAACCAAGCCCCCCCTCCCCCCCGTGCTGGCCCCTTTTTTGATGTTCCTGGTAGATGAGATATGGATCGGTGACCATGGTTGACAAAACAATGATTGCCAGACGGGTAGCGGGCTTCCTGTCTCGAAACGCTGCGAGTTGTGCGATGCCATATACATTGTAGGCCGCCTACCCAGTTGCTGTATATTGTGATAACCGCCGTCGGGTTTACCCGTACGAATACACACGCCATTCGTACGGACATTGAGCCCACGGTCGAAATCGTCTTAGCGAGAGCGATATCCCAACTGCGGAAAGGGGCAAGGTAAGTTCACTTTGAGATGAGAAAGAGGGAAGGGGGAAGAGAAAAAGTCTCCGACTGCGAAAGCCGGACGAATCGGTAGAAAATGAGCTCACGTCGTGCTGGTCCGCGGTTGCAGGGATATAGATGCAATGTCGCAAACAGAGTGGGTTCCTGGTTAATTAGACGTGAAGGGGCCCTGGCCCTGGCCCTGCCCCGTCTCGTTCTTGGCCAACTCCCCTGCTGCCGCCTGCCGTGCAACAGTTCCGTCTAGACCCTCGGGCCTCAGTGTTGTCTGCCTTTGCGACACAGTCAGGTATCCGTACCTCGGGCTGTAGGTAGTATATATCCGTCAAACGGGACCTTCTCGATCGAAAATCGCGGCTAGACCTTTTGATTCGATTTGTGTGTCGGTATCCAGCGCATAGTGATTCAATAGTGCTTTTCATGGTAAGGTCTGGTCTGGTCTGCTCTGCTCTGTCCCAACCTCGGACAGGCGAGAGACGTTGAACATCAACAACCTTGGTATCCGCAGAAGGTGGTGTCAGTCGAGGTCCAACCACCGATGGCGGGTGGCCAGAGGGACCCATTTACACGGGCGATGCATCCTGGCGTGAGACAGTGCCATATACAGTTATACACGGCTAGATCTGCACTGTATCCTGTTCGACACGCGTTGCACCTTCCACTCCCCCACAATTTGTGACAAAGAGACGAAGCCATCGCCAGTAGTGCTTGTTTTCTTTCCTGGTCCCAAAGCTAAAGTTACCATTGACTGTACATTGCTTCGATCAGATTCAATGAGAAACTGAGGCGCCGCGTCCCTTTCCTTCCACTCCCCAGCCCCGGTACACCTCGTCGAGGTCGTTGCTCAATTGGAACGGCAGCCATCTCCTTCATCGTCCCGAGACAATTAATCGTCTGCGCATTCTGCTTCCATCGCCTCGCATGACATAACGGCTTCTGCGGCGTGCCAGCTCATTTCCCTCTTGGCTTCTGCCTGCATTTTCGGCCCCTCTCATCTTTGATCTCCATGGCCTCAATCAGGCCATCTGGCAGAATGGCTCGTTTCTTCTTTTGGTGTTGACACTGCAGAAGCAAGATTGAGAGGGTTGTCTTTCCTTTCTTACTCGTGGCCCAGGTGAGGTACCTCAAGCCACGAAGCCCATTTTTCCGGGTATCTCTGCGGGAGGCGAGAAAAAGAAACAACTCATCTACCAAAACCTCAGATAAGGTACCGCACGCAATCGTCCTCGGTTTCCGCCATACCGGTCTGCCTATTCAATGGCGGGGATGCAAACCCGGTCAGCAAGCCCAGATCTCGGATCACGTCGCTCAAGTACACGGCTTTCGACACATACAGTGCACCGTCACATCGTCCTGCAGTCTGCGACGTCCCATCGTCCTCCCGGAAGGTGGTCTTGCAGCCTGCTTGAAGCAATCTCAATGGCCCTCTCCTGCACCTCCACCATCCTCCTACCCTCATGTTTTTCCAGGTACCCGACGCTTTTTGGCTGCTCACGCTGATGGGCTTCGAGACGAGGCCACGGAAACAACTGTTTCCATGTTCCTGTCAGCATCGGGCACTTCAACAATAGCCCCGCCAACGTGCAGCCGGCCAGCAAGACTTGTCGGAAACCCAGAACGAAGAAACGAAACGAGCGGACACGGCTGATTTGTCGCGCATTCTAAACGGGGGCACACTTCTCAGACCTCCCTCGATCAATATTGGGTGAAAGCCAAGGCCCAACGCAAGGATGAAACTCCCGCGACCGTTGCATGAGGAAACGGATCCCCAGCTCTCCCAGCCGCCTCTCTCTCCACTTTCCATTGTCGAGGGCCGGTCGTACGCGGCACGCAGCGCGCACAAATGCTTGACTTTTAGACACCAGATGATGACGGGACGGACACTCCAGCATCAGAGTGCCAGTGATGGATTCTTCACGTCCGAGCTACGAGCTACGAGCTGCGTTACCGGCATCGGGGTTCGATGGTCAAAGAGTCGAGCCAATATTTGCGCTCCATCACTCAAATTCATTACCGCGGCCCACCCTGGATGCCATGATCTCGCACAGACAAGGGGCCAGAGGACTACCGACCTTCGTCAAGCTGGGATGCCAGCACATTACGCTGATGAAGCGAATTGCTGGCAGTCACTGAGGAGCAGAAATCCTGTCCATCACCCCCTGTGACTTTTCGGCTGACGCAAGCTGCTCGAGAACAACCCCAGACTGGGGCATCTAGATGCTCGAGAAACATAATATCTCGACCAGTCACATTGGTACACCATGATGCTCTGAGACTCTCCGCCTACTGGAGCTAGAGCATTCAATCTGCTGGCGCAGTATACTTTACCCCAAAAATCTCCACCATTTGCGTCTGATCGAATGATCTAGCCGGGCGAGAGATGGTGCCAGCTGAATCCCAGGTTTTAACAGAAGGTCGTTGATCATTAAGCTTGGGGCTTTAACCACCAACCACCGAGCGTCTTGTCAAAGACACGACGGCTTGCTACGTCCGCGGCATACCGGGCTGTTCTAGGTCGATATTCTCAGCTTAGCCTGAACATTACTAGCTGGCATATGCCCAAAAACTTGGCTAACACCGAAGCCACCAGTCCTTTCCCGAGTTACTAGCTGCGCCTGGGCCACGAAGAGGCGCGATGCCCTCCGTATCATTTGACGATCCTTCTTCGAAAGGCCATCCTTCTTGAAGACGGTGCCTGGCTATCTGAGACTGAGGCGCAAATGTGAGTGTGTGACCCAGGTGTCAGCTCTCACAAGTCGATAGATCGCCGACCTGCCGTTCCGTCGCGGCAGCAGATGGATCAATGAGCTCCTCTTTGAGGTTCTTTGCTGGATCTTGGCAAACCAGGTTGGCCACGACGGAAGGGCCCTTGACCCTCACATTCTGAGCCGCTGTTTGGTCAATAAGCCTCCTGCTTCATGTTCAGGATACGAGACTGTGGCTAATGTGATGCATAGCGCCGTTTCCAACTAGGTAGCTTCCCATTCACGCTCTGGCTGACGAGAATCTTACGACTACGGAGTTCCCTTTGATGATATACTGGATGTTTACGAGCACGTAGGCAACGCGCCTCGATGTAAAAGTCTCCATGAGAGAATTGTGTAGCCATGGCATTTCTCTTCTATCGTGTGCCATGCGGCCACGTCGCTGTGCAACGCTGCCGCACGCTGCGGACGTTAACTCTTTTGGGATGCAATAAGGCTGGCTGTGGACCTACTGTGGAATAACGCCTTGGGGCTGGGTGATTTCATTCAGCCAACTAGCTTGCAGAAACTCGCTGCTTGTTTGCGACGAATTTCTCTAGAGCCCACGGAGTGAACGCCCCGCGGAGGAGCGACAGAAGATCGACTCGGCCTATCACTTAGATAACCAATGTCTCACCGTGGTCAGGCCCTAGCAATGTACGGCCTAGGGTGGAAGGAATAAGTTTTTCAGCGCCTTCATGTCGATCTACATCAGGCAGAATGCAGTAGCAGGAGCTTTGCCGAGCTTTTGGTGTCGAAAACCAACAGCTCAATGTTGGTGCAGGCTCCTGGTCAGTTTGCGTTTGGTGACCAGAACGCGAAGGCGGCCGAGAAATGCTGTTTGCTACGGCGCTTGCAAGCATCGGCAGAGGCAAACACGCATATCTCAACTAGGCAAGGACTCGTTCTTCACAAGGGTTGTACCACTCAGCATTGGGTCCAGCTAAGCCAGCAGGCAGTTCTTCAAAGCTACACGTGAATGTCCCACAGGCAGACGGCATCCATTCCGCGCCTGTTTCGTCATCAGCCAACGGTGTGGACTCCGCAAACGGAAGCGAGCTCCTCAAGTTATTAGTTGATTCATTTGTTGCAAACGCCCAATCCCGACCCAGCCGGCAGGCGACTTGACGTCTCGGTGCATGTCAAGCATGCTTTCATATACATTGCTGGAGTGGAATTCTCCAGCGAAAGACGAGGATTCCTGGCTGGCCATTGCTCTCCGTCCGTGGCCTGATCTCCTGCGACCGTTCAACGCCCTGGCATGTGGCAGGGTTGTGAACAAGGAGATGACTTCTTGGGGTTAGGGAAACAAAGTATATGGAAACAAAGACTCCGCGCGATGACGATACTTGGCTTTCGCTCCCATGCCCAATCAGGCTTCCATGTCTTTCGGATGAGATATGGCCGGTACAACCAATAACAAGCCTCCCGGTGAGTCTTTGTTTGATGCCGTCTCACTGTGAAAAGGCATGGTTGTGTGTCGAAGGTCGTGTCCGCAGCCAGCTTGTATAGTCGGGTATACTCGTCTTCGACTGCAAGAGCCTGCACTAGCTTTGAACCATAGCCAAAGGTTATGTCGTCTGATGCGTGTCCTAGTCTGGTACTTGGCCTTGCTTGGTATCCAGGGCTCTTTCGTCGAACGGCACAAATACCACCAAACCTGATCGAAGCCCTGCATAGTGGTGCTCAGGCTTCACACGAGCAAGCCGCTGTGGATTGCCCTCGCCGATCCCCCACTCCCCAGAGAGCCTGAGCACGAGCTGATGATGGCCGAGCTCTCCCTGGCCATACGATCGCAGATCTATCATTCTAAGATGTCTCGTTGCCAACTACGGACGTCGATGTGTCAACGGCGGCACCTAGTCGTCTTCGCCTGTATTATCTAGGCCTGGCTCCTCGTTACGTTCGCACGGTCTACGGTATTGCCAGGTATCTATGATCTCTGTCTGGGACCCTTCTCTATACGTGCGGCATTGGCAGCTAGTCAAATTGGTCCCTTCAATCTACGCTCTACGCAGTCGATGGAGCTAATGCAAACTGCATTTGTTGGCTCGAGCTTTCGATATTGATCGTTGTCAAAACTAGACCGCGGACAAACAGGGCCTCCCTTTCTGGCATCCTGCATCAGAGGCACGACCTCCTCTCTCAATCAAGGTTCGTTCGTCTCACGTGGTGGCACAGAAAACTCTAGAAGCAATATTCTTTGGTCTTCTCGTTCTCCTCCCCTGGGCTCTCACCCCGTACTTATCCGCAATCATGTTGAGGAAGAACGACGAGTCGTCTCATGTCGTGGCCCTCGATCCCCTACTCCCCCTCTACCTCTTCAGTGCAGCCACAGAGAGAGGAAGGTCGGAGGACGATGGCGTGCGGTCCAGACTACAAAGTCAATGCGTTTGTTGCATCAGGCTAAAGTAAGGTGTTAGTAGTTGATGCCCAGTACGTGGGCTTTTGCAACGACTGTGCGGCGTGTCGTTAATTTTGGCTCCCCCACCGAAACACACCGCGATGCTTTGATCCGCTGCTGCGTCAGAGGGGCAATGGAAGTCCACTACTGATGTGGAGAATGGCGCCCGATACACATATGCAGCCAGGCTTGCTGACGCCGGGGCAGGGCGTGGCGATCATTGCGGCAACGTATCACGCGTGTTACCTCTAGGCGTTCTGTTGCGTCTTGGTTGAGGCCTGCGAGTGTGCTTTCCTCCTGCGATGTAGCCTTTACCTTCCCGGTCTTGGAAAGGGATCTTTCTTACCTGTGTCATGGTAATATCACAGCTCGTGCTGTAACTTGCCGTATTCTTGGTGAATCCGGGCGTAGTAAGGCCGAGTTCACTTGATCAGAAAATATGCCGTTCCCGAGGGGTGAGGGAGGGGGACATGTTTCTTCCGACGCGTTCTCTTTCTGGACCGTAGGGCACACATGCATACTCGGGACTCACTGATGATGCCAGGCGGTACTTGTAGTCTCGAAAGTCTGCTCCGAAGCCTTCATCAACGTCAACTCTCCGTCAGCAGTGTCCGTCAACACGGGTCCATCATCATCATCATCACCACCATCACCTAGGAAAAACAAACTCGCCGTATCAGACCGAAAACGAGACGAGGAGCCGTCCGCTCTGTTATCATCCACGGCCCGGCGGAGTATCTCAGCCAGGAGCAGGAAACTGACTCTACCCTGGCCCTCATCGTCGTCATCATCCTCATCCTTACCGAGCTTTGAAGGGCGAGGAGGCAAGGGGGACGACGACGACAACGGGGGCGACGACAGCGGGAAAACGGTCCTTTGTTGAATTTCGCGGCGGCGGCAGACGAGGCACTTGCCGGGTTGGCGGTACACACCCGAGCAGGAGAGGTCCGGACAGTGGACGGCCCCCGCGCCGGGGACCCGCTTGGGACATTCCCAGCAGATGTGGTGGCCTTGCCAGCAGCCGCAGTCGACGTAGTAGACGTTTTCTGCGAGACACATTGGAGGAATCGAGAACTGGCCTGCATACGGGTCGGTTGGGAAAAAGGGGGGGGACCTATTGGGTTGGTGCTGCCGGCGGGCGAAGATTGTTTGGCTTACCTTGTTGTAAATCGCGAGAGATGATCAGGGACGGCGGGTGTATTTACGTGCTATGTGTCAACGTCTATTTAAGTAGGATTCAAAGTTTCAACTTTTTGTCTTGTTGTCTCTTTAAAGAATCGATAGGTTTCTTTTGTTCAACCCCCTTTCGTTTCTCTTCGTTGTCAGGGCTTGAGGGGCTCCTCTTCGTGATTGAGACCCGGGCAAAGACGCAAGGCTTCTTCTCGTGAACGTGATGACTGACACATTTTGGGAGGTCATTGTACGGAGGCTAGGTTTGTCTATTTTGTTCGACAAACATAATGGCCCTTGTGTTGATGAACAAGAAAATCGCTTGTGTGTATGAAGAACAATAAAAGTCCTTTTGTTTTGAACGATGACTTATTTTCTCTTGGAAGAAGATCCCTTATTTCTTTGGGACCAATAACGCTTTGAGCATGCTTCAGGTGATGGAATAATAACTGGTCATATTCAAGGCCAACTTAAGAAAAGGGGTTGTATGCTTTACGCGTTTTATGTCCTTTGGGCTTTTATTGCTACAAATATATCCGTGGCTAGTCAAAGAAAAGAAAGACGACCATGTCTCTTTCAAAAAAGGGATTCTTGTTCTGGTCAATAAGATGAGTTGGTTGAGTGGCTCGGCACGGTCCAGTATTGTTGTTGAATAGGGGCTTTGTTCCCGCATAATGTAGCGTAATGTCGCATCTGTGCAGAGGTTGACGAATGGATAGAATCAAGTGAAATGATTGACCAAGTGAAGCAATTGAGTTCAAAGAGAATGGAGGAGAGAAATTGAAGTTGATTGGTGGGCTTTGAGTGCTGGAATCTGGCATATTGAGAGTCGGTCGATTGAGGAGCTTCCTGAGCACGCAGTTTTTGACTTCAAAGCGATATCAGATCTATCCACGTAAACATACTGAATGAGTCAAATATGATTGTTACCATGCGTCTCCCCACATTATGCGGACTCGGAATACGCTAAAGCTTCATGATCATGTATTCGTGTTTATACAACTGCTCAAAATTCTCTAGTTCATCTCACCCTACGTATCTCGTCAAGGTCCTCTGTCCCCCCTCCAGCACCCGCGTTGACCTCAGTAAATTCGCGCCGCGTCGATATCTAATCGACCAGCCTAGCGAGATGAACGCCATCATAAAGCGGCATCAGCCAAGAATCCAACCTCGGCTCGTCGTGGACGGCGCTGTTGAACTCGCGCAGCTTATCAACGTCCTCGGAGCGCCAGTAGGCCGCGCGCTCGCCCTTTTCGCGCTGGACCCACGGGTTCGAGTCCGAGTCGTCGGCGACGATGCCGCGGCGGAGGACGTTGTCGGCGACGATGAGACCCCCTGGGCGAAGGAGACGGTTCTCGATGCCGGGCGAGGAGGCGGAGAGGATGGTGGCGAGGTAGGATGGGTAGCCCGACTTTTGGGCGTCGATGAAGATGAGGTCGTAGGGTTCTGAGGGGTTAAGTGTGGGCAGGCTGGGGCGAGCGATGTTAGCGGGATGGGGTGAGTTTTGGTGTTTGATTCACGTCCTCGTGCCGCCCTCTTCTTCGGTCTCGGCGTCCGAAGGAGAGGAGGTCGTTTTGGCATTGGGGTGGGGGGCCTACAAGAGTGGAAAATGAACACTGGGAAGGTGGGGTGGGGGCACTTACGTCTCCAGAGCATCGCCAACGATGACGGACGCGTTCTTGATGCCGTTGGCGGCCCAGGCCTCCTCGGCTTGCTTTGCGTAGTCGGGGCTGAACTCGAGGCCGGTGACGGTGCCTTCCGGGCCCACGGCGTGGGACCAGACCATGCCGGAGTAGCCGACGTAGACACCGATTTCGAGGACTGTGAGGAAGGAGGTTTTATCAGCCGATGATCTTGAGTTTGGGTTGTAGTGGATGAGGAAGCCAGGTTTGCACCCGATAGCTCTGTGGTAAAGGACCGTGGCCAGGATGGGAGGTATCAGAGAGGTTTAACAATCCCACAAGTCTTTCAGCTATACCTCTCCAATCAAACACTTGAATGAGATGATGTTTGAGTTGAATAGTCTCTAGTAAAAAAAGACCTTGGTGTTGCAGTCTTGCAACGACTCTTAACCGAACCATCATAGCATCAAACCCCCTGGATCAAGACACAAAAAGACCGCCACAAAGACTCACCCCTCTTGGCTCCAATTAGCTTCGCGATCCAAATGTGGTTCTGCGCCTGGAAGTTGCTAATCATCAACATGGACGTCTCGGGCTGCGTCTTGTCAATGTGGTCGTGGTAGGCGACGATGTGCGCGGGCAGGTCGGTGGAGCGGGACTCGGAATACGTCGTCACGTTGCGCGAGACGGACTCGTTTGGGTAGAGGACCGAGACGGAGGACTTCATCTTGGTATGGCTTTTCTATTCCTTGAGGGAATAGCTGTAACTAGAATTATTATTGAGTTCTGCAAGGGATTAAATTATGAACAGAAGAGCGTTTACAGGTTTGTAAGATGCTATGAGAGTGAGTGGTCGCGAGGATGAGGTGAGGTCCTGAGAGGCTGACTTGGGTCGAGTCAGGTGAGATTGAAACGGGACCGTACGTCGGCACTTCTTAAGAACAAGAATAGGTAAAAGTAGCGCCAAAAAAGAAGTTGTATTTACCAAACAGAGAAAACCAAGAAGAAGAAAGAGGGAGTCTGGTGTATTTATGCCAAGTATCAAAAACCTGACCATCCCCCCTCCCCCGCCAAAACATCGTTCGTTGGTGTTGATTATTAAGTGTTCTTCCAGAGCTTCTTGACAATTATCGTGTCACAGCTATCCCGCGCGGAACGGTGGATACAAGAGACGTCGCCCCAATTCCGAGAGCCGAACAAGATCGACCCCTCCATCGATGCGGTTTCCCCCCACACCCGTCACTCCTTTCCCCCCGAAGCTACCCCGGTTGCGCAATCGCCCACACAATGGGGACGTCTAATTTGGTGCCTCTCTCTCTCTGTGCAGTTACGAATAATACAAGCGTGATACGGATACATCACTAGCAAGTCTGCCTACTGTACATCTCGGCCGAAGTACGCTGTGAGAGCTCGGCTCGGCGATTGGGGGGATGAGTCAAGTTAGTTCTTCGGACGTTGAGGCCTTGTGGATCTTTCTTTACCCATAACCGCACGAACTGTTACGACTTCCATGTCGAGAACCTCGGGACCACCACACGGCACTTTTTTTCTTTCTTCGGACTCGTTTTCGCCGCAGTTTTGCTAACTATGCTAATTTACTTTGCGTATATTTTTTGATTTCTTTTTTCTTTTCTTTTCTTGACAGGTGCTTGATTTACAAATGGAGGTCAACCTGGCAGTGGGTGGGGGGAGCGGGCACTGCTCGGCATTGCGACTTCGGATACCGAAAAAGTTGGGATGGACTCTTTGGAAACGATACATGAGTAGGTGTTATACTACTAAGGCATGTAGTAGTTTGCCAACGCTCGGTGCCGTTGCGGCGGGACGGTCTGTCTACCTTACAGACCACCACCACCCAACACCACCACCACCCAACACCACCACCACCCAACACCACCACCCATTCAAGGTACTTTCTGTTTCAGGAAGGAGGGGCGGTTCCGAGGGACGACGCCTACATGATTCTTTAGTACCATTTCAACACCGACAACCCTATTCGGGCCATTATCTGCGAAATATCACTGGCACATGTTACTTCTTCAACTACAGCCCATGCCCACTAATTGGTCATTTACTATGACCACATCAACAGGATGAGGCAGATTTTTTGGCAAGACAAAAGTGATTTCCAAAGTGTTGAATTAACGCGGGGGAACTTTCAAGTCTAGTGACTTGCATAAAAAAAACTACACGACTAGGAAAAAAAAGCTGGCGCGATGCTTGAACATGGACGGGCGACAAGAAGTTACTCCTGACAAGATTAAGTCGTGGTCCAAACTCGTGCCAATGCTGATTCCCACATGACGTTGGAAGAACTTCCCTCTCCAACCGAACACTTTTCCTTTCCCCCTTTTTCTAAAAGACTGCAGCCACTCAACTCCATTCCACATACTTCACCTCAAAATGAGCTGAATTCCCGGAAAGAGACAAAAGCACAGGTTCACTACTTTTCAGCAGGTCATGCCCGTTCCACTATTCCGCATTACGCTATTGTACTTGTACTTGTCCTATGGTATCCGCGACGGGGCCAATGACTATGCAATGACCATCCCTTGATCTCAAGCTTGTCTGCGATGTAGTCTTCCTTCAGGTTCAGAAATGCGCCTAGAAGAAGAAGGCGGCGACGACCAGAACACCGGCGAGGGTCAGGGGTGCCTTGACGTAGTTGCCGCCTGCGGTGGCGACCGTGGATGGTTTGCTTCCGATGGTCGGCGGCTGAGCGGGAGACTGGGCGGGAGACTGGGCGGAAGGTTGAGCGGGAGGTTGAGCGGGAGGTTGAGCGGGAGGTTGAGCAGGAGGCTGCGCCGGGGGTTGCGCGGGAGGCTGCGCAGGAGGTTGAGCGGGAGGTTGAGCGGGAGACTGCGAGGGGATAGAGCCGGGCTTCTTCACAGTGACGGCGCTGTTATGGTAGCGGGTTCTCGTAACCGTAGGGCAAGGCGTGCTCGAGGCTTTGGGGGTGACGGGAACGGCCTGCTGCGAAGACACGACCACGGCAGCAGAAGATGGAGGCGGCACCGCGCGCTGGGACGAGACCACGGCGGGGGGGTTGGACGCGGAGGAGGGGGGCGGGACGGCGCGCTGCGAAGAGACGATGACGACGGTGGAGGTCTTGGGCTTGGCGGTCGTCGTGGTCTTGGGCTTGTGAGATGTCGTTACTTTTTTGGTGGCCGATGTGCAGGGGATCGTGGCGTTGTCGCGGCGGGTGGAGGTGACGATTTTGGTGGTCTTCTTGTGTGAGGTCGAGGACTTCTTGGAGGTGGAAGAAGACTTGCACGGGGTGGTTGTGGGCTTCTTGGAAGTGGAAGTGGAAGACTTGCAGGGAGTGGTGGTCTTCTTGGTGGAGGTCGAGGATTTCTTAGAGGTGGCGCAAGGAGTCGTCGTGGGCTTCTTGGGTGTAGAGCAGGGAGTGGTCGAAGGCTTCTTAGAAGTAGGGCAGGGAGTGGTCGTAGGCTTCTTAGAAGTAGGGCATGGAGTGGTCGTAGGCTTCTTAGAAGTAGGGCATGGAGTGTTCGTAGGCTTCTTAGAAGTAGGGCATGGAGTGGTCGTGGGCTTCTTAGAGGTCGAGCACGGGGTGGTAGTCTTGGAGGAGGTCGTGCAGGGCTGGGTGACGGTGACGACCGTGGTGCTCCAGGTCCAGGTCGGCCGGGGGAAGGGGACGAAGACCCGGGACACGGTCGTCTGAACGGCGGTCACCGGATCCAGGGGCACGGGCGTCTCGACGGCAGTCACCACCGGGTCCAGGGGCACGGCAGGGAAGTCGTGCTGAGGCGGCCGCCAGTCGGCCGGACGGCTGTCGCGGGAGACGGGAGGGGCGGGCTGCTGCTGGGCCTCGGCCAGTCCGGCGAGGACTGCGACGGCGATGGTGGTGACCCTCATTGTTTCTGAGAAAAGGGGGAGAGGGGGGCAAAGGTGGGAAACGATTGTGGAAACTATGAAGAAACGATTGACTAAGAGGAAGTGAAAGGTCCCCGCCTTCCCTACACGATGACAGTGAGCGAGTGACTGATGAATAGGATGAGGATGGAAGAGGAGATTTGTCTAGAGTCTGCTTTTCGGCTCGCTTTACTTATAATCGTCGGCCTGGGAACTTTCGACGACTCTGAGCCTTGATGGTCTTTTGAGTCTGCATGGCTTGTCGAATATCGAATTGTTACCATCTTGGAAAGAGTTTGAATGGATGGAGCATATACCGGGGCCAACATGAGCAGCTTAGACCACAGGGTTGTGAAGCCATCGAAGCTTATGCAGAAAGCTCCTCATTCTTGAGCCACTGGGGACACAAGCTGCTCCCTCGCCCAACGATTGATGGCAGCAGACCAAGGTTTTTTAAGCCATTGAAACCTCTGCGGAAGGTCTGACGGCGGCCTCGGCGAATCAGGCCTAGGGTTGGCGCGAATAGTTGAAGTCTTTTCACGCGTCGAGAGACACGATTGGAGCTCACGGAACCATGGAGCAGCTGCATGTTTGAATCTGTGCTTGAAAATTGATGAAAACGCTGGGGTACATATTGTGGCGGGACCTCTATCGGACCTCTTCCACTACTTGGTTGCCCACCAATCGCTCTTCGTGATAATTCTGCAGCGCCTGTATACCTTTGGTCATGATATTCGACGTGCAAAATTAATGACTCCGCCGAGCGGCGTCCGGTGTTTCGACTCGAAAACGGAAGAGTGGTGATCTGTGCACCTTGACGGAGCGCTCTCGACCCGGTCGAAAAGCCTTGTGCATGTTGCTTCCAATCCCCTCAGCATCTGCGCAACCTGCAACGCTTAACTTTGTGTGTTCCGTGTCGGACCATGCTCGCTATGTATGCCTTCTGTCGATTCCATTCTTTTCCGCTCTTGGAATACGCATCCTAGCCCCTAACGCCATATTGCCACGCAACTTAGTAGTCGGAATCACCAGAGAAAAGACCGAATCGCATCCGGTGGCTCTGCATTTAATGTCAGCCTTGTACTTTGCACACCTTGTGTCAGTAAGGGAAAAACATACAAAAGGCAGCTTGGGGATGACAACTGCTAGCACAGCCAGGAAGTTGATGCTAAAGTAGGCCAGATCGTAATGCGTGTAATGGGTGCTGAGGAGGAACAGCACGATTGGCACGCTGAGCAAAAACTTCTTGGCAGGCGTGTATTGTGCCCCATCGTCAATTTGTTCCCACATGTTCAGGTTGTCAAAGGCACCGCCGTTGAACTCGAACGGCACGCCGCGAACGTAATGGAACATGATGTAGGATCCAAACATGTAGGAGATATTCGTCAGAGTCCAGGATGTCTCCTGTGACACGCCCGGCATGACATCGTAGAATATCTTTAGGCAAAGGATGAGGACGAAGTGAATTGTCCAGGCACCTGGCGACGATGATTGTCAGTTCAGTTCCTGTTGTCATGCCTCGCGCTGGGCATTCGGGGGCTGGCACGCGACCAAGTAGATGGAAGGGGGGAAAGCTTCAAAGACGGAAGCTTCGCGCGGGGCTCACCTTTGGCATTGACCCAGTTCGCATTGAGATTGGGTACGACGGCCTGGTCGCTTATTTGCTCGAGTGTCTCTTGCGGCTCATAATGGACCTGGAGGATGCTGCTAGATCTCCTTCTGCGGGCACCGGGTTCCGCCATCGCTCTGTACGATCCGCTGCCACTTCGCGGAGGATTTGTGGCCGCGTCGTACGAGACGGTGCGAGAGAGGAGGATTGGGGAAGACAGTTTGGCGGTGTTGGAGGGGGCGTTGGGGTGCGGGTTTTGTGGGTGGAAAGGAAGAGGGGGAAGTCTCTGCGGGCTCTCGGGATCGTCGTCGGCGTCCTCGTGATGCTGGGGTTCGGCGGAGCGATGGATTTGTCGTGTGCTGGCGGCCCCTTGATGATGTCACGGGGAAAGCGAGCAATTGACGTTGATGCGGGTGTTGTAAATAGAAGATGCTGGGACTGAATGTGGTTGGAATTTGATGGAAGCGAGAGTAGAGAAAAAGGTGTCGTCGGGACGGTCGAAGAGGAGTGAGAGCGAGATTCTGGCTGTGAATGTTTGGGGATGCCGTCGTCGTAATAGTTTACTTGGCAATGGGACGAAGGAGAGAATGGGACATTTTCCATTAGATATTCATAGTACTCCGAAGGTAGCAGCCAGCGGAACGGGGCACTGGGGGGTAGGACAAAAAAGACTGGGGCCCAGGTCCCAGACTAGGTACTTACAAGGCCACGGCACAGGGGCTCAGGACAAGATTGGGATCCGAGCAGACAGCTGTAGGCAGCACCAGCTCCTCCACCTTCCCAGCCAGTGCCAGCCGACACGAGTGACGAGGGGACACATTGATGCGGACGGCGGACGTGGAGCCCCCAACCCCTGTCAGGGTCGTTCAGGGGACCACCCTAATTTCAGCGGGTACAGGAGACTTGCGAGAGGAGTGGACGCTGGCTGTACAGCGACGGAGTGCATACAGTACAAGCACTGGCAGGTCCCGATGGGAGACTGGACTGGACGCAGAGACTCCGGGACGAAGGGGACGGGACTGGACTTGGGCCAGGCAGAGCCCAGGACAGGTCAGAAGCAGGGCAGGCATTCTTTGGAACTAAGGTATGGAAGGTATGCTCTTGCACCTTATCTCCTTGGCCTAGGAAGCTTTTCCTCCAGGTGCGACATGCCCAGCCGGTTCACACACCCGACGAGATGCTCGATTTGACAACCGTTTCCTCCCCCACTATCGAAGAAGAAGAAACGAAGGGACTCTGATCGTTGCATACAGATCCCCAGTTCCCATTTCCGGCATACGCGCATGGTACACCCCGACCAGAGCACGACGCCCACGGCACGCAGGCTAAACCAAGCACCAGACGAGACCCCTACAGCGACTCGTCCCGCGGGAAGGGCACGAATGACCAACGTGAGCACAGCCAGCCAGACGGTCAGACTCAGACTCAGACCCAAACATGCCACTGTTCCACGGGGCAGATATCCGTACTGTACGGATAAGCTCCTCTGCGTTTCCTGTCTGGCCAATCGTGTTGCAGGAAGGGTAGCGCAGGTCGGGGGCCGGAGCAGCTTGCGGCGTAGGTTCACAGGCGCATCTGCTAGCAAGTTGGGTAGGAAGGGGTTCCCCTGGCGAACTCTGCTAGGAAGATGCCCCTATCCCCGACTTCTATTAGTGACGGGAAGTCGGTGGTCGCTGGGAGGATGGAGGATGGGAAACAGATGTGGACGCACTGTCACACCCATCCGGATACAACCGTTGGATGGATCGACCCTATCACGTAGGCCGTCCATATTCGCGGCACGAACATGCCATCCAGCTCCCAAGAGAGGCTAAGCTTTGTTGAGCCGGCAGGAACAGAGGAACAGCAGAGCAGCACGATCAGGTTCACCCATCTTCTCTTCGCCTCACATCATGACATGGATCACATCACACCTGGGTGTCCTGGCGTCTGGTCATCCCACCCAGATTTGCGAGAGCTGCGCAAGAAGGACGGTGGCCCCTCTTCCCCAAGTTGTCGATGTTGTCCAAGGCGTCGTACTCCGTACCTGTGTTCCCCAACACATACGGTGTTGCTTGTTCTTCCCACTTTCCGCTCCTCGATTTGACAAGAGCATTTGTTATCTGAGCTAAATCTGTCGCCCTTGGTCTCCACTCAGCGGGCTGTGCGACAACTTATTGCCTGTAGTGGTTCGTTGCGTTGCGTGGGATGGACGGATAGGCAAGAAAAAGTGACGTGGAATTCCTGGACATCCGGGATATCTCACCGAACCACTAAATGCGTCACTGATGGAATGCCAAAGTTTCTGTCCACATTAGGCCCGACCTCTGGTCAAGTGTGCCTATATCGAGGATCGAGTCCGATTGTAGCTTCAGTATTCGCGGATAATCGTGGCGTGTCTGGCGCACAAACGACGCGAAATCCAACACGCAATAAATACCATGGTCACACTTTGGCAGAAAGCAGCAGATTCATGAGACCACGATATGCCCGTCAAAGCTGTCGCATACCTTTCCCACTGCCCCCTCAACTTCGGCAGGCGGACGAGTTACAACCAGGGCCAAAGTTGACGCTTGGTCCAGGTGGCAGGTGCAGAAAGATCTAGCCTCATTTCCGACCGCCAGAACCTCATTTCTGCTTCTGCGGGTTGCGGGTTGGATGTCTGTAATTAGATGAGAATCGATAGGCGCAAGGTGCCAATTCTAGAAGCATTCACTCTCGCTTGCGAGTTTCTTCTTCGCAGCGACACCGACACCGCCTCCGGTGGGCACCGGCCTGTAATTAGTGAAGGTTCCAGGGCAATCAGTCGACCCTGGCTAAGCGAGAGAGGAGCACGACCTGAGTACGGATATCCGTACAGATAAACGCCTTGAGATATCGATTGGCACGGTGCCGTGGCCCGCACCTCTGAAAAATCGAACACTGGGGTGACTGGGCCCGGCAGCGCGCGCAGCCCGGCCGAGGCAGCCGCGGCCAGGTGCAAGAGGTCCGGCACGTCGTTTTGACGAGACAGTGCGGTTATTCTTCGGCCGGCCGTTTTTGTGACGTCTGGCCTGCAGTGGATACCCGACAACAACCCTGCATACAATTTTTGATCAGAAGAAACGGAGCCTTTACTTGTTGATGCTGAACGACATTGAGCAATACTGAACGTTGGAGGTTTATTCTTTGCCAGGCAAACACTTCGTCCGCTTGGCTCGAGGACGCCTAAGTGCTGGCCAATTCCCATCAGCTTCAATTTTTTCCGGGGGGCTTTCGTGGCAAATCGCATAGTCCCAGGGCCTGAAATTAAGATCCAACTTCTCATCGTCAGGAGCAAGAGGGTAAATTGCTTCGACTTGAGCAAGGTTTCACGTCTCTTCTGATGGTTTCAGCGCCCTTGCAAATCACTACACTACCTGATTTTGCTAGGTAAGGTACTGAAGAGGCCTCGAATTCGGGTACCGCGTGGAATAACTCACAGCACATCGCGACCACTGAGTTTTCCTCCACCGCCCACGAGCGGTCCATCATGGAGATGTTGGAGCAGGCAGAAGCCGTGCCGGTGCTCAGCACGGAGGAAGAAGTACAGCGGATAACAAAGAAACGGTCATTGGAAGACGTTGAGCAGGGAGACGCGATGCCCAACGGGTCACCCCAATCTCATCGGGCCTCATCGCATGAGCCCGAAGCAAAGAGGGCGAGAACAGAGCAAATCCAACAATCGCCCGCGCAAGCTTTGACAAAACACTCGGAAAGCGTCGATGAGGGCGAGTTGGAGGAAGACGGAGAGGTGCCACCTTCCGAACCCGAATCCGAAAATCAGGCGATCGTCGCCGAACAGAGCGACGGGAGTGTTGGATCTCGCACGCGTTCAAAGGCGTCGGCTTCTGGTGGAGAGTCTGATGTGGGCAGCAATCGGACGACCCGGTCAATGTCGGCGGCGGCAAGTGGCCCATCTCACGTTGGATGGAATCAAGGGATAACATCCCAGATCCGGACATCTCTTGGAGGGCCCAAAACCAAGGCAGCACCGGCGCCGGCCAAGGCGTCAATAACCGAAGAGGAAGCCGCGCCTGCTCTCATCTCTCAAGAAGTGCCTGCACCCACCGAAGCTGCTGAGCCAGCCCAACCAGCCCAACTAGGGCCAAAGGAAGGCAAACTCTCGCGGCAGCAGCGAAGAGCCGAAGCTGCCACAATAGAAAAAGAAAAGGCCCAAGAGCTCCAGAAGAGTCCTTTCGTCTACGCTCCAGGTCTGACGTTCCTTCAACCCAACAAAAAGACGCTCCTAGCACCAAAGGGAAATAATCTAGGCAGAGGAGTTTGGAAGGCCAAATTCAAGAGTTGGTGCCAGTCCTTTGTCAGCCGCAACAACGACCAGGCGCATTTGCTCACACCCGACATTGTCGTCGCTGCTCTGCAGGACTACATCGCGGTTCGAGCACACTGGATAAAGAAGAAGCATTCTGGAGCTGCGGCAACTGAGGCTCGTAAGCCCGAAACAAAGAACGACATTGCCGTCAACCTAGCGGCAATTCTGAAGAACGACAGCTTCCTGCCAGGATCAGAACAGTCGCCGTTGATTATCCACGATAACGACGACGTGGTCGACGACGACGTCCAAGAAGTACGACCTCCGTCTGGTGGCGCTGCTATGGCCAGACGGCCTTCACAAACCGAAAACATTGCTAACGATCAGCATTCGGCCACAACACAACCTCAGAACGACGTGGCGGACGAGGACGGCGAGATGGAGGCAGGGCAAAGTGAACCAGGACCGGCGCTCATGACCGAGGAAGAAGATCTGGCGCAGCAGCGCAAGTACTTTCCTGGCCTAGCAGATTCTGTGCAGATCTGCGTGTACTGCGCATCTCTCGGACACACATCGATGGCTTGCCCAAAGACTCGCTGCAAGTTCTGCGAACATCTCCATCACTTTTCATGGAACTGTCCTACGCGCGAAAGATGTACCAAGTGTCGCCAGCTTGGCCACGGCAAAGCCCAATGCAAGGAAAAGCTCATTCATTTGGACGAAGAGGGTATGGAATGTGCCACGTGTGGCTCTCAGGAACATCAGGAGGCCGATTGCGAGAGAATCTGGCGGTCATACAAGCCCCCAACGAATATCAAGAAGGTCAAGCCATTCCCTGCCTTCTGCGCCTTCTGCGGCACAGAGAGCCACTACTCTTCCGACTGCCATCTTAATCGCGACAGACCTAAAAGCGAAACGTGGACGCTCAAGAACAGACACCTCTATGTCGACAAGAACGCAACCGATGGCCCGATCAGCGACTTCGCTAGTCAGCCTCAGAACCCCAAGTTCGCCCCTCTCCAGATCAAGGGCTCTGCAGCTAAGCGAAACCACATCTTCTATCCCGATAGCGACGGTTCGGAGGAGGGCGAGTTTATCGGTCAGAAGGTGAAGCCGCGTGCACCACTCGGCAACATCCAGATGTCGACCAACCTCCAGATCAACACTGGCAACTTTGGACCACCACCGCAGACTCGTTCAAACGGGCGTGGTCAGCAGCGGAATGGGTGGTCAGCGCAGCCTCCCCTGCCTCCTGGACCTCCACCTCCAGGCCCGCCACCGCAGGGCTCATACTCGCGAATGTCAAGAAGCTACAACAACCAGTCGCGCCAGCCTGCGAACGGTTTGCCTCCCAAGCCCCCAGCGCCGCAGTCGCAACAACACGGCCACAGTAGCGCGGGCCCACCATCGAACGGGCGAGGACCGAATCCGCCGAAGAAACAGAGGACGAGGAACCAGTCCGGAAACTCCAATGCGGGAGCTGCGCAGCAGCAGAACGGTGGGGTTCCGGCATCACGCCGCAGGGGCAAGAACAGACGCGGTGGGAAGCAAGGATGAGCGTTCAGAATGATTGGCTAGCGCGCGACGCCGTTGAAAGGGGCGTATGGTGGGTGGGTGTGTCGCGCGACCACGAGCGAGATGGCGGTTGCGAAGTCACGGGAGGCATCGAGGAACATCATGTACGAAGAGTGCACGAGTTGAGACAAACTCGAGCGAAATCGGAAGAGGAGACGGCGCGCGACGATGCGCGACGACAGCCTTGCCTTTTCGGTTGGGTGAACGACATGGACGAACTGCGCGCGAGGTTAGCTTTACATTTTGCAGCAGAGATGGTTGCGTCGGCCAATAGCTGCGCATGCGCAGTTGACGTGGACCACACACGACTTTCATCTCGGTGGATCAGATCATTACGAGGGAGAGGACGGTAGTTTTTGATACCCCCCGGCTATTCGCACAGAAACCGATGGGCCACAATTCTACTTTACGCGCTTTTTGACCTTTGTACTTGACTCTGTGTGTTTGTGTATGAATATGAAATTTCTTGACTTGGAGACATGGGATTTTGAGGAGCCCGGACAGCTCAGTCTATGGGACGAACAAGGACCAATGTCAACATTTGACTCACTGCGAATGCCACGACATCGAAAATGATCCTGGCTGGCGCTTTCGTGGCTGGGGATTGAATCATTGACGGTGAGAGAGCGCAGTCGTCAAGATGCTAAAATGTCCTTACCGCAAATTTTTGACATGGGGGAAAAAAACAAAAAACAGTCAAGGGTGCAAGCAAAGCCGTTTCCGCGGCTAGGGGTGTAGGAAGAAGGAAAATCATCGTGGGCCTTGTCACCGGGGGTGTCTAATTCTTTTGATATAGTAGACTGGCGCTTAGGCTTGGTGTGTGTTAGTCACAATGTCGAAGGTCTGAGCCGGGGGGAAGGGGGGGATGATGATGGCAAGGGGGTTTTGGCGGCCACGTCGTGGCATTGCCTTGATTTCTTCCTTGAAAAATGCTTCGAGTTTCGATGAATATTTTATTTTTGTGTGGACAGACGAGGGGGGGGTTTGACGATTTGTCGGTGTGCGTGTGTAACGCAAGTGCGTTGTTGCGGTCGGTCTGGGGGAAAGGGTGGAATGGAGCTTGTTGGGCTGGGTTAAAGTTGTGGATGCCATTTTTTTTCTTTCTTTCGTTCTTCGACATTTGGTTCGTGATGCATGGGTTTTGATGCAGTGGTTTGGTGGGGTTTTCTTTGGGTGGATTTTTGTATTGAGAAACAATGACTGGGGGGTGGGTGTTTTTGGGCTGATAAAACGTGGGTTGTGGGTTTTATGACGACTCCCTTGTCTTTGGGTTCTTTGGTCTTGGGTTCATGGAATCCTGAGACCGGGGGGCTAGTCGTGATGGTCTATGGATACCGTAGACCCTGGGACGGGCCATGGGCCTCTTTCCCTTGTTCATGGGTTGTGGTAAGGAAAATATTATGTTCGCAAAAGTTATGGGATATGTGTTTGGTTTACCGGCGACGATGGAAGTATTTGACGCCGGGACGACGGAAAGACCAGGGGCGGGGGAGAAGGGATAGCATGCACGACGTGGCTCCAAGGGTTCTGCCCCTCTCTTCTCTTTTACCGCTCCCTTGGCTATCCCCTGGTCTGATGATGTATGTAGACATGTGGAGGGGAGTTGTCGAGTCGAAGGTAGAAAAAAGTTCTGGTTTGCTGGCGGGGCATAGATTGGTTCTGGGTGTGCGGTTGAGTGGTGATGGAAGGGTGAAAGAAAAGGGTGTGGTTTTGATATGGGGGCATGCAGTCGTGATGTGGACACCAGGTGACGATCAGCCAGGGCGTATTTTCTGACGGGTTGTGGTTGTCGGTGTATGGGGGGTTGTGTCTAGTTGTGGGTAGATGAGAAGTTCCAAGGGTTCCTTCCAGGTTCGTCTGTGACGGTGTGATGCAGAGGGAGGCGATGCATGGCAGTTGCAAAGGGGAAGGGACAAACGATCGGTTGAGAAGAGTCGAAGCTTTTCAAGGCGGGTTGGTTTTGCTGTGCTGTCCACCTGGGGGAGATGATGGTAACTAAAGTACTGGGTGATGTAAGCACAGACTTAGACTTGAAGTTTGACAAGAGAGATATCATGGGACGGAACATATGCAGGTCAGCAACTTTTGGGCGGGAAGTCTGAGAGATGCAGACGGACCCTTGCGCTTGGCTCGGACCGTTGACGCGGGCTTGGGATAAAGAGGGAGCTGGTTCCGAAGACTCTACGTACTTAGTGAGGCACCCGAGCTCTGAGAGTTGTGGTCCGCAGTCTGTGGTCTGGAGGTTCATTGTGGGTGTGGTGTGTTGAAGGCACGAACCCGTGGTTATGTCAGCCCCGTTTTGGTTAATGGTGAATTGAGAGACTTGGGGAGCGGTTGTGTGTGTGTGTGTGCTTCAATTTTCAGTGAGCCGAGCCATTCAAAGATGTTTTGCCTGCTTGTGGATAAAGTCTAGTGGGGTCTTCGAAGCTGCACGAGCTGGAGTGTTGCAAGGGAGCGAGCAGGGCCGGCTGGCTGGCCGGACTACGTCAACTTTCAACCTGTATCGAATTAGATGGGAAGCATTTCGGGGAAGGGGGGAGGAAGAGGAGGAGGAGGAATAGGATGGGATGCGCCGGTTGTTGTCCGAACCCGCAAATGCGCAAAACAAAATGTGGGGTTTTCGCATGAGCTGCCGAGCGGACGACGTCTCTCACCGCGCGGGATTCGTTCGGTTTGCTCCTGTATCCGTACGGATATCTTTGTCTGTATTCCTACGTGGAAGCGGATTGGTTGGAACCGAGCTGGCGACGTTCTCCCGTCTGATCCGCGGTTGATTCGCGGACGAGACGGAAACTCGCCAACCCCCCCAGCATTTGCGCGACGGACCTCACTGGTCAATGGGCGAACGACGGGATGCAGAATGCAACGTAGTGGATCGTTGAGAGAAGAGTCATAAGTCATCATGGTCCGGTCCACTACAACATGGGGGGCGTCGAGGGACGGCGACGGTACTGTACTGCAGCAGCAGCAGCAGCAGAAGTGGACGATGCGCGGCAAGTCAACACCCTTGAGCCTGCCTTGCCTTGCCTATGCTTCTGGCTTCTCTGCGGACCTGGAACGCTGCCGTTCGTGACCACGTACAGAAACTCGTACATTTGCCAAGGGTAAACGAAGGGTTTCTGGCCACAGCCCTAGCCTCGCCTTGTGTTTCGCGAAATTAGAGGCATGGATCGCGTGGTGGAAGTTAGGTTACGGGTTGAGTGGTGGGTGTAGTTGTTGTCTCGAGCATGGCAGCGGACGAAAGAGGGTTGCGAAAGGATCGGGTTGACCGTTTGAAACGACACTTTGTAATGCCGCGGCGCTGATTACATCGCCAAATGTCGATTCGTCCCTTTCTCGGGGGCGAAAGCGAAAGCGGGCAGGCTTAAGCAACCTCAAAATCGAGACCGTAGACCAACCACGGCAAGAGGATTGCTTCGTTCCCCCGAGCTGATGCATCCCCCATGCTGGTGGGCTCCCTCCTCAAACTAGACTACCTAAACCGAAGACCAGGCTCGATCGCCACGCGGAGAGGAGGCATGAGTGACAAAAAAACGCCGGACCTCGAACTTCCTCCTTCTCCTTCTCCACCATCCACCATGCCATGATCGTCGAGATCCACCCGGCAGACACTCTTGGAGCTAGGAAACTGAAGGGCAGTCAGTCGGCCGAGGTGGAAACATCAGATGGGCAGACCGGGGATCGAGCGTGTGGCAGCGCTTAGACTTATATCCAGACCACGAAACGACTGGTCGTCAACAATAGACGCGCTCCCGTCCACCTCCCGGAGCCATGTCGCGTACCTTTCGCGTCCCTGACGAATCAGAGGGCCCATTATCGTCGACTGCATGACCAGCCCCCCGGGTTTGCGACCAATGGGGTGGTGTGTTGATGGACGTTTGACGTGTTGGTGGGGAAAGATCAGAGTTTTGTGGAGAAGGACCCACATGCTTGAATTTGGGCATGGATAAAGTTCTTATCGATAGTGCTTCTCCCACAGGAACCTTACCTTAATACCTTTCAATTTTTGACTTTTGGCAGTCTGCAGATCCGCGGGCGACGGAAACGGAAAAAAAGCTCAAAGCCACCACCACCACCACCTGCCCTGCGCCTGGGGGCTGGCTCGGACGATGGGGCCGGCGACTGGGAACCGGGACTGAGCAAAGCATCCACGGCAAAGCATGGGTCGCACAAGAAGACCACACACCAGCACCAAAATACCACGAAAAGAACTTTGACAGGTGGGTATCCTGCCAAAAACCTGCAAAGTCCCGCAGCAGATGGACACAAACGGTCTCATCGTCGGGAAGCCATCGACCACTGGCCCGACTTGAAACAAAGTCCTTGGCGGCGGGGACGGGAAAAGGGCTGCTTTACTGAGGTGCGCTCTGCGTTCTGCGGAGCTAATGCAACGCCCATAGCCTTTGGACCTTTTCTCACCTACCTTACCTACGGGTACGACCTACGCCCATATCCCTTCGTCTCGTCTTCCATCTCGTCCTGCTAGACTAACGTGGTCGTCCCGCGCGAGTGGGTGAGCGGACCAATCACACGGCCTCAACACGTCGCCAACTCGCCATTTCTGGACACTCTTCCTACAAACCTTGAACCGCATCGGGGTGTGTGGTGGTGTGTGGGTTGGCACGAGCTTTTACACGCCGGTATCCCTACACGTCGAGTCCACGCCCACGCCCACGCCCACGCACCAGGGCTCTCTTTCTCGATTCCCCCGTCTTGGGACGTGTCTCCCACCATCCCGCGCGCCCAGGGTCCATATCTTCGTCTGTGGTGCGAAAGAAGAAAAAAAGTGGACGACCAAAAAAGAGATGTTCCCCCCCATACACAACAACCGCGTGGAACTCTTGGGAGCTACACTAGTCTTGCATATGCAGGTCTCGACAGAGGTGACTCACCCTCCAGTCGTTCCCACCGAGGAGCTACGGGACGATGCGGCCAAGGGTTGAGGAGGAGGCTGGTTCCGGTTTACAACTCTTCGCATGTCTAAGGTGTAGCTTTATGGAGTACCTACGTACGTTCAAACCTTGCTAGATGGGACATGGTGCGAGCAAAATGTGTGTGTGTGTGTGTGTGTGTGTGTGTTGCTCTCAAATCAGTCCCCATGTAAGAGAGAGTATATTTTTCTCACCCTCCCACCTCCATCCGTTTGGCCTGATTTACGAGACCTGCTTTTTTTCCTTTCCATTGTTTCCAAATTCGATATCCCGTTTCATAACACCACGACAGCTCATACCTTGCTTGTGCGGAAGCATATCCTAAATTGGCATCACAGTGAGAAAACAGGTTGTGAATAACCTCATTCGCCCATTTGAACCCAAGGAATCTGTTTCAGATAAAAGAATCTTTCAGTCTTTTTGTCATTCCCAAGAAGACATCATCTCCTACTCCACCGTCCTCTTTTGAAAAATCCTTCATCGACCACCTACCTGAGCTGATACCCCCATATAACGTTGGTGTTGAACCAAGTCAGATATCTGCTTTGGTGAATCCCACATCAAAGATCTCGCCATACAAACAGCATCCACAATAGTTTTCGACGACAACGACACCCAAAGCCTGGAAGTCTACAACGACATGAGAAAGATATGGCAGCGCTCCCAACCCCGTTCTACTGCCTCTGGCAGAGGGAACACGCAGAACTAGGCTCCAAGGTCCTCGACCTCCTCCCCAAACGCGACCTCGCCGCCCTCCGCCTCGCCAGCTCGGCCTGCTGCAACATTGCAACGAAAACCCTCTTCAAGCGCGTCCGCGTCACCTTCTCCGCAAACACCTTCACAAAGCAATCCCGCGTCCAGGCCCTCGCCCGCGTAGGCCACCACATTGAGCACCTTCACTTCCACTTCGCCCACACGGAAGCCACCTTCCTCCCGCCCCTCGTCCACCCGACCACCGGCCGCGAGATCAGCTTCCTCTACACCCCGCACACGAGCATGGCCTCCGTCCTCGCGAGACCCAAATACGCCAACACGGAGCTCGGCGAGATCCTCACCCAGCAGTATCCCCCGCTCTTCCACGCCGCGACCAACGTGCCCAGCTTCATCAACGCCCTGCGCCACCTCACAAACGTCCGCCACCTCACCATCCGCTGCCCCGGGCAGGACCCGCAGGAGCGCTATCGCAGAGACATTGTCGACTACGCCATCATGTCGCTCCGCATCGCCGTCGAGCGCGCGCCCCTCGAGCAGCTCGAGAAGCTCTCCCTCTCGGGAATGCATCCCTCCGCCTTCAACTATCTCCGCCACGTCCCCGGCTTCGGCGCCGTGCCCTCCGCCGGCCGAAGATGGAAGCAGATCCGCAAGCTCAACATCTCTGTCGAGGCCTGGGACTTTTACGGGCCCTCACCGGGCCTCGACCACCTAAAGATCATGGACGACTACATCCGCCAGTTCTCCGGCACCCTCGAAAAGCTCCACTTCACCTGGCTCGGTCCCAAGGGCCCCTGCCCCATCGCCCTCTCGGCGGACCCCCTTTTCGCGCCGCCGAAGCATAGTCAGAAGCTCTTCGCCGAGGTGACTTCGCCCATGTCGCCCCTCCCGCCGGCGCCGGCCCGTAAGCCCATGCATTTCCCCCGCCTGCGGTATATGCAGGTCCGCAACGCGACCATGACGGCCGGCCAGCTCTCGGACCTGGTCAACGCGCACCAGAAGACGGTTAAGGAGTACGACTTTGACAACGTCGTGCTCATCAACGGCGGCGACTGGGAAGAGGCCCTCGCGCCGCTCATGGAAAAGAGCACTGCCGGTAGCGGCAGCGGCAGCGACATCTGGTCACAGCACTCACGGAGCAACTCCGAGGCTGGCAGTCTGCACTCGGAGCCGGAACCGTATCATGACGATGACGATCTGCCCTCGCCGTCCGCCGCGGCCGCCGCTGCCACTCGGGAACTACTCGACTTTGACCTCGGCAGCGAATTATACGTTGACGAAGAACTATTCGATCCATACGACGGCCTGGACGAGGATCTGGCTTCAGACCTCGCGGCCGCGAAGGAGGCCAGTACCTCCTTCAGCACAGTACTAAAGAAGAAGCGCGTCCACCGGCGCAGGAAGCACCGCAAGGACGACGGCGGCGGCGGAAACGCAAAGGAGAGCTCCAAGGAAGGCTCATCATCGTCATCGTCGCGACACCACGGGAGCCAGAACCACAGCCGTCACCGCAAACACAAGCACCACCACAGGGAACAACAACAACCCCCGGTACCGAAAGAAGACGACGACGTCTTCCGCCCGTCGACGCCCGTGCCCGTCATCACGGCACCGATCCAGGACATGTCCCCGCACCCTGTCCTGCTCCAGCCGGCCGTGTACGACCCGAACGCTAGCCGGCTTTCGGACCCCAACGACGGCATCTCTTCGGTGCAACGGAACATTGAACAGGAGGAGGCGCACCGCATGCTGGCCGAAGACGCAGCGATGCGGGTCAGCGCGCTCCGCAAAGCCAAGGCGGCGGTGCTGATGAAGCTCTCGAGGGAATTCAACAACCGCAGGGGCACGCCGGCGCCGACGCCGGTGGCGGGCAAGGACAGCTGCGGGCTGCAGATGCGGTTGAGGGAAGGGCTCTTTGGGAAGAGCTTTGTGAGCGTGTTGCCAGACGACCGGTCCTTGTCGAGCCAGTCGGCGCTGGTGCCGCTAATGTTTACGAGATCATGATCATGTATGCCCCCAAAACACGATTCTGTATATCTGTTATGTAAGTTGGGAACACAAACACACAGCACTGTGTATCCTCTTGTATGGACGGGACTTGGCAAGTCGGAAGGAAATAGCGCGAAACAAGCCGGGAATCGGCCTGGTTAGGCCGGCGGCGATGACGGAGGCATTATGACTTTGTAATGACTTGACGATACAATACTTTTCTTTCAATGTCGATTTTTCAAACCATCATGAAATACTTGCCCTCCGCGTATGATTCGTGTGCTTGAAATGTTAATTGTCGCTGTCTCTATGGGAAGATATTTTTATACTGTAAGACGCGGATAGGGAGAAAAAGAAAAAGAGAAAAAAAAAAAGAGGAACGGACCGAGGTGCGGAGACGAAGATTGAGGAGAGCTCCGTGGCTCGGCGAGATTGGTTGAACGCGTTCGGTGAGGGAGTAGTGTGTCCGGCGGGCAGACCGGGAACAACCCAGCTACGCTTTTGCTGGCTGGGGCTCGCAGGTGGAGTAAACAACGGGACAGCGCGTGGTGGGTGTTGGGTGGCGGGCTGGGATGGAGATTTGAGATCTCGCTGTTCTGCTGCTGCTTTCAGACCATGTCCTTGCAGCGAGGCATGACACTGGTGCGGCCTGGAAGAGTCAGCCGACCGGTAAGGTAGGTAGTCTAGACTTGGTGGGTGGATGTCGTCGGGCAGACAATGTTGCGGTGGCGATGGCGATGTTGACGCAACTCCACGATGGGCACGATGGGCGACAATAACAGCAGCTGGTGGCCAGCGGCCCGGGCTGGCCAGACCAGACGTAGCAGCACAGATGAGCTGACGCGGGCTCAAAGAGATGGAAGAAGCAACGTAGCGGCCAGCCTCGATGGTTTAGGGTTAGAGGGGTTTCTGTCAGCTCACTAAGCCACGAGAGCCGCTTTCATCCGAGGCGTTGCAGCAGCAGCTTGTCCCACAGTGTAGCCTCATCTCCGGGAGATTTCAAGCATCTGGCGGGGGGGAGCAGAGGTGAGTCCTAGGCCAGCATGGAATAGCTAGCTCGTGTTGTGATGGCCAAGGGAGACAGTTTCGCCAGGGGGCAAGGAACGTTGGACGGGGATGGGAATGGCAATGTGCAGGGGACCAGGGGTGAAGGGGGGATTGGAGATCAGGAGGAGGAGACGGGATTTCTTCAGCGTGGGAATTCGGGGAGGAGCTTGATACACAGTACCTAGAGACTCGTGCTGTATAGGTGGTTAGAGAGAGGTATGGGAAAGATGAGAACGGGTACCGGAAGAGAAGAGAAGTTGTGTACCTATAGACCATGTTACCCAAGGTAGTTTGTAGCCTCAATTTTGGACCTCAGGTTGGAGCAGCGAGACGTCGATTGCCCTCCGGATTGAGATGGGTGGGAACTCCGGGATGTGCACTGCAGGCTGGAGGAAACGGCATTGCCTTGGCTGCATCCAGAATTGTCGTCCTATCGCTTTGAGAGAGTGAAGCAGTAGACAGTGACAAGTGACAGGCTGGCAAGATGTTGGATGGGGTGGTAGATATCCCTCGTGTTCCTTGGTTGTTTGAGAGTGAGTTACTGTTGCGCACGTCAGCGCGTCAATCGGCGATGAGAGGCGGCCAGAGGCGACCAGATGCGACAATGGGGGCGAAGGGTGCTCCATCATCCATGGGCGAAAATGCTACAATGCCAAATGCTGCGAATGGCATAGTGAGGGCCTAGACCGCCCATGGACCGCTCGACCTTACCGGTCGGGACTTGGACAGAGCCACCCGTGGCCCTCACCCATGGTCCAAGGAGTCCATGAGTGGGCAGGGGAGCGGGGAGCGGGGATTGGACGAGGGGGTCCCCAGTCAGAGGGGACGAATTGACTTCCTGGCTCCGTCCATCGTTGATCGATGCGGGAGACGGAAAGTACCTGCGAGGGACTTACCCTGCAGATTCCAGGTTCCTCGACCCGTTCACCTCGTCTCCTTCTGCTTTCTGCCACTCACACAAGAGCATTAGGAGGGCGATGCCACCTTTTCTTCCAAAACACTCATCGCGTCTTGCCCAATCCGCACAGCTGCGGTACTACTTATCCGACATCTGTATCCGTACGAAGAGCTACCGCAGCCAAACGGCGCTCTCCCCCATCTTATGTGCAGACGTATGCACTCCCCAAGCTGGGCCACCACTTTTTTTTCTCCCCCATATTCGCATACTTGGGTGCTATGTCTGGTCAGTTTGACTCCACAGGCTGACACAGACGATAACGAGACAATGGCACAAATTTAAATAGAGGCTCTAGGACAGAGACTCTGTCAGCCCATGAGCCGTGCTCGCCTTCTGTAGCTCCAAATAGCAGCCGTAGCACCGAATGTCTAGGTAGTGCCGTGTTGCCCGTTGCCACCCACGTATTTGGCCGCGAAGCCTCAGGAGAACTACCTCAGCTGGCACTGCCTGGCAAGCCGCAAAACCGGCCCAAATCATGCATCACCTCTCCGACCGCCCGCACCAACGACGACAGTTGCCAGCACTTCTACGGCCTAGCAAGCCCGTTATTCCACAAGCTTCGCCCTTGCGAGACACTACCGAGATAGCGTCTTCCACACGTGTGTGATGTTCCGCGCTAACGTAGGATACCAAGAATACGGGTAGTTTCTGCCTGTCGTTGCGCGACTGTCTCTGAGAAGACGCGAGCAAGGCGGCTGGCCTCGCACTGACAGCCAGCTAGGTACGGTAGCATAATAGCAGTGGGTAGCTACCTCAAGGTGCTGCTCCAGTAGGTAGCTCTCCCTTGTCCTCTCCAAAGAAAAGCCCTTCGGCCGTCGTCGTCCTTCATCATCAGTCTCACCGTTGTTACACAGGTGACAGACAGATCCCGTCCTCTTTTTTCACCCACGCAGTTGGGCTTGCAAATGTCTCGTTTCGTTCTGGGTTCTGTGTGGTGTCTTGGTAATTTCGCGAAGCGCTTTTCCTCCATCCCCTTCGTGAGCGTATTCCGTCGTGGTCCAGTAATCAAGGTACTTTCCTGGCCTCAATCGCACCGACAGGGACTCAAGGGGAGGAGAGATATCTACTGCTCCTCCCCCCTTCTCTTCGCCGCTAGACCACAAAGCGAGGTCGACTGTACGTACCTTGCAAGTACTCCCCATTCGCAACTGCAGCTTCTGCTCCCCACTGCGACTCCAACGTACCTTACCTACCCTGAACCTGATCCTAGTGGGTCATCATCCCAGCTCCTCCCGCGGCTCCACCTTCAGCGGCCGGTCTCCTTTCTGCTCGCCCTTCTCAGCCCAGTGAATTCCACTCAGTCACCCTCCGCTTCAACCGACACCAAGACAATCCCTCGTCTGTCGGCCAAACCGTTTCTCTTCTGCGACGAATCTTCCAAACAGATCCTCGCTCCGTCCTCCACGACGCTCATCTCGACTGTCGGCGCATTTTGGCTCCCCAACCCGTCAGCCTTTCTCCTCCACCAAGCCCACGAATATTGCTTGCAAGTCGCTCCTGATCCCTGCTACTGCCGTGAGCGAGAAGGGAAAACGAAACGGATCTTGGGGGAAATTGCGGATACCTAGCCAACCGCCGCGACTGTTGCTCTTGGGGCGACCGCGTGCCAAGCCAGCGTTCGAGGAAGTCTTCGCGCCAGCCAATTTGTCCTACGACAACATCAACACAACGCACAAAATTAGGATCCAGAGAATCACCATAGCAGACGATGAAGGCCGCCCAGACACTGCCAGACTCTTCGTTATAGTCTGTTCAAAATGGGCGTCAGGGTCGCCATTCGAGAACAGCTCGCCTTCCTCGTGGTGGTCGCTGTTCTCGTTGGTTTGATGATCCTCTCCGTCCCCGTCTGGATCTACGTCAATCGGTTCGTCACCCAGGTCGAAGGGCGCGAACTCGCCCTTACCGCTTCGCTCAAGGCTTCGCGCATCTCTGCTGAGCTCGAACTCGTTCAGACCAGCATCATCACCATCTCTTCCCGAATCCTGATTCAGAATTCCATTTTCACCTTCTACGACGGAAACGACACAGACGCGAATTGGGTCCAAGCCAAAGGCGACCTGAACAGTGCACTGAGCGTCGGCGGTCTCACGGGTCTGTTACAAGGGAGAATTTATTCGCGAAATATCACTGGCAACGCCCATGGCCTCCTCAACGTCACTGGAGAAAAGGTCCCCGAGATTGTTTTGCCATATCTTGGCGCCAATGGCTCCCAGATTCTCCTCTCCGACACCGCCGAGGGCTATCCGCCGGCCCTGTACCCGAACATCACCTACGAAGACCTCGGCCGCCCCAATCAGTATCGGAACAACACTCGAGCTTATGCAGCCAACGCGTTCCCCGGAGTTCGTATTTCAACAAATGGTGGCCTGCTCCTCGGCCCTCTAATTCTCAATGAGACAACAGCCCTCATTTCCATTACTGTGCCGATTCGGTACAACCAACAGCAAGAATTCATCCTAGGCTATATGACGCTCGTCGCCACGGCAAATTCTCTCATTAGCATCCGCAATTCTCGTGAGGGTCTGGGGGATACCGGTCTGGTGCTACTCGTCGGGCCTACTGAGCAGTCGAACAGGTTCAGCAGTAGCAATCCGGTCAGCAACGCTACCTTCAAACCGGCCGACAATGCTCTCAATAACGTACCAGTGAACTTCGTCCTTCCGCCTAACCCTCTGCCTGGACAGGTTGACCGGCACAATGAAAGAAGCTGGTCAGCCGGCAAAGACAACGACCCATTTCCGATGAAGGACTACCCGGCAGTTCTCGCTTCCTTTAGCAAGCAAATCGCGGCGCCCAACAACTCGAGCTCCATGCTTTCGACGACCAATGAACAGGGTCTACCAGTAGCCGTGGGATTTGCAAGAACCAATACCGCACTCGTCAACTGGACTGTCGTCGTGGAGCAAGCCAAGTCAGAGGCCGACGCTCCTATTGAGACATTGCGGAATATCATTCTGGGATGTGTCTTTGGCACCGCAGGTCTCATCATAATCCTCATATTCCCTTGTGCGCATCTTAGCGTGATGCCTATAAGGAGACTAAAGTCGGCGACGGAGAAATCGATTCAGCCACCGGGGTACGAGGATGGAAATTATTCCGATTTTGACGACGACGAAACCCCTGGCTCGGGAGGAATCTCAGCCCGAACACAGCGATCGAAGAAGGACGGCATTGTCGCCAGTATTTACAAGTTGGTAGGGTACAAGCCCAAGGAGAAACCCGCTTCGGAGCACGACCGCGATTCAACCCGACGCATTTTCAAAATCCCCGGCAAGGTTACCGACCGAAAACACTTCATTACCGACGAGCTGACCGAGCTGACGGAAACCTTTAATGATATGAGTGACGAGCTGGTCAAACAGTACCTTTCCCTGGACCAGAAAGTTTTGGAACGGACCCGTGAGCTCGAAATTAGCAAGAAGGCCGCCGAAGCCGCCAACGAAAGCAAGACCCTCTTCATTGCGAACATTTCACACGAACTCAAGACACCGCTCAATGGTATCCTTGGCATGTGCGCCGTGTGTATGGAGGAAAGTGACATTCTCAGGATAAAGCAGTCTCTCAAGACACTATACAAGTCAGGTAAGTGTGCCAAGGCTTACTTCCCTGCACCTGGCTGATCATATCTAGGTGACTTGCTACTCCATCTACTCGAGGACCTCCTTAGCTTCTCCAAGAACCAGATTGGGCAACAGCTCAACTTGGAAGAGAAGGAGTTCCGCCTAGCCGACATCAGATCGCAAATCTTGACCATCTTTGACAAGCAAGTCAAAGAAGGCCGAATCACCCTGACCGTCAACTTTCTCAGCTCTGAAGCGATCGAATGGAGCACCAGCCCGGAAAGGACCAGCACAGACAACAGACTGCCGGCTCTTGGGCCGCACGGCACTGGCAGATTGAAAGACATGTGCCTTTGGGGTGATCAGCACCGCATTCTCCAGGTCATCATCAATTTAGTGAGCAACAGCGTCAAGTTCACGCCGGCGGGTGGGAGAGTTGATGTCCGCATCAAGTGCATCGGTGAGGTAGAAACAACACCGGCGAATGATGGCAGCCGGTCTTCATCGTTTTCCAAGGATTCCAGACGACATGGGAGAAGCCGGCACCGATTGAATAATAGCTCGAACCCGTCTGTGAGCTCTAGGGGAGGCTCGACTTCTGAACCCGTCAAGGGCACTGCTCTAAGCATCAACCCGATGGAGCCCAAGTCGACACCTCACATTCAGGTTCGGGAGCGTTCTCCCACGCCGCCGCCGCCCGGGGCGAAGGCCTTCGTATTTGAATTCGAAGTGGAAGACACTGGCCCTGGTATCGCTGAGCACATGCAACAGAAGGTGTTTGAACCTTTTGTTCAAGGCGACCTAGGTCTGAGCAAGAAATTTGGCGGCACAGGTTTAGGACTAAGTATCTGTCATCAACTTGCAAGTCTTATGGGTGGATCTATTTCGCTGAAGAGCACTGTCGGAGTTGGCACAACTTTCACTATGCAAATTCCGCTGAAATATGTCAAGGATAGGTACGTCTTGATGATTGGGAAGCCGGCCAAGTTGACATACTGACGATGAGTTCTTCCAGAGCGTCAAGCACCGCCTCCAGCAGCATCAAATCTCGGCCTCCAAGCGTTGACGCCATTGAAGGCATCGACAGTGTTCACAACAACGTGAAGCGCAACTCTGGCGGGGCTCCTAACAGCCCACCTATCAAGCCGGCCGGAGAAACAACCGCGAAGAACCTTCTTGATCAACAACCCAGACTGGTCGGCCTTAGCCAGCCTTTCTTCGCATCGAACCCAACACCTAAAGCGAAACGAAACACAAAGCAGCAAATGGCTGCAATTGATCGGGCAATGGCTACGAAGGCGAACCAGGAAGGAAAGCTACGGGTGCTGGTTGCTGATGACAACTCGACAAATATCGAAGTTGTAAGCAAGATGCTGAAGCTTGAGGACGTCTACGATGTTACCATTGCCAAGGACGGCCAGGAAGCCTACGACCTAGTCAAGGCGAATATGGACAAGAACCAGGGATTCGACGTCATCTTCATGGACATTCAGATGCCTAACCTTGACGGCCTTCAATCAACAAAACTCATCCGCAAGATGGGCTACAAGGCCCCTATTGTGGCATTGACCGCTTTCTCAGAAGAGAGCAACGTCAGAGAGTGCATGGAAAGTGGCATGGACGAATTTCTGAGCAAGCCTATCAGACGACCTGCGCTGAAGCAGGTCCTCAAGAAGTTTGCGACAATTCCAGAAGAGCCCGAAACAGCGAGCTTGACAAGGAAAACGACACCAGAGAAATCCACTCCGGAGAAGCCAGCAGCTGCTCCAGAGATGAGTGAAAAGGGGGAGGCGATCCATCCGGTTGGAAACGGAACTGCAACCGCGCCGTCATCCGAACAACCCCTATCAGAAAAGGGACCGTAATTGACGTTTAATGACTTTTTAGCAGCAGGCAGAGAGAGATGTTTGGTTTTGAGATGCCTGACAGCACATGTTCGCATAGGATTCCCCCCTTTTCCTTCGTTTGGAAGCGACATACAAAAGTTGGCGTCAGGGCGTTCTTTTGCGTTTGAACTTTTCATGATTCCTTTGTCTACGTATTCATAAGGATCCTGCTCGGCCCTTGAGGCATCAGAGTAGGACTGTCCAGTTTGAGCCTGGGCATGTGGCAACATTCTCTCTTGGGAGCGAAAACGGGTCGGGTTGGTACATTTTGTGACCGGTTAGTCAGGGTCGGTCCCCCAGCTACAAGACAAGGGCGGGGAAACATTCGTTGCTAGCAAGCACAGTAGCATATCAGAGGGGGAGGCAGCGACGCATACATTGGTTTTTTTTTTCTCCCTTGTCATATTGGCGGCGTTCCGGGCGTACACGAAGATATCCGGATACGCATGGGTTTTCCTCCCGATCAACACGAAGACGGGATGGATCTGGGAAATTGGGGAATGGGATGGGTTGGCCAGCTAAATACGGGTGAAAGAAGATACGACGGAAAAGACACCAGAGCAGAGCACAGAGAGACGGGGAGAGGCACGGGAGAGGCACGGGAGACAAACAGAGAGAGAGAGAGACAGAACGAGAGTTGTTGGACATGGCTACATCTTCATGTCGAGTAATGCCGATGACAATCTTGCTTCATCGATTGGTCTTCTAGTATCACAATTCGCTGTAACCTCTTACGATTCACCTTCTACTGGCTCGCTTCCGACGATTGTACCATTGTACATGATGCCGTGAGTTTCATGTTGACGTGGACTTGCCATCGAGCTGTCTCGCAAAGCAAATGATACTCCATTATACCGGGACGCAATGAGAAATTGGAATGCCTAGGATGAACCGACTGAACAAGAGAAGAAAAAGAATTTCAGCGGGAACAATCACCGTCAAGAGAAGGGCACCAAGGTTGTGTCCATGAACATTGCATTGGTTCTACGTATCTCCATCTACTGAGAGACTGTACCATTCATGTGTCATGAAGCAGAGGGGCAAATTTATAAACCATTCGTTCCATCGAAAACCTTGTCGTCTGTCGTGACAGCGACGAAAAACCCGTGACCTCAACGCCAAATAGAGAATCACCATACTAATCGATTCGCAGATGCATGTCGGAGGACGCATCTACCAGCCACTATTGCCGGTGTCCTGGGTAGAACCACCACCGCCACCCCAAGCATCACCAGTGTCGGTGTTCTCGAAGGCGTTGCTAGGCGCGTTGTTGGAGGCACCAAAGTCATCAGTGTCTTCCTTGGGAGGGTTGGGGCACTTGTAGCTCTTGTGACCCATCTCGCCACAGCTGTTGCACTTGATGCGAGTGACTATCAAGGAGCATAGGTTAGTATCGTGAAGTACCAATGGGGTGGGCTGACAACGTACTGTCAACGGGCTTCTCGCAATCCTTGGAGAGATGTCCCTCCTCGTCGCAGTTGCGACACTTCATCTTGCGGGGCTCAGGGCACTCCTTGGAGATGTGGCCCTCTTGGCCGCAGTTGTGGCAAACACGACCGCCGCCGCCACCCTGGGGGCAATCGCGAGAGAAGTGGCCCACTGCAAATGATCAGCACGTATCTCTGAGGGAACAACATGGAGGAAGTCTTACTCTCGTGGCACTTGTTGCACTCGACGTCATCGCCGGCCTTGCGAGGCTCGGGGCACTCGGAGACCTTGTGGCCAGACTGGCTGTAGGGGATGTCAGTCATCGCGCATCAAAAAAGGCATTTGGATTGGCTCCTTACCCGCAGTTCTTGCAAGCGAACTTGTCAATGCGAGGCGTAGGGCCTAGATCAATCAGTCAGTCAATGAACAGAGCCACCAAGGGAAGCAAGCAGACTCACAATCACGGACACGATGACCCTCTTCACCGCAGTTGTAGCAGGCGATAGTCACGCGGGCCTTCTCCATGGCCTCCTGAGGGCACGCCTTGTAGCTGTGGCCAAGCTCCTCGCAATTGCTGCACTTCTGCATAAGGCGGGAGACGGGCTCTCCAGCATCCTCGAGGCGAGTCATGTTCTCCTCGGGCGAAGCAGGCCAATTAGTCTTCTCGCGCTGGCGGTCAGGCTGCGCAGAGAAGCGGTATTGGACAGTGTACTTCTTATCCAGGTTGCCCTGGAGATCCATGTTGGTGTGAGTAGGAGCCAAGACACGTTCAGTGGCGATGAGGTAGATGTTCATCTCCTGGCTGCGGAAAGCCTTTTCCAGCTCAATGTAGGTCATCTCGGGGAAGTGCTTGAGATACTTCTGGATGGCCTCCTTGGCATCAATGCCGTCGCGCTCCTGGATAGCCTCGTGGATTTCATCCCAGGCCTTATCAGCATCAATATCAGCAACCATGGTTAGGTCGAGCTTGCGAGGGTTCTTGCACTCGACGGTCTCGTGACCTGGTAAATTATTCATCAGTACAAATTCAGGTCTCGTTTTAAAGCGAGAGGAAACGACGTACCCTCCTCGAGACAGTTGCGGCAAACACTAGGAGGCTTCTGGGGGCAGTCCTTGCGCATGTGGCCGTCCTCTCCACAAGTGCGACAAGTGCCATCGAAAGCCTTGCGAGGCTCGGTGCAATCGGCCTTGTTGTGACTGTAAATTCATGCTGGTCAGCGGATAGAGGTACTCGATACTAGTATCAGTAAAACATGAAGCAATCACTTACCCAGTCTGGCCGCAGTTGAAGCAGGCACGGTCGCCTCCATCACCGCCGTCACCACCATCGCCACCCTTAGGGTTGTTCCAGGGATCGTCGGCGGGAATGTCGTTGCCAGCGGTAGCATTGCCAGTGCCCCAGGCGTCAGTGGTGGTACCCCAAGGGTCAGACATCTTGCTGCAATCGCTCGACGTAAGAATAGCTTGGTTGGGGTATTTTCAAGATGGATGACAGAGTGAGTATGGACTGGTCCAACAAGTCAGTGATGAGACACTCTTCGAGATAAAAAGCAAGGGGGAGCAGATGAAGAATAGAATAAAGGATTTTGCAGAATAAGGTAAGGCAAAGGGTGGGATCTTGCAGAAGGGAGAAAGAAAAAGGTGGTGTGGGTGGAAGGAATTTCCTACAGAAACGTGACGGTATCAGAAAGGGGGAAGGTGCCGTTGAGCGCGGTCTGGGCAAGAAAAGGCAGCAGCGCAAAATCCATGCTGCCTTTTCTGGAGGAAGAGCTCCTCAGAATTGTGACGCTCATTGTCCGCGCGGATTACTTGATGCGAATCCTTGACGTCTAAAGTTGCCGAAGCAGCCAAAACTGGCAAGGTAGCCAGTCGTCTTCGATCCAACCCCCAATGAAGTGCTCGTGAGGGAAGAAACCAATACTAATCCGGTGCCGAGGCAGAAGAAACATGACTCACAGCGTATTTATCAATGTCCTAACCTGGTATTGTTGCTTATTTAAACAAGGCGTAAACGAAGTTTTGGTGTTGATGGCTGATTGTGGTTGAGGCAGGCCAGCTTTTGTGGTAAGATGGTGAGAAGTAACGAAGAAACGAAGAAGAGGAAGAGGTTTGCCGAGAAACTTCCATGTTTATTCCTGGAAAAGAAACCCTGATCTCTGCTTATGTTGTCAAAACGGCTGGACCTGCACTTTCACGATGAGGGCTTCTTGTGAGGGTATTCACAATACAGATGCAGCAGGACTGTGGCCGGTGTATGAGGTGCCATCTGCCCTACAGCGCACCCAGTGGTATAAAGCAGTTGAAACAGAGTGAGGTCCAACTCACCTAAGAATCCTTTTAACCGCACTTTGAACCCATTCTTGAGTAGCAGGTGACCAGTCCTTTAAAGAAGTTCAGTCATAATTGCCCAAGTCAAACTCTTCCAAGACTCTAACTTCTGTCCCCCAGGATTTCTTCTACTAATTTAATGTTCGGTGTGTAATATAAATCTTCTTCGACCTGCACAGCTCAGATCACTGTAGATATCAGAGTGAAGCCTGGATGACTAGATGCTTGGTCTGACCCGGGTTAGCCTGCCTGCAGCAAGAGGTAGGTAGAGTAGGGAACAAAAGGCTAGAAAATACTAATGTAACTTATTTGGTCACCATATTGGCAACTGTATGCAAGGTAAGCACTCACGAGTGTTGCATTGATCTATTTTATCACCTCATGCTAATGCTTGGCCTCGTCGCATTTGAGTCAGATTCATCTTACCAAAAGCTGAACAGGCTGGTCGCACCCTCTAGGTTCGGCTACCATCAGCGCAGAAAGGCGCAGGTCCTACTATATGGATCACTGCAATGACCCATAAGCTAGACATGAATTCTCATCTAAGAAGAACCTCAACAGGTCTCATTGTGAAAGGATACTGGCACGGATTGCGGCAAGCCGATTAATTGCAGCCTATTGCGATTCACCCGAGCCACAGAATCGCCTGCAGAACCTTGCCTGTAGTAAAGAATACATTGGTGTCTTTCTCTACTATATAAAATGTATCTATAGAGTTTGTCGTAATTGAGGTTGCGGAGAGATTTTGTCCAGGAACTCGTCGCTGCATTGTGAATGCATAATACAACTCAATCCGGAGCATGACCTGAGATCTTTTGTACTAGTCGAGCCCTGGATTTGGAATGTCGGCCAAAGGCCCGTAAAGCATCATTCGAATTAATCGTGTGAGTTCAAAGCGGCAGTGGTGCTCCGATCTACCTACCTAAGATACCATATGCAACATAAATGGCTGCAGAACACCTTGGATTCATGGGAGAAATGTCGTTGAAGAATTAGTAAGCTGAACGCAAAGTCGGCGCAATCGGAGCAGCGAGAATGTGAAACATCGCTGAAGGACCCGCATTATAACAGGGGCAGTGGAGTAAGGTTGTGCTGGAGGGGCAGCTGGAGGGGTAATTTCATAACACTCGAAGCTTCGCTTCCAGTGCCTCGACGCGGGTGACGTTAAGCTTTCCCATCCAGACGTCTTCCTCGATTTCTAAGCATACGAATAGTCAGACTTCTAAGATTGTTCTGGGCCACGTGGCCCCAATTGGTGCACTTTGGGACTGGCGAAGTAAATTGGTAGAGTCGCTCACAAGTGTCTTATTCTGCTTATCTCTTGACAAGCTCGGGTGTGAGCTATCCCGCCGGTCATAGCTCCGGGATCAGGCAGCATGAAACCACGACAGCTGTATCTGTACCGGCCCGGTACTCTCGCCAACAGCTCGGCGTGGGATGGGACCATTGGCTACATTGGTCGCCGGTGGCACAACTCGCGGGGCAAGGACTTGAATGGCGGGGTTGATACCGGTTGCCCCGCTTCCATAAGCTTGACCACTGGGCGATTGAACGGCTGCTGCAGGAGCCGTGTTGGGCCCCACGGTGGCCTCGACATGGGGATGGAGCTCCAATGAATCTTCTTCCTTGAACAGGAGCTGGTCGACGAGGGACTATAATTGAGGTGCCCGCCGCTCTTTGCAAGACTTGCCGGGTCGTACTCGCCTCCACTTTGCTTCGCGACCTCCCACCAACCGTTTCCCCAGGTCACAGATTCGAACTGCTTCCCTTCCTGCAACGCCTCTCGAATCAACAACAAAATGTCCAAGCCCGAAGATCTCCCTCCTATGGAGTACCGATTCCTGGGCCGATCTGGTCTTCAGGTCAGTGCCATCAGCTTGGGAGGCTGTGAGTTACCCCAGTTGCGTACCGAATGACTGTCACAGACACTGACTCTCTACCAGGGTTGACCTATGGCGGCCACGTCGACTCCGGTACGAAGAGACTACCGGCTTCGTAAGTCAACCGAGACTGACACACTATATAGAGGGCACGTTCAAGTGCATGAAGGCTGCTTACGACTCTGGCGTCAACTTTTTCGATACCGCTGAGACCTACGCCAATGGCGAGAGCGAGATTGGTAGGAACGGACGACATCACCCTCGCCATGAGAAGCAGGACTGATTTCATCACAGTTATGGGTCAGGCCATCAAGAAGTATGGTTGGAAGCGCAATGATCTCGTCATCTCTACCAAGGTGCGCGAACTCAGCAGGGACTGCCAATGCAGAAAATCGAGACTGACCTCTTAATGCGCAACAGATTTACTGGGGTGGTGCCTTTGGCGACAACGCCGTCAACAACAAGGGCCTGTCCCGCAAGCACGTCATCGAGGCCATGGACGCTTGCCTTGAACGTCTCGATCTCAAATATGTCGATCTCGTATACGCTCACCGGTGAGCCCCCTTCTCGACACGCTTACGGATCCCGCTGACTTCGTTTAGTCCCGATCGCCAGACACCCATGGAGGAGACCGTCCGTGCCTTCAACCACTTGATCAACACTGGCAAGGCCTTCTACTGGGGAACTTCTGAGTGGAGCGCCGACGAGATCGCCCAGGCCTGGCGCTACGCCGACAAGCTGAACCTCGTCGGTCCTATCATGGAGCAGCCCTCATACAGCATGCTTGATCGCAAGAAGGTCGAGCATGAGTTCTTCCACCTCTACCGCGAAGTCGGCACCGGTCTGACCGTCTTCTCCCCCCTGCGCCAGGGCATCCTTTCCGGAAAGTACAAGAACGGCATCCCCGAGGACTCTCGCTTCGGCTCCGAGAACATCGGATTTATCAAGGACTTCTGGAAGAGAGAGAACGCCAAGAAGCAGTTCCAGGACCTCGTTGACAAGGCCAACAAGATTGAGCCCATTGCCGAGAAGCTTGGAATCAAGATGGCCACGCTGGCGCTTGCCTGGGTTCTGAAGAACAAGAATGTCAGCTCCGCCATCATCGGCGCGAGCAGCCCGGAGCAGGTGTTTGAGAACATCCGGGCTATTGGTGCGCAAGAGAAGTTGACGGACGAGATTATGAAGGAGATTGACGAGGCGCTGGAGAACAAGCCTGACGCCATCATTCCCAGATTTTAGACGGGTCGAATGATGCACGAGAAAGTGAAATAAAAAGGTTGAGGTACACACGGAATCGGATATAGTACATGTACGAAATATTAATCGCTCAATGCGCAGAGGCCGGACTCTGCACCAGACCGCTGCTTGAAGGATACACATGGCCAAGCTGGTGATTTTTACGTAGAAACATGGAAACACCCATCATGTCACAACGAGCACAACGAGTACAACTACCAGATGTCGCAGAAGGGGTGTGTTTGTATGTGATGTGCCAAGCTTCATTGAGTACTCTCGGAGATGATGTCGACAGCAAGATCGTGCCTTGGACTCAATTACCTATGCGATGAGCGCTTGAGACACTATGGGCATGCCGGTAGATACCACGAAGAGTCCAGACAATAATTAGAAGCAGGTTTCGCTCTCACCGAATGGAAAGCATCGACTTGATGAATGCTCCTCAGGCTCGGTCGACGAGGTGATTCCTTGACAGTTTGACTGACCAGGCCGCATTCAAGTAGGGTTGATTGGTTAGCCACATATCCGAACCTGTGGCCCCCGGTGCACACGCCAAATCACGGGCCGAATAGATGGCCAGCGGTCCGGTCGGCACACGGCGTCCGGCCCCGCTCCTCCGCGGAGATAGATGTTCGCACGGTTCCACAATTGGAGAACCGAGGACCTTTCGCTGGCGAGGGGAGGAATGACGACAAACCCTCCGTGGGCCCGAGGACCCGGCGATCTTTCTTCACCTCTTTCGTATGCATGTTAGCCGTGGAAGGCCAACAACCTTTGTGTCTCACATCTGCACTAAGATCTGACTCAAATACTCGCTTACCTCCAAGCTCTTTGTATAAGACAGCAAGCTGACCCCGCCCGATCGTCACAGTCAAGGCCTCCAATAGTGCTGTCTCACAACAAACATCACCACAAAAAAAAAAAAAAAAAGGAAAAGACGGCAAGAGAAGGGAAAAGAAAGAAGGAACCAAAAATGGCCATCTCGAGACTGGTTTCGTGGCTCCCCCACGTCAAGGCGCCCGTCATCATCAACGCGCCGATGCTCGGTTCCGCCGGCGCCGCCATGGCAACTGAAGTTCACAAAGCTGGCGGATTCGGTAAGGGCGATTCTCCCTCCCTCCCTCACTTCCCTCCCTTCCGTCCCTCAGTCTAAGTGAAAAGAAATGTCTCTCTTCTCCATCGAAACCCCAAACTTACCAAACTCCCCTCCACCTCAGGTTTCATCGCCGCGGGCTTCGACTTCTCAGAGTCGTCGGCCCAGATGAAGGACCTGGACAAGGCCCTCACCCAGGCCCGCACCCTCCTTTCGCTCCCGGTCGCCGACGGCGCCGGGGGACTTCCATTAGGCGTGGGCTTCATCACGTCCCACGAGACGGCCGGGCACTTCACCGCCAACGTCCTGCCCATCCTCGTCCGTCACGGCGTCGCCGCGGCGTGGCTCTTCGCCCCGCACCCGGAGACCAAGCCGCACGGCGACATCATCGCCGCGCTCCGCGGCAAGGGCACCAAGGTCTTTGTGCAGGTCGGCAATGTCGCGGCGGCGCGGGAGGCGGCGGCGGACGGCGCGGACGTCATCGTCGCGCAGGGTGTTGATGCTGGTGGTCACCAGTTCTCTCGGGGTTGCGGCGTCGTCGCGCTGGTGCCGGAGGTGAAGGCCATGCTGGCCGCCGAGTTTCCCGACCGGGACGTGGCTGTGGTGGCGGCGGGCGGGATCGTGGAGGGGAGCGGAGTGGCGGCGGCGCTGGCGCTGGGCGCTGAGGGCGTGGTGCTGGGAACGCGGTTCGTCGCGACGGAGGAGTCGATGAGCGCCCAGCTGCACAAGGAGTTTATTGTGAGGACGCGGGACGGCGGGGTGAGTACGTGGAAGTCCGACTTTCACGACCGGCTTGTAGACAATACGTTGTGGAAGGACGGGTATGACGGGAGGGCGATCATCGGAGATATTCATCGGGAGTACCACGCTCTCGGCGGCAAGACGGCGACGGTGGAGGAGAGCCGCGAGAGGCTGCGGACGGGGTGGAGCGAGGAGGAAGGGAAGAAGATGATTGGCAAGTGGGCGGGTGCCGGGCTTGGGCTCATTGACGAGATCAAACCGGCTGGGGAAGTGGTTACTGAGGTGAGGGAGGCTGCGAGGAAGAGGATCCAGGAGTTGGTTGGGTCGATTTGAGACTGGACGTGGGAAATATTCTGGCAGAAAAGACCGAGGCAAGGCGTTTTTATGGCACAAACGTTGTCAAGTTTGATGCTCCTTGAGGTGTTTGTAAGACGGCCTATGACCAAGGCGTCAGATACCAGCCATGAAGCACGGCTCTCATCTAACCCGAAGCCCAAGTCTAGGCCGTCGTGATGTGTTGATGTAACTGTTCCACGTCGAGCGGCTTTGGAGAATGGTGCGGACAAGCACCTGTGTTCGGTCGGCAATGGTTCTCCTTGACTCTTTTCCCTCTTCAATTGGCTTGGAATGCGGATTATGCCTACTTAGATGTCTCACACCTTTTAGACTAAGATACCCGACAACGCTCTGCCTAGTGCCCCTTTTCAGTCTTGGTCAACTTGGCAGCACTCTCAAAGTACCCATCCGTACCCCCGTACTTGGCCAAGACCCCGTCGATATCCACCTCTTCGAAGTCCCTCGTCCGCTTCCTCCCCAGCATCGCCGTATTCCGTGTGCTCGGGATACGAAGCATTTCCGTCTCCACCACCCATCCGCAGTCCTCGGCGATCTGCGCCGCCCAGTCAACCAGGGAAGCGTACGTCGACTGCGACTTGGTCTTGTCGCGCGGCGGGGGCGGACGATATTTTTGACCGCCCAGGGCATGGCTGCAGCAGGGAATCATGATGAAGGGGCTTTCCGACAGTGTCGCGAGGATCGGCGTCCAAGGAGTAAGCTCGTCTGCGTGGTTGGACACGATGAAAGTGCCTTTAGGAAAAGCACCGTTATGTATCTTGGTTAAATCCAAAATGGTTTCCTCGCTGTCGGCATTAGAGGGCCTGGAGACAATATCGGGGAGGAGGACCAGGGCCTGAAGGGAGTCCCCCCCGTCTTGGACTGAATTGTACTTGGCCCAGGACTTCCTAGCTCTAGCATCGAAGCCCCAGCCAGAATAACCCTCTTGAATCAACAGATGAACTAGCAGGCCGTTGCCGCAGCCAATATCTACGAATCCGGGGAACGTCTGGCCCCCGTACATTTCTTTCCAGAGCTCGATCAAGAAAGCAGCGATACCCAAGTCCTCAAAGACGTGCTTTGACGGGTCCGTCGTCTCAGCCCAGGTTTCCACCAGGTCCTTGGCATACTTGAGCTTGAGTTCAGCATAGCGGTTCTGGAACCGTGCCTGGGGAATCACTACGTCGTGGTGCACTCGCTTGGTGTATCCGCCGACCCGTCCCTGGCCGTGCTTGTACAGCACCGAGAGCAGCATGCGGGCGGTCCGGACCAGCTTCTCGACGGCGAAGTCGGCCTCCTCGAAGAAGAGATAGTGGATGGAGACGGTGCCGACGGCACGCGCAGCGTCCCACTCGTGGAGGTGCGCGACGCCCCGGACCTTGGGGTGGTAGAAGGGTAGGGCGTCGGGCGAGGACGCGTGGGGGAGGTAGACGACTAGGGACCTGGCTTTGGTGGCATCTGGGGTACAGGAGGCGAAGACGCACGTCTGATCCAGGGGGTCGTCCCGGCGGGTGTTGCGCGGGATCAGCTTGCGCACGAAGACGCGGTCGTTGTGGAAATCCGTAAAAGCAACGGGACGGGGCTGCTGCTGCTGCTGCTGCTGCTGCACAACTTGTGCAACGCCATCTTCTGAGGCTTCAGATCCGGGAGAAGGGGGAGGTGTCCATCCCGGGTCCGAATCATGTAGGATATCGGCGCGGAAGAGCCATGACGAGTTGATGTTTGGGTTCTTGATGAGATTCATCATGACATCCTCAAAAATGTCGGGCCCGAAAGCACACTCCTGCTGGAACAAGGGATGCCATATTTCGCCCGAAACATCGTGGACGAAGGGTTCTGCCGATTGTGCAAGTGCCGCCGGATCGTAGGCCATGTCGAGGCGGGAGAGACAAGGTTTTTTCCCAGGCTGCAGGCTGAAAAGAAGCAATATAATGAGACTTTTGAGTGTGATGGGAGCCGTGAGATGTGAATCGGGCAGATATCGCATGAATAATAAGAACGGCGCTAGGCGGATCTCGGCTAGCCGCGCAGGGCCCGGCCAGGAGCGGCCAGGGCCAATGTGACGTTGTGAGTTGGCCAAATTTTTGTTTACTTTGCGAGGTGGGGTGACATGGCAACCAGCCAAAATACACAGCACACAGCACACAGCGGGATCCATCCGGCAAAACTCGCCCTTGCAGACCACGCAGAAAAGGGTGCTGGTCCGTCCTGCATAAGCTCCAAGCCTGGCACTACACCAACGCGATAGCTCCTTTCATCTGATGACACATTTTTTCCTGTCCTTTGGATCTTCAGTCATAAGCTTTCTGAGCCGCCCGACTATCACATTCCTCCGCATGTGCTGACCAAGAGAGAGATACCCTTCACAAGCACTTCGCGCAGTGGTCGTCTCGCCGCGACGACACGTCCCATCACGATGGCGGAAAACGACAATTTGCGTACAGCATCGCTGTACATCAACAACCAATTGCTCTCGCGAGGACTTCTACGCGATGGCCAGACGATCAACTTTGCCGACCCGGACGGCAATCCGGGCGGCACGGATGCCACAATGGGCAAGATCATGAGCATCGTCAATGATTTGATCTTGCGCCGAGATGTGCGTGTGCCCTCACCCCCCTGATGGTGTGCTCTAAGAAAGTCCCCGTACTGAGATGTTATTTTTTGCCTCCTGAAGCGCGACGCCGAACAACGTGAGAACCTATCGACCACTATGCGTACTGTCCGCGCCGAGAATCTACGATACACCAACGACATCGCACGCCTCTCAGAGAAGCATACCGAGGCTCAGAGGAAACTCGATATCAGCGAGGCTACCGAGAATACTTTGCGCACCCAACTCAAGTCTGCCGACGCTGCTGTACGCGGCCTCAAGGACGAGGTGGCCCGCGCCAAGACTCTGGTCGCCCAGACGCGGGCCTCCTGCGCAACGGAGGTCCGACGCCGCGACCGCCAGATCGACGGCCTGAAGAAGCAATTGGGTGAAGCCGGTCGGCCTCGCGGTACGGCAAAGAGCTCCGCCGTCACAGTTATCAGCGTTGTCGCCGGCGAGGGCGAGGAGAAGGTGTCGCCCAAGCGTGGAGGCAAAGCCGTGGCAGGCACCGAGGACTCCGGCTATGACCTGCGCAGCGAAACGAACGAGTTCCTGACGGACCTTGCGCGGAACCTCAGCGAGGAGAACGAGTCCCTCCTGAACTTGGTCCGGCGAACGACGAAGAGTCTGCGCGAGATGAGTGGCTGTGATGTTCGGGCAAGCCAGGGTGATGGCCACGCTGTTACATTGCCCACGGCTGAGGACATGGCAAACGAGCTTGACTCCATACTCGAACACCTGCGCTCCATCTTGACCAACCCCTCGTTCGCCCCTATTGAGGAGGTCGAGGTCCGTGAAGAGGAGATCGCACGTCTGCGCGCGGGCTGGGTCAAGATGGAGAACCGCTGGCAGGAGGCTGTTCACCTCATTGACGGTTGGCGCCGGCGCATGGTCGCCGACGGCAAGTCGGTGAATATGGAGGAGCTCAAGATGGGCCTCCGCCTTAGTCCTGTGCGCGTTCGCAACGTTGAGGAGACTCACCAGGGCGGCATGGACATACATGAGCTCTCTTGTGTGCAAGAAGAGTGCACCGCCGACTTGGAAGAGGAGGAGGAAGAGGAGGAGGAGGAAAAGGACGACTACGAGGCGATGCCTGAATCCCCATGCCCTGCTCCACAAAGGGTCGAGTCACTTCATCTCGTTCCTGCACCAACAGATTACGAAGCGGCTTATCGAGGAGAAGATGATTACAACCAGGATGATCAGCAGAGCGACTATGAGTCGAGCATATTTGAGGACGTCGACGTTGAGGAAATCGACATCGAAGAGCCCAACGTCCAGATTCTACAACAATCTACCGCCTACCTCAGCTCCCCTCCTCTTCCACCCCCTCCCCAGATGAGCCCACTCCGCGAAACGCCTTCTGCGGGTAATCGTGACGCCAGACCAAAACGCGATATTCGCAGAGACTACAACACGATGGCTGACGAAAAGCCCCGGACGATCCGCGCCGTCGATGTCGCCCCAAAACCACCACCACACCTCGTCCAGCTTCCACGATCGCCGCAGAAGCCTGTGCAACCGGTCGATGACCGCTCTCGCACGACATCTGCGGCCTCTCTGGCCTCTGAATCAACCCACAATGGCGCACCCCTCATCACACCGTCCGTAACCCCGCCTCCGGAAGTGAATCAAACGCCAACAGCGCGAAAGCTCCCCAAGCCGCCGCGCCTCGTTTCAGCTGCTCCCGCAGCACCATCGCCCGCGGTCTCAGCACCAAGAGAAAACCCATCCCCCGTCAAGGGCATCCGTACAGTCTCCCAGGAGAGTCAAGAGAGCCAGACGAGTCAGGAGAGCTGCGAGGGTGCACCCCCTGCTCCCGCCGTTCAGCCCAACGGCAACAAAAACGCGACACCACACCGCACTCCGCTGCGCCGCGTCCCCTCTCGTCTGCCCCTCCCGCGACCCTCGGACCCTCCACCACAGCAGAGCCCTCTGACGATGGCAACCATTGCAGCCAAGCTAGCAGCCTCGGAGCGAGAGGCGGACGCTGCCCGCGTCCGCGCGAAGCTCAAGGCGGCACGTGGAGGCACGCTCGGCAAGCCGATGGCTGCAACCCAACAGCAGCAGCAGCAGCAACAGCACATGCCTCCGCCTCCTCCACCAGAGACCATCGTAGCCATGCCGCAAGAGCCGCAGCCGACGGTTGACTCCCCGGCAAAGACATGGGCAGACCGAGATCTCGATCCCATTAAGCGCGATATCCCGCAAGACGAGCAGGTCCAGCAATCACCGCTACAGCCGACGAAGCGCAAGCGCGACAGGCGGGTGAGCAAAGTAGCCTCGAGGAGGAGGAGTACGCTTAACCCATGGGAGATGGAGAGCCTCATCTCCGGCAACGTGGCTGTCCCGCCGTCACCTGCTCAGTCATGAGCGATTACATTCTTTTATTTGCAAACAAAACTCTAGCGCGAAATAGCCTTGCGAGGTTTCTCTTTCGCAAATTACCATCACTTATAATATAACTTCAGCTCTCCTAAATTTTCTTTGGGAGGAAACAAACTGTCTTTTGGGGGAAAGAATATCCAAAGGCGTTTTGAGAGGGAGCCGACGTCAATCTCGCGTGAGAAGTGGCCGGCTCAGGGTCGGGCAGGGGAGTACGAAGGGTCCAGGGAAGGAGTGTGGGAGGATGAAATTGCTGTTTCTGTTTACGCTCTCTATATCCGTGATGCTTGGGCCATTGTCACTGTCAGCAGCAGCACTGCGTACAATCTTTCCAGCGTCAATGGCATCACAACAGCGATAGGTAGCTTGCGTGTGTGCCTTGTTTTCCACTAGCGAACTAATTCACCCTTTTTCTTGATTACCTTGCTTGTCTATTCGTACATTTACTTGATTCTTTGTTGCATGATGTCTGTGTGCAATACTGTCTCGCGTAAACTATTCGTATTCTTCAAGAAGAAGCTGTTTTAAGAAATTGCTCCTTCTTTGCTACAGAGAGTAAGTATCAAATACCCCAGCCCCTACGCCTAATGCTATGAGACCTACAAGATTGAACCTCAATGAAAACAAAAGAAATAAAACTCTCGCAATGTCTGAAGGTCTTGGCCCTGTCGCTGCTCGTAGCTAATTGACCACCCTTCATTCACCCAATCTCGGCCTCCACGGGAGCCAAGGGCTCCAACGGCACGGGGAACTCGGCCTCCCAGCTGCCGTACACGACCTCGACCCCGTGCGCGCCGCAAAACGTCCTCAGCTGGTCCATCGCCACGCCCGTCAGCGCGCGCTGGTACACCCGCTTCAGCCTGCCCAATATGGCGACGCGCTCAATGACGGCGCCGAGGCGCCGCTGGTCGCACAGGTCCGAGTGCAGCTCGAGAACCTCGAGGTTGGGAAATGACTGGAGGAAGCCAAAGAGGAGGTCGACCGGGTCGATGCCGAGGCCCCTCTGCGCCGGGTCGCGCGTCAGGTTCTCGTGGGACTCGAAATCAAAGTGGAAGAAGCCAAATGTGCGGACCGAGGGGCTGCCGCGCAGCCAGTCGAGGGCGCCGGGGAAGAATTGGCCCGGCTCCTGGCGCCAGCAGAGGCCGAGCTCGCGCAGCCTGCCCGAGCGGACGGCGGGCTCGAGGAGGACGGTGGCGAGGTCGACGCTCAGGGGCAGTTTCGGCATCCAGAAGCGCTCGAGGTTGGGGTAGGTGACGAGGGACTCGGCGGCCTCGTAGCCCGAGTAGTCGAGTGGCAGCTGCTGGGGCAGCCAGTCGCCGTGGTTGGACTGGAGGGCGGCGCGGGCGTCGAGGACGCGGAAGGAGGACGGATGGAGGGGCGGGAAGTGGCGCTTGTCGCCCATGGAGAGGGCGCCGCAGGCCTTGCCGAGCTTGATGACCTGGAGGCTCGGCCAGAGGGACCAGCAGTCTTCCGGCGGGGCGAGGGAGTCGAGGCCGGTGAAGACGCCGAAGTTGTCCATGTGGAGTTGCTCTAGGTTTGGCGTTGCGCGGGCGAGGGCGAACTACGGAGGGCGCGGGTTAGTGAGTCTGGTGCTGAATCACTCGGGAGTACGAGGACCGGGGGGTGGGAGGGGGGAGGACGACGTACGGGATCGATCCGGCGCTCGGGGGTCAGTTGATTCAACGTCGAGTTCTGCGGACCGGTCAACTGAAGGACCTTGAGACGGGGTAGCTCCGGCCAGCCCAGGTCGTTCAGGTGCATGCTGAAGAGGGATATCCTCTCGACGTTATCCCGTGCGCGTTCGACAAACTGCCTCACAAAGGGCTGGGCGCCGCCGCTGCCTTGGTAGCTCGGCCTGGTGATCTCGCGGAAGCTGAAGCCCAGGTGCGTGAGCCCTTCGAAGAAGAGCGGCTTGGGCGGCAGCTTGAAGCCCCAGTCGCCGCCCTCGAGGTTGCGCTTGATGGCGCCGATCTCGAGGCGCGTCGTCATGCGCGGGTTCGTGGTCTGGATGAGCGACAGCCACTTTGTCTCGTTGAGCTGGAAGGCGTGCGCGTTGGGGACGATGAGGCTGCGGGCGAGGCCGCCGGTCCGTTTCCGTAACGTCTTGAGGAAGGAGACCCGCGGAGGCTTTTGCGGGTTCAGGGAGGGGAAGTGGACTTGTCTCCAGATGTAGGGGTGGGTGTCGAGGAACTGGTCCCATCGTTTGCAGACACCCGATATTCGGCTGGCGTTCAATGTCAGCAACCAAGTCAGGCAGAGGGAACTTGGTTCAAAGGAGCGAGACCGGGGTCTTTTGAGCTTACCATAACTCGTGAAAATCAAAGTAGGAAAAGATCTTTTCAATCAACTCGATTGGTAATTCCATAGGGTCTCTACGACAAAAGTGTTTGTGAAGCGGTTCGCGAATCTTGCGAAGTTGCTGTAAGAGATCAGGTCAGCAAATCACCCGACAACACAAATGCTTGGGAAGATGTCTTGTACCTCATACTTGGCCGTTCTGATGAGGCCTTCCTTTTGTCCAACCTCGATACCGGCACTCCACGCGGCCCACGCCATCTCGTGCTTCTTCTCCAACTTGTATATCTTCCCCAACCTCATGTACCCCTGAAACCCCGTTATTCATATGGAACACACCACAAACAAGAGGGAAAACGCAAAGTGGGATGAGGGGCAGTAACAATAGTACGCATGACCAACACCGAAAAGAAACCAAAAGCAACACTCACCTCCAACCGCCGCGGCGCAATCTCTAACAACCACTCCGCATCCCTGCGCGCCATATCCAGCTTTCCCATTTTCTCAAAGCACGCAGCCCGGTAGTCGAGCGCCTGGACGTGGCCCTCGCGGTGGCACCGGCCCCACGTCTTCTCGGCGCCGCACTTGCACTCCTTGGTGGCCTCCGCGTAGACGCTGCCCCTCTCGCGCCGGTGCCGGGTCGCCGCTTGACCAAAGTCGCGGCACGTACACCTCTCCCGCCGGCGGCGCTGCTGCGCGGGGCTGTCCCTGCCGCCGTTGCCGCCGTCAGAACCTGCACCTCCATCACCTCCAGGACCTGCGGCCCCGACCCCTTTGAGACCTCCAGGAGCACGACCACCGGAACTACTTCCTGGGCCTCCGCCAGAGGAGGAGGAGGACCCTCCTCCCGAGGGTGACGAACATGGACAGTTCCCAGCGACGAGGGTGAAGTGCTCGAGGGCGACCCGGAAGCGCTGGTCCGCATAGGCTGCGCGGCCCTTCTCGATTGACGCCTCCTCCGAGCGGACGCGAGGGAGCTGTCCAGGCGGCGCCATGCCTTTTTGATGATGTGGAGGTAAAAGACTGAGGTCTGGGCGAAGGGGTCCATTGAGACGGCTGGTCAGTTTCAAACACTTGATTCTTTTGCTTTTGTTGAATGAGGCAAGCAGGATTTGCAAGATCTTGAGTCTCCCGCTTTGTAGAGAAGGGTGAGGTTGTCGTCGATTTGGTGGTCACGTGGTAATGGTAATATCTGGCACTCACTGGGAGAAGGGAAACTTTAAGAAGCAAATGCTGGTCTGGTGAGATAAAAATTCGGGGAGGGGAGGGGGGATAAGATAGGCCAGCTAGTGCAGGGAAACAGAGAGAGTGAGCATCTCGTTTCGCATCTATCTGGCCTTTTTCTCCGCAGGGCGATGAAGTCTAAATGAGTACAAAGAAAGAAGAAGAGTCGCGAGTTGCTCGGATTGCGGCGGACGGGGTCGACGGTGCGGTGGTGCTGTCGCCGAGGTGGAGGTTCAGCATCGCCGAGGTTGGAAAGCGAGGTTGCGGGACTGAGGGGGCGCGACGCGAACGCGACCGGATGTCCTCCGTAACAGGACCCGCTGTGGCCCGTGGAGGGAGTGAGCCACCGGGATTTGCCACCGGAGGGCACTCCTTAGGGAGACAACGGGCGGGTTTCAGCGCCTTTCAGGGTTCCCTCCCGCTGTAGGTCCTGCTCCAATGCTCTTTCATCCCAACTCTTCCTCTTCCGTCAGATCTTAGGTAATGCAGATAACCTTACCTTGGACATTAAACAAACCAGGCAAGACGGATGCCGTGACCCGTCTCCTTGGCACCGCGAGACAAACATCGCCCTGGGGCTCCCTACAGACGGCACAGTAAATCTCATCTCACAGCGAACCCTGTCGTCCTCGATCACCATCATCTCGTCGTTCGATTAGCTCTAGGAGCCCAAATCCCCGACCGCCCCCAAAATCCTACCGAATCCCACAGCCACCGTCCCCGTGAGACGACGGCAGGCCTTGCCGAGTCCTCCGGTCCGCATCCGCCACTCTCTGTGGCGTTCCCGTCTAAGTCAGATCGTTCTCCATTTTCTCACGCCCCCGATGCCATGCCTGCGCATCGAGGAGCAGGCAACAGAATCAACGGGGCTATTTACTACAGACAGACACATCGTATGAGGAACTGAGCCTCAATCACTCGCGCACGCCCATCACCCGCCTCACCACGTAGCCCCATCTCACCTCACTACCCAAAATCCAAAAGAACCCTACGCCAGCCCCCGTCCCGTGTATTTCAAGTCCAGCTAACACCCCATCGTCCTTCCAGCACAGAGCCTAGGACCATTCCCCCAGTTCAATCCAGCCAAGCCAGAGCGCCCCAAGCCCGTTGATCTAGGGGGCGCTAGGTCGTCCCACCCAGCCAGTGTAACTCCTCAGCTGCTCGATGCCAGCGACCATCTCCGAGCTTTCGCGCCTTGTGTGTGGCATGCGCTCTTCCAGGCAACGACCAACAGGCACCTCGCGCACATGCCCTGCCCACCTCAACCCGCCAGCCGAACCGCAGTGTAAAGAATCTCATCTCATCTTGCCGCTCAAAGGTATCTTCAGGAACCGACCTCCGGGCAGTAACTGCTACGAATAAAGATAGCCGCGATGTGAAATGTACCTGTAAGCGAAGATCAAACCCCCCCCCCCCAACTCACCGGTATAGGCGCTCAAGGCCACTTACTTGCGCGCATTCCCAGCCCGCCGGTTTCAGAAGTTCCCTGCGTCTCAGCAGCAGCAGACCAGCCCAGCTTTTCACCTCCAAATGTTCCGTGGATATTAGCTTCTGGTCGTGTATTCGTTCCGGGCAGCGTTCAGGACGTAAGACAGAAGTGCCATGCTTCCCGCACCATATCTGTGTGTCTCCAAAGGCAGCTAAGTCCACGCGCACACAAAGTTGTTGTGTGTGTCTCTAACATGCCTACGGCATACGGCGGAGGCACGGGCGAGTACATGTCACCCACCAGACGACTCCTCCCAAGATCCGGGCCCCCCCAATCTTGGCACACCGAGGCTCCCCCCGGCTCGGGCGGGCACAGCAGTTGGAGGGCCTCGAAAGCCGCGGACGCCTCTGCATATACGCCTGGCACATTTTTGCTCCCCTTCCTTTCTTTCGTGCCGCATGGAACCTCCATCCCAACCCTGGAATCCCTTTTCCTCTCTTTGGCATAGTCGCCCACTCTGTCTCTCCCTCACCGGTCACCGGCGGCGGCGTGTCAAGACCTGGGCAATTCTGCAGCCCCCAAAATAGGAATCCTTCCACTAAGGTAAGGCAGGGTCGCGCGCAAAACAAACCCCAGATATGCACCATTTCCAAGTTTTTCGGTACGGCGTAGTCTTCCGCGCTTGACAATCGTCCCACGAAACGGCAAGCCTCAAGGCCCCACACCCCTACTATCATTTGTACCTTCAGAACTACTGCAGCTACCTATGTCACGATGAGCCGGATATCGCCGGCGCAAGATCAAAAAGAACCTCATAGCAGCTGCCCGCCGCCCTCCGTCCCCTCCCCGGACACCCTAGCCCGGCTGAAGCCAAGGATCACGCGAGCAACTATCACAGAAGAAGCCAAGCTTCGATTCTGCCCGGTAGGATTTGGTGTTTTGCGGCTCCCGCCGCAGTTGCACATCAATATATCGCTTCCCAACACTTTTCTGGGAGCTGTTTATTGGTGCTGCTAGTCTCCGTTCGTATGTGGTATCTCGTACGTTGTGTGTGCATGTTTGCATAAAGATCGTTTGCCTTGAATCCTTTTGCAACCTATGTACCTTCCCCAATCAAGATTGCATCCGCGCCAACCTCGCGTGGGCCGTCCGTGTTCGAGGCCGCATCCTGGCCCCGGCGGTCCTCGGCCGCGGTGCGAACTCCACCCCTCTCGGGGACCCCCTTGTCCGACGCCCAAACTTCATTCCTTCGGGACCTCTCCCGCAGCCGATATCTCGATTTCAGCGAATCCTTTCTGGATGCACGGTATCTTTCTTTCTCCATGGCCACGTCTCTAGCCAGAATCCCGAATATGCCGAGAATCCTGCCGAACGTCCCCCCCCTCTTCCCCTTTCTTCAACCATCGAATGAAGATTGCAGAAGAGCAAAGACAAGGCGGAAACTCGAATGAGAACTTTAAAAAATAGAGGCAAACACCACGAAATCATTGTATCCGTAGTCCCACGATTTTCAGGTGAGGAGGCATCCCATTTCCTGGGGACCCTCTTGTCGAATGGAGCGAAAAAAAAAAAGTTCAGACGAGGATCAGTTGCTTCTTCAGACGACATGACAGGGGGGTATCCTTGGCCTTTGGAGCAAAAACTACGGCCATATGCCGTTGATTTCCCCCCGTTCAACGGCTTCTGTCTAAATTTGAATTTTGAAATTTTTGGGACGATCTGCAGCTGTCATGTCTCAAACCCCCACTACCACCATAGGTATCTTACCCAAGCTCCCGACGACAAAGGCGTGTCTCTAGAACAATTACACACTACCTGCGTTTTTGCTTGTTTAATCAAAGAATGCCTGGACGCAGCGGCATCATTCGTTGGATTTGCTCCCACCACAGAGTGCGTCAAGTTTGGAAAGAGGGACATATGCAAGTAGTAAAGCCAAAACAGGGATAGGGGTAAGGAGGTTTGGGTCTACCTCATCTCCAACCACCGAGCCTCGCCGTTGCCTCGCATCTGGAAGGCCCCGGAAATCTGGCATCTCACCAACAATATGAACCATGCGCTGCTGCAACCACCAGAGCCCTAGCGTCAAGCCCGGCCAGCTACTTTGCACCGCGACACACACACATACACACGAAAATGCACGAGCTCGAAGCGCTTGCGCTTATGTATACTCTCTGCGTGCGTCTGCGGCACGTATGGTGTGTGTGTGTCTCTCTCTCACCTCAGCTTGCGCGGGATCCCCGCGTCTGTCGTCTAAGCAGTCTCGTGAGAATCTTACTCGACCCTCCTTCACGGGTGTCTGGTTCATTCACTGGCTCATCCCCCTCCTAAACCCACCCATCCACACCAACATACCTTACATAGGCATACGCATACACCGATGTGCATTCACACACACACACACAACATCCCCCCTCCCCCCTTCATCTCGAGCCTGCGCATTCTTCACCACGCAATTTTTGGCATCTTACTGTAACACCCACTCTCAAACCAACCGCGGCAGCGGCAGCGACAGCGGCAAGCGGCAAATTCCACCACTCATCACTCACTTCCCACCTCGATTGCATGCTTACCCGTCACATTCTTCCCAAGACACGTCCAAAAAAGAAACACATGCAGTCCACACACACACACGTACTAGACTTACCAGAAAAGAGAAAGACAGGAAAAAGTCCCATGCAGAACCAAAGGACGCGAAAAGACATGCGTAATCCCCTCATGATCGAATTCATATTCCCAACCCCGGATGAGGTATCCCATGTGCCCATGTAAGTAAGATGTTCTTTTTTAGACCCCACAACACACACACACGCACACGCCCCGAACCCAAGGTACCTAGGAACCTTGGCTAGCTCTGTCCCCACAAAAGGAAAAACCCACGCCGGCTCACCTGTCACACCAAAGGGTCCACTTAATTGCGGCTATTTCCCTAACAAGCGCGGAACGCCGCTTATTTCGGCGCCTCACACCCATGCAAACCCATACACCCAAGGGGCCGCTATGCCCCCTTGCCATTTGCCGCGATGGGCGCCGCCCGCGCGCAAGCTTCGCTTGTTGGGGCTGCTTGTCAAGTCCGACAGTCGCCCGGGGGCCCATTTTCCCCACCACCCGTTCGTTGCGGTTCGTCTTTTCATTTCCAAGTCTCTCTCTCTCTCTCCCCCTCGTCCGCACCTCTAAAAATTTAATCTATTCTTAGAACGGAACCTTCCACTCACTTTGTTTGCTCTTTCTCTCTCTCTTTCACTCTGTCGCCTACGTAGTAAGATTTGGACCGCCAATCTCTTCCCATCCCGTGCTACCTGACCAGACCTTACCTCATGTCCCAGTCGCCTCCCTTTCGCGGGACCAGACAAACAGCTCCCAAGAAACCCCCCTCCCGCACTATCCGTATCTAGGTCTGAACTTGCCGTCATTCACGCCCTGTTTGGCGCAAGGCTTTCTTTCTAGGTACCCGTCATCAACCTTTTTTCAGGGATTCCATTTGTCTCGTACAACCTCACATCAACCTCAAACCATGACAGATCTGACAAAACACCCCAGCCATGCATGCATCGTCTTGCTCTCCATTTTCCCCATTGGGACAGAAGAACACAACACCCTCCCTCTCCCCCCTCTCCCCGGGAGTCTTCCCACTCACCAACCCACCACACTCACCATTGTCTCAGATTCCTTTTTTTTTGTCTTGTCCCGCCGAGTGGGAATTGGCAACCCATCCCCATGTCCAAACACCCATGTCCTCTGTCGTCTTTGTACCCGTACGTTTCCTCCCCCCTCCCCCCTCCTCCCCTCCCAATTCCCATCCATGCGTGGAAGGCCTCCCGCCGCACTCCATTCTCCGTGCGTCTGGGAAAGAGCCTCCCATCCCGTCAGCACCTTGAACCACTGCTAATGAACCCAGCTTCCGCGTTTCCCATGTCCCATCGCATCCTTTCGTACACGCGCTCCCTTATGCCCATCGCCAGGCTGGTGGCCCCCCCCCCCCCCCCCCCCCCCCCCCCCCCCGGCCCCCCCCCCCCCCACCCCCATTTCGCCTTTCCCACTCCCCCCCCCTTCTACCCCCGCCCCCCTTCCCCACCGCCGGGCGGGGGCCCCCCCCCCCCCCTTCCCCAACCCGCCTCCGGGTCCAGCCAATAGCATGTAAGAGACGCCTCCCGCGTCAAATATCTGCAGAGTGCTGATGCCTGCGCTGTTCCTTCGCCCGCCGCCGTACCGCATACCTTACCGAGGAGGGAGCAGCCGACTGACCGAACCGGCGTTGAAATCCCCTCCTCACAATAAAGTTTCCCACGAATGACATGTATGATTGTACCCGATCATTTCCCTGGAATCCTTTAGAATCATTTGCCTCTTTGAAAAAAACCGGTCCACTTCATCGAAAGATGTCTCCCTTTTCAGTAAAGTGCAAACTACACACAAAGTAGGCGAACATTTCTAGGTTGCAACGTAAGTCGCTAACCCCATTTCCCAATGGCACCTCTTATTGGTTTTCTTGGGGTAGCATGGCCCCGAATCTGCCTTACTCGTAGGATCTTGACTCACAGCCCGAGCTACATCTGCGGATGCCATTTATTGCCACGTTTGATATAGTCTCTAAATTCTCGCGCTGCATTAAAAAAACAGGTGCTCATAATTGAATCTCGTGGAATTTCTTTCCAAATCTCTATGTGAAGATGTGGTCTCTCTAATACATGATTCTCTGGCCAGATCAAGTAAACTCGTGTCTGGCCCCCAAATGCAACCAGCTCAATTCCTGCAGGGCAAATTGCAATACTGTGTTTTGCCACCTCAAAAGTTCCAGACAGCTGTGTGGCAGTATAGGAAAATTCCCTGGATGAGAATGCTAAAGGTTGAGTCTCGAAGAAACGAAATGATGTCTGGCATCAACTTAGGATTGGAGGTAAAGGCGTCCTGGCGCTCTTCCTCCGTGTTGCAGGCATTCCAGTTGCCGCTCCGTACCCCTGCTGCCGACGCCCGTCGGTTTTTTCCCCGCTGCTCCCAGAGCAACTCGTCTATCATCGGGTGATGGTACAGATCATGTGAGAAAAAAGCAAGGGAGATCTTGGCAGTAAAGCAGAAGAAGAGTAAGTAGAGAAAGAGAGTTTGAGAGAAAAATGTTGAGAGAGAGAAACAGCTCAAAGCATATGCAACATTGAAAGCAGAAGAATGAAGAAATGCAACAACAACAACAACAACAAAAACAAAAACACCAGCAAAAAACCTCGCTCACTCTGATGATCCCGTCAACCACCACATGCGCAATGGTGCGCTTCTGCCTTTCCGAACCTGAACGCCTGTTATCCTCCTGCCTGCCCGCCAGCCATATGCATCGAGACTTGTCTGTAAACTACACAAGTTGAAAATGGGACCGTTGCCGAATGCCTGTAGAATCGAATCTTGCCGCCGCCGACTTGTGAAAGTTCCCCTCTTGCAACCCAAATTGTATACCCAAAATGATGCCCCTTAAGGCAGAGAAGATGAGGTCCAGCCCATTAGAAGTTAGGCGTCTCTTGTATGCATGTGTTCGTCCCGACCGCCCAATGCAAAAAAGAAAACCCCAAAGCCAACGCTATGCAAGCTCAACATCGAAAGGAAAGGAAGCCCGGCTTGTCCAGGAGCAAAAATAAAGCAGAGTCAGAAAAAGAGAAAAGGAGAGTCGGAAAGATTTGAATGTCGAGAAGATTTCGAAGTTCGAGCGAGACCGGGGGCGTGGGCTTGGTGAAAGATGTCGTTTAATTGTAGCGCGCTGATGATGACAAATGATAGGCCGTGAAATGTTTCCGTCATGCGTGATCTCGTCTCTGTCTTCGATAACTTCGTTGCTGAACTTCATGGCAGGGCGTGATGGCGGAAGGTAGTTGGTTGATGTAGGTGGGAAATTGACCGGAGTGGAGGGATCCGTATAAGCCACTGGCCGGAGAGTCATCGCACAGCGGGAGGCGCTGACGAGGACATCAAACGGTCATGGCCGACAAAGAGGAGAGATAGCTGCGAGGGTGGCAGCGTTTGAGAAGCCGACCTTCCTCTAAAGGAGTATAGGTAGGCGACCCAAGTGCCGAATTGAAAAAGTAGTAGCTTGGGGGAATGCCAGGAACAGCAACCCATCACCGAAGACAAGACATTTCACCGGTAGTGGCGGGAGCCCTTGCTTGAATGGCTAGAGTGGTAGCCAGAGTCGGAGTATGAGTGTTGTGATGCGTAATTGCCATGTGATGAAGAGTGAGCATGGCAGGCGTATCCGACTAAAATCGTTCTATTCTGGATGCTATGTCCTGGTCTTCCGTAGGCAGCGCATCTGTCAATGGCGTGCTGGTAGTAGAGGCAGCGGCACGCCGAGTAGAGCTCGACAAGTTGATAGCACATTGTAAAGGTTCTTCGGTGGTAAGTTGAGTGACTGAAGTGATGGATGATGTGAAAGACCGAGGAATTGATCCTGGAGATGTGAGTTGGGAGTGTGGATGACTTTATCTCTCGAGGAAAGGTGCGTTGTTGGTGTTTGGTTGGAGGGGGATGGGGGGGGATATCGAGTTGAGCAATGTTCAGAGAGACTGAAAGCTGCCAGGTATGCAGAGAAGCAAGGGGAATAAGGCAGAAAAGGAAATAGGAAAGGGAACCCAAGTGAGTGTGTTCGTGATGACTTATACTGGAGTAGACAAGGGACAAGAAGATGAAAAGGAGCGAAGGCATCACGACCTTATAGGTCTGGCAGCCTGGGAGGTCGTCACACGGGTAGGCAATTGGCAGAGAACCGTCTAAGGCAGCAGTGGGACCTCTGGCAGTGGACGGTGGATGTCATCTGAGTGAGACCAATGACTAAGGCTGCATCTTGTGCATTAGAGCGGTATGCAGACATAGGTTCTGATGGCGCAGGGCAAGACCAGGGAAAGGTGCCTTGCACCTTCCATCATGGCCTGGTAAGGCGCAGCAGGCAAAAAAGGTGTGAGGGAAGAAGTGTGCGAGAAGAACGAGTGGTGAGCAGGCGGAGAGGAGGCGTGAGCGGTGGAAAACGGGCTGGGGTGGAGGGGGGGTGAAAGCGGTGGTGGGTGTGTGTACTTTGAGCGGACTAGACAGGGCAACGAGGGAGAGGGAGAGAGAGATGTGTGTACAAGTGGAGGGGGGGCTGGCTACGATGGAGACTGAGGTGGTGACGGGAGCCCTGAGGTAAGGGTGACGGGGGAACAGGGTATCGGTCAAAAGAGTCATCTTCAGCATCCTTCCCAATCGAAACATCTCTCAAAATGGACAATGCCGACCTGTCCCCATACTTTGGGTTGATGAGGTGCAGCAGGGCTGATGCGCGATGGGATGGGATGGGATGGGACGGGCATGGGTGGATGGTTGTACGAAAAGGAAAAAAATCATCGGGATCCAATTGGCCCGGCCCCGTCTGGTGCTGTGCTTTGGAAGACGATATGGAATCGCGGTCGTGTTGCATGGTTGGTGAACCATCTCTGTCTTCCCCCCTTGCGCCTAGAAACATTTCTGGAATCATAGATGCGCATCGCCGCATGTTGCTTGTTGCATGTTGCAGGTCGCATGTCATGTGCTGTGCCGGCTGCTGCAGTACGAGCACCGCTACCAGGCACTAACTCTTCGTTGCTTTTGCTTTTGCTGATGCTGATGCTAATGCTGCTCGTCCCATCCAGCCAGCCATGACTGCCGCCGCCTCGTGCTGTGGTTGCGCTTGACGGACGAAACAGAGACACCCCCAAGTGTCTATTATCGGCTGGTGGCACCGACCGACTCCAAAATCAATCCCGGCAGCCCCAGCGCCAGCTCTAGGCAGGGCATGGCACGAACGGCCCCAAGATAGCTCCATGTCTTGGACCGCAGGGCTGACTCTGTATCGTTGCACCAAGGAAGCCCGGATTCTTTACGCCTAACCGTTTGTGATGCGGCGATCGTCCTGTGTCGTCCGGTGCCGCCGCCACGCAAATTCCTTCCATGAGGAGCATTAAGGTGTGGTGGTGCTGTGCTCTCCATTAACCGTTGTCCTGGCCGAGGTTCCTAATCGATCGGTGTGTGAACTTGATCTCAAATTACCCTCTGTATTTCGGTTTACGATTGCTCTTCTGCTATGCCCACTAACGGGGGACGGCCACCATTCGGTCGGAGCAGCCCCTCTTAGCGTACGGCTGCCATTGCTAAAAGAGGAACATGCCGGTCAGAGGCTCGCGAGCTCCCCCATAGAATCCGTCCTCCAAGCAGTGGTAACCGCTAAGCCCTGCCGACTGACAGAAAGTGCATTTGCTGTGTACAGTGAATCTTGGCCTCTTATCTCGTCGTGTATGTCACCAAGATTGACCCGAGGTCTAGTGTTGATCTGTCGCCCGGTGTCTTCGATTGCGCTCTGAGGCCTGTCATGTTCATCGTCCCAAGTAAGCAGGGGTGATACTTGGTTTGGCATGATCCAGTCACCCAGTATGGTTGGTCGCAGCACGACGGACCAGGGACTTGATCCGCGGGTCAGGTACCGATGAACGTCGTACAAATCTTTTGCTGTGATGGGCTGGCATGCGAGCGACCGGTTCGGATCTCCAGCATGGTGAAGGAGGTCACCCTGGTACCCAGAGCGGACAAGCTGACTCCTGAGTGGACAATAACCGCAGCCTGCTTTGAGGTACCAACAAGTAGGCTTAGGGTCGACGCATGGAGCAGACCGAATTGGAAGCAATTGTCCCCGTCCAATTGCCGAATATAGCTGTAGTACCACAATAGATGTCAACGACAAGCTCCTTTGCACAAGTGAGTACATCATCTTGATAGAGGTTGGCATAGATGACACTGGTGCTGACTGCCTGGAAAGAATAGCCATGCGTCAAGGCAAGGTGAGATGCTGTTATTATCGAACAAGTAATTCGACGCCCCAGCTAAACGAGCGTATACAACTGTTATACCGGGATAAGGCTGTGCATGCAGGCCATCTATTAGAGGTACCACCGAACTGGTGGCTGTCTTGGTAGTGTCCATTGGCCACAGTACGTTCCCAAATGGTACTGGTGCTGACCATGGCCGGGAGCTTCTGCATGCGAACGTTCCATGCGAAGGTCCCATCCTCTTCCCAGTCATCGGGAGGATAGTCAGATCAAACGCGCTTAGCACCATGCCGTCATTGGAGGCCATGTCGAGATCAGACCCGGGCACCTGGTGAGAGAGACTCGGGCGGCCTTCTTGGATCGCAGGCTCCCTGGTGATGGCTGAAAATGAGATGAGATGCTATGGCAGGGGTAGCGGATCCCAACACTCCACGGGCGAGTTTGGACTGATTTGGATATGGCCGGGTGAGCATATCCCAGTCCCGCAGAGGGGGGTGAAAGGCAATGTCAACCGTGTCTTGGATGCAACGGCTCCCATCAATCCCCGTACACCGGCCAACGCAAGTCTCAGCTGCCATTCGACCGATGTAGACGCACGTTTGAGACCTTGATCGACGGGTCCTTCCCTCCAAGTCCAAGGTTCCGGTATTGGCCCGTGAACCTGTCAACGCACGGCTGGTGAGTAGACGGTGAGGGATTGAAGACAAACCCATGAAAATTCCTTGTTCGCAGCCAGTCTCTTCGGTTCGTCACATTGGCCGTCAAAAGACAGGTAGGTTGCTGGTTTCAAGTTCTGCAAGGCTAGATGGAGGGCAACACCACCTCCATCGGCATCACTATGCACCATTTCGCCGAGCCCTTCGGGAGCCGCGAAAGCCATCATCGGTGTGCGACTCATATGGTTCCAGGCATTGGCGAGGCGATGGTTGACCGATGCGCGCACCAGACTAGGCGCGGCAGATTGAGGGAGCCCGTAACGGCGTTGACGAACATTTGACGATAGGAATGCAGCTAGAGTGTAGAAACTTGCATGATGGCTGCCGGTCAACGCAGGCACCAGGACGCAAGTCAGCGGACGGATTAGGCGTCATGCCAGGTATGTGTAGTTCCGCGATGGTGTTGTCAGTGGTAGAGCAGAAGAGAAGCGGATGAGAGTGAGATCATCGGAGCAAGACAGAGAGGCAGGTCCATTGGGGGTCTGGGCCAAGGGTGGCTGCTGCCCTGGGTCACTACATGGGACATGCTTGAGTCCGAATTTCAGGGTCTGGGAAGGATGGAATGGACCATGGGTGATGGATGGGACAGGAAAGAAAGAATGCCGCAGTGACGGAAACATCAAACGAGAACCAAAAAAGGCGTGGGGGGGTGATGCTGCCTGGGATGCCTGGGCGGGCAACGATGTAGTGGAGACTCGAGAAGGACATGGGATGCAGGTTTGCCAAAAAGGGCAAGTTCGTGTGCTTGATTACGAAAGCTTGCGCCCGCCAAGTCCTTCAATTGGCCCGTTTTACTGGTGCGGGCAGGCATGACCCTCACGTGCTTGTCCCCACTGCCTCCCGGCTCCGTCCAGGTGACAGACCGCTTCCGCGGGACGTCGCTAGCGACGTAGCTATGGGTAGGGATTCTCGACAATCATCCATACACATCCAAGAGAAACACACCTATTCCAGCATTTTTTACAATTCGCTCATGTACTGCAACTTGGACTGGGATTTGTCACTGGCGACTCCGAGAGTATGCGTCACAGCTTCAAAACCTATGACAAAACTCCGGCTTCGTTGTAACGCGGGTCTCATTGCATCGCCCGTCGGTCGTCACCTCCGTCCTTGGTCGTTCTTTGCCCTGCCCACCATCTGCCGTCGTCTCAGTATTTGGCCTCACTGGTGGGAGCAAGTCAGACAGACGAGCGGGATTCGGAGGAAGGTCCGCGGTCGAACATGGCCGTCTTACTCGACGACTTAGCTCAGGTTCCGACTAAGGGGAGCCCAAGCTCGGCTACACGAACACGCCCCCCTCTGATCGATGAACTACTGGCCGCCCTTGGGAAGGCCCTTCGACCGGCTGTTGATTGAGGCACTTCAGGGACAGATCCAGGAACCCGTAAAGACTAGGACGCACAACTTGATTCGGCGGAGCATCGGGGCAGTCGACCAACAAACGCCTCGCATTCACGGCATTGCGGTGCTCGATGCATGGCCAATACAGCCACTCCACTGTTGCACTGGGGCCGATACATCTCGTGCAAGACGGGCCCGATACAAGACCTGCGTCAAAGTCCTGCAGCGTATCCTTACTAGGTACAGCAGAGCATGCCCACGGCGCAAAATGCCAGAAATAAGATACACCAAGCCGTTAAGATGCCTTTGTGCAACCCCAACCCCAAGGTACTACTCCCAAGTCCAGAGTGCCCCGAGGCGCCAAAGATTCCAACGTCGCCTAGAGCCGCCTGCTCTCACCGAAAGCAACCAGGCCCAGCTCACCAAGAGTCCAAAACATGTCTTCGCCCGGTGAAGGGTCGCAACCGGGCGACACGTCCTCAACCGTTGAAAAGCCGCGCAACCACGAATGCGCGTCTCTCGGTGCCCGATGGAGAACGGTCCGATGCCATGTCCATCCCGTGGCCTTCCACTCCGACCGCCCGGTGGAGAGGCCCATGTGCGGGACCGGGCGGAGGGGTGGAGGATGCAGTATTAGGAACCCTGCTGGTTGGGGACACACCAATTGAAACACACTCTCGATATTCTCGTCCTCTTTCATCACCTACGGATACCACAACCAACGATCATGACTGTAGTAGATCTTGTTGCTACCTCATCTTGGTAGCGGCACCTTGGGCGATATTTTCCGAAGACGATAAATCGATCGATATTTCTCTATACCCGAACCTCCTCGGCGCTTAGTCCCATCGCGCTGGTCAGCCTGCACTGTTGTTGACCAAATCCGAAGCCAGTCGTCAGGCCATCGCCATGCACCTCAAATAACTTCATTTCGCTATGACTGCTTCAAGACAGCATCAGCCTCGTCGAGTCAATTCACATTTCACTTTGTGGGGGATAGTCACTGTGTGCAAGGATTTGTTGTCTCACAAGGAGCGCAAGCGATTGGGCAATGAGCGAAGCAGCGATACTCCTCGACCTGCCACTGGACGTCATCCACGGATCTCCCCCTCGCAATTGTCACTATGGAAGTATGGATGAGTTACGGGCCCTGTCTACTTAGCTCCGGCACAGCCTCGCAGTCAGCAAGCCACCGACTGAACCACCAGGGCCTCTTCCCATCGCGGTGGAATCAAGAGGTCCTAGTCCACTTTTATCTACCGCTCAACGTCGCCGCCCCGTCTCTCCTATCACGTCTTAGCCGGAGTCGCCGTCGGTCTTGTGTGGGCCGCTATGCTCGACATGTCCACATTTCGACGTGTTCAACTGCCGCCGTGCCGTCCAAACCTCACAGTATACCGTCATTTCCTCCTAGCTTTTTCCCTTGTTGATACTCAAACAAACACGATGCACGCGTGCCCCCTGGATGCCTGTCAAATCGGTCTGAAGTCTTTCCGCTCACCATCCACCGCAAACGCACTAATCGTCTGAATCTTACGAGCTACCTCAATCCGCGCCTATCCCACCCTTCATCAGCATCACTCTGCATCGTTTTACACTAGCACACTGGCAAACTCGCACTTATCTTCCACCAGCACAAAGGCCCGGTCATGGAGTTCCCAGCGTCATTTCTGCTGGCGATACCCTGAGCTATGTTGTCAAGGAAGGGTTGCGAGCTACAAACCCTCCCCCCCCCCTGCCCTGCACCCTCTCCACTGTTCCTGTACTCTACTGCGGCCGTGGATCGTGATCCAGGACTGCACGTCGCAGTTGAGACTGTGAGCTGGTGGAAATCGGGGCCGGGTTATGCTGAACCACAGTCAGGCGTCCCCAGCCACACCCTGTTTCCAAATCAGTACGTGGCCGGTGTACTCCCTGCAAAACGGCTCCCGCGCCGTCCTAACTTGGTCTGCTTAGTGTTTCCTGTCAGGCTGACCCGTACGACAACCACTACAGAGCAAACGAACGTTGAACCTCACTACTGTCACCAGGCCATCCCTCAGCAGAAAAGTCCCCGAACCGTGCCGTAGCTTTCCTCTGTTCCCGCACCCATGTCTCAGCTCCGGCGCTGGCCTCTTCCCGCGGCCGCACGCCCCTGGCGATCGAGAGGATTTGCCGAGCTATCAGCAAGTCCTGGTGTACGACTAGAATATATCGATGCAGCGGCAGTAGTGCTACCTACCCACTGCGGAGGTGATACCGAACTCCTTTGTCCTACAACGATGCCTTGAAGCAAGTCCTATCAAGTGGCGAATGTGAGGCTCAACGGGGAGGTATCGACCTTGGCCAAAGGACCCCACGAGTGACAAGCGCCCCGAGAAGGATCCAGCCCAGCCCGTCCTCCGCTCCAGGCAATCGTTTGCACAGCGCTCGCAAAACGTCCAAGCTTTGGTGGTTTACGGATCAACGACATCCGCGCTGATCCATGGGGCCGGAAAGAATTGTCACCCGCGCGATGAACAAAAGTGTGGTGAATCCTGCGAGGCATTCTTCTGCGCTTCCCAACCCTTCTCCACAAATTTTGCCAGAAAGGGAGCCGCCTTGCCGCGAGCGAGCTACGACTCCATCCCGATGAACTCCTTTCCGTCAGGATTCATCCTTCACCTTCGCTGTCGGGTGTGCGTACGGGAAACTAGATTCCCCCCTCCCTCCATTTTTTTCATCTTCTTTTTCTCACCATCTATCGTCTTCGAACGCTCCCTGCCCAAGACGCCACCCCGGCCAAACACCCGCCCGAACGGCCCCATAATGCAATACCGCATCCGCTCCGCAAGCGCGCAGTTGATCCACAGCCAGGGGTCGGGGTCAGTACCTTTCAGCTTCGCCAGGGTCTCGTAACTTGCCCTTGGCCTTGACATTTGACGCTGTGTCGCCGTAATTCCTGCCGCAGTAAAAGGCAGGGGGGTTAACAATGTGTCACTCCTTTGCGATCAAAGGTGGGAAGGAGGACGGACTACGGGACGTGAAGCATGAAACCATAGAGGACTTGGTGACTGGGAATGGCCGAGGCTCTCTCTGGTCGTTTTGTCTCTCGAGACCCACGATCCCAAGACAATTCTCTGTAAGGTTGGTTTTGCAGAGAGGTAAAGTTGTTGAAACGAAATCGTAGCCGAATCCCCCCCTACCCCGGCTCCTCCACTCCTCCGCCGTTCCTCGTCCCGTCAAGCATGAGAGCCTCCCTCAAAAACGGCAGGGTCAGATTTATAAAGGAATCCGGGTCCTCCCTTCATGATCTGACAAACGCCGCAATCCCGAGCCAAGGGGCCTCCTTCTCACCTCGCGAACGCCGACGGCAACGATAAGGGCAGGCAGGGAGCGGAACCATGACTGGACATTTCAAGACTCCCCGGATGCCCGCGGTACGAAAGTGTAGATATCTAACCATCTTCATACTATACACACTGTCTTCCCTAGAAAATTCAGTACATGTTCCCAGTATCTCTCAACGTACCCGAGAAAACGGTCATTGTTCCCTAGAAAGAGGAAGCCCCCCCCCCCCCCCCCCCCCACCTAAAAAAATTGGCCCTTTTTCCGCCCCCCACCCCCCCAGGGGGGGGGGGGGGGCCGTGGAAACACCCCCCTCGTCGGTTCCCCCCCCCCCCCCCCGGGGCCCCCCCCCCCCCCCCCCCCCCCGCCCAAACTTAAAAACATGGCGCATTTTCCGGCCCCCAATCTCCCAGAGGGGGGGGGGGGTGTCTGGAAAATCTCCCAGCTTCAGGGTTTCCCACAAGACCAAGGAGGCCTCGACCACTCGCTCGGTCCGTAGAATCCTTCTGCCTTTCGGAAGAGAGAGATTCCATCGATGGGCTGACCTGCCAGCGCTGCAGCACGCCTTGCTCCTTTCTCGCCACCTCCCAGCCCTAGCTGAACGACCTCGACATTAACATCATGAGATACCCCCCCCCCCCGGGTCCCAGAGAATCTATTTTACCTTGTTTAACATCACATCTCGTCACAATACATCAAATTACATCACATTCCACTCCCTATACACACACACACATACACACATATCCGAGTCACCAAACACGGTTCAGACCCCCCAGATAACCACCAAGGCTGTGGGCTGTATTTCTGCCTCCTTCCCCCCTCAGCCTCTCCGTCCATTAGGCTACCAATCGTGAAGTTTCTCTGGTTTTGCAACATGCACATTTCTATTAATTCTAATTCTTGTAAGCCTTCGAGGCCAGAGTTACGCGGTCTCTGTCCTTGGGGTTCTCGTTTCCGTTCGTTGTCCTAAGCCACCCCAACCTTCCACTGTCAACCACATCGGAAGATTGCAGACAATGTAAGACAGCTAGGCCCTCCATCGTTACCTTTACCCATCTTACCCATGATCACTTTCTGGTGTGATATGATGATTCACAATGAGCTCCTCCGGCGCCGCCTCGGCACTCCCCAAACCACCTCTCATGGCACACCAACCCACCTCCCCGCCGAAATGCACCATTTCATCATGTACAGCGACCATTTATTTCAAGGCCATTCGTCATTATTAAAATACATATATTGCCTCCGTTTCTATCTCGCAGGTGGCAGGCGACAGTACCCTAACTCCAGGTCGCATACAGTTGGCCTGGTCTCGTCCGCCTTGACCAGGGATTCGGCGGATAGACCCGTACCGTATCACTCACACCAGGAGCTTTACTCCCCTCCCCCCCCACTCTGTGCAAGTTTAGACTCACATCTGCATGTGTGCTTAGGTATATAAGTGTAAAACCGGAGTTAGGTGGGAGAAAAAGAAAATGATGTGTTTTAATGACAAAGACAGGGCTTCAGTCGGCAACCCCCGACTGCGCACTCGTCATGAAGAAAACGGCCCTGTGCCATGCCCAAATTTGACTCCTTTCCTCCCGGTTGTGACTTTTTCGTCCTGGGTATTGCGTCACTCCATTCAAACGTGGTCATGGCGCAACAACACGTTCGCTGTTCGTAAGGGATGTAGCGCAAAAGGGGGAATAAAAAACAACAACAGCAATCAACTACCCAATGTTTCATAAACCATCTCTAGCAAGCGCTTCGATGCGTCTATTCGTCTTCTTTATGTGCGACTACCATGCGATCACCCAGAGGGCGCCGCTCACAAACCCCTCCGACTCATAGCCGCGGTGGCTCCGGCTGAGGCCAAATCTTGTTTGGCGCTGACGCTCCTAATTGCCGCGCGTGGAAGACTACTGGTGCCGACGGTGACACCCCCCTGACCTGTGCTAGTGCGTTTGGCTGTGGCAACGTGAACAGTTCCGCTAGTCGCTACAGAGGGTCTGCGAGAAGATGCTGTTGACACGGGCTTGTGAGGACTCGCACCGCTGACTTCTCTCGATCGAATGCCGCCCTTGAGCCCGGAGGCGGGAGGTTCGGGAAGGGGCCGTGGCGCGGTAACGGTGTGGCGCTTCACCGGAGACGCATCACGTGCCGTCGGAACTCGGGGTAGAGGAGCGTTCATCTTCTTGCCACTGACAAACTCGTGGTGGATGGCTTCCTCAGGCTTGAGACGCCTGTCAGGATCCCACCGCAGACATCTCGCGAGGAAGTCCAGGAATGCCTCATCGTCACACTTGA